TCGCGGCGAGCGGCGGCGCGGCGACGAGCGCGGCCTCGTCGGGCGGCGGCGGCGCCAACGCCAGCGCGAGGCTCCGGGGCGCCGCGGCGTCGGTCCGCGCGCCGCGGAGCGCCTCGGCGACGGGCAGCGCGCCGGCCAACACGCACCCCCCCGCGCCGTCGTAGACGCGCAGGGCCAGGCGCCGGGCGCCGTCGGCCTCGACGGGGAGCTCGAGGCGCAGGTTTCCGGCGCCGGAGAAGGAGTCGCCGGCCCGCGCGAGCGCCGCGGACCCGACGACGACGCCGTCGAGCTCCGCCTCGACCTCGAGGGCGTCGCCCTCCAGCAAGGCACCGTCGAGCTCGAAGCCGCTGAGCTGCGCGTCGGCGACGCGGCACCGCGCGAGGTCGCTGCGGTCCGGCGGCGCCGCGACGTCCGGCGATGCTGTGACGCAGACCGCTAACTCGCCGGCGACGGCGCCGCGCGCGTCGCGGAGCGCCAGCGTCGTGCGCTTCGACGGCGTTGCCAGGTCCGCGCGGTCCAGGGACGCCGCGCCCACCACCAAGCCGCTCGCCGCGTCGACGACCGCGACGTCCACGTAGGCGCCCGGCGCCGCGTCGCGCGGCACGAGGAGGTCGACGTCGAGCGCGCACTCGCCCGTCGCCGTCGGCTCGCTCCGCGCCGCCGGGTCGCCGAGGACGGCCAGCGACGCGAAAATACGCGGCGGCGGCGCGAGGAGGTGGGCCTCGAAGACGCGGACGCGGACGCGCGCGAGCGGCCGGCAGCGCAGCGTCGCCGCCGCGCGCGTCCACGTCGCCTCCCGCGCGCGCTTCGCCAGGTCGACCTTGAGCAGCCGCGCGGCCGTGAGAGCCCGCGGACCCAGCACGCCCCGGGCCACGCAGGCGCCGTCCGCGGCCCTCGCGAGCCGGATGGCCACGTCGCCGTCCGCGTCGACGACGACCGGCGCGCCGCTCCGGAAAAAGGCCACGTCCGTCGACGCGCCGTCGACGGCGTCGGCGAGCTTGCACGCCCCCGCGAAGGCCTCGAGGGCCGCGCCGGCGGCGCCGGGCGCGTCCGGCGCGAGGGGCCCGTGGCTCGCGTTCGCGTCCAACATCGCGAGCTCCGCCGCGGGCCGGAGGTCCGGCGCGGGCGCCGCGGCCTCGCGGTAGCGCGCCTCCAAAACCTCGCCGAGCTCCGCCGCCAGCGGCGAGCAGCTCGCGACGGCGCGCAGGCCCCGCGTCGCCGACCCCGCGGCGAACTCGACGGGCTCGCCGCGCGCGGCGAACGCGCGGCTCCGGAGCCCCGCGGCGTCGACCGCGACGGCGTCGCCGCAGCTCGCCTCGGTGCCGTCGTCGTCGACGAAGAGGGCGAAGACGTCGAGGACGGCGTGGCGCCGCGCGAAGGGCAGACCCAGCGGCAGCGGGTGCTCCGCGACGAGGTCGAACGAGTCCGGCCGCCGCGACGCGCGGACCGCGGCCGCGGACCGCCAGACGACGGACGGCGCGGACCCGGCGCCGCCGCGCCAGCGCGCCTCGAGGAACGGCGCGCCCGGCGGCGCCGCGCCGAGCCCGAAGACCTCGACGTTCTCGAGGCGCACGCGCGCGGCCGCGCGGCACCGCAACTCCACGAACCCCAGATCCGCCGCCGCCCCCGGGAACTCGTCGTCGTCGGGCCGGAGCTTCACGCGGAGCAGGCCGTCGTAGAGTAGGCTCCGCGCGTGGACGTGGGCGACGCCCACCAGACAAGCACCCGCGAAGACCTCCACGAAGAGCCCGCGCTCGCGCCGCTGCTCGTCGGCGGCGAGCGGCACCGCGACGGTGGCCCCGTGGCTCGACGTGAGCCACGTGGGCTCGCGGGACCCGACGGCCGGCGGCGTCTCCGCGACGCGCTGCCCCGCCCGCGACAGGGCGACGACGCAGCCCGCCTCCGCGATGGCCGGCAGGCCCGCGGCGCGCACGCACGCGACGTGGACCTCCGCGACGTCCTCGCCGAGCAGCACGCCGGGCGCCGGCGCCGCCGGCGGGAGGTCGCCGCCGGCGAAGCGCAAAGCCCCCAGGGCGACGCTCCGGCAGCGCCGCAGCTCGGCGACGAAGTCGCCGAGGTCCGCCGGGCCGACGCACGCGTCGGCCGACGCGTCGCCGAGCAGCGCCGCGACGGTCCCCTCCGCGACGGCCCGCTCCGCCTCGGAGCGCGCGGCGCCGAAGATGGCCTCCAGGTGGCCGCCGCGCTGGAGAAAGTCCAGCAGCTCCCGCCGCGACGCCTCGGGCCGCGGGCCGCGCGCGACGGCCTCGAACGCGCGCGCGATCGCGACGAGCCCGGCGTCGCCGGACGCCGCGAGCGACCCGCCGTGCTTGCGCCGTATATGTTGTTCTAAATATTCACGATTCACGAAGGCCTTGCCGCACTGGGCGCAGGCCCAGGCGCGGCCGCGCGCGGCGCCGTAAGAGCCCATGACCTCCGAGTCGTCCTCGTACGCGCCGCCGTCGTCCTGGAGGCTCCGCAGCCACTTCGCCGTGTCGACGCCCGCGGCGCGCGCCGCCGAGGCGATGCCGAGGGCCACGTCGCGGAACTCGCCGACCTGGCGCGCGAGCGCCTTGCGCTTCGCGTCGGAGACGCGCGCGGCCGCGGCCGCGCGCTTCGCGTCTTCCGCGAGCTCGCGCAGCGCCGACTCCTTGGCGACGACCTCGTCGCCCAGGGCCTCCTGGACGTGGAGCAGGTACTCGACGGCGAGCTGCAGCAGGCGCACCATGGTCGCCGACGCGTCGTGGCCGACCTTGCGCAGCTCCGGCGGGACGACCTTGCAAAAGGCGAGGTCGTCGACGAGGTCGCTGAGCACGTCGCCGGCGCTGCCCGTCTCCAGCACGTCGTCGACGTCGACGGCCGTGATCTTCGCCCAGTCCGGCGCGCCCGTGCGCAGGCGGAATCGCGGGGCAGCCATAACTCCCACCGTTTTTCAAGATGCACGGTACTTGAACAGCCACAAAAACTGGCCTCAGGGCCTCTCACGCTCTGGGCTGCCCGCTTTCTGCCGGCCCGCGGCGCCACGATGGGCGCCCCGGCGGCGGAGGGCGCGATGACGAAGGCGCCCCCGGAGGACAACAGCCAGCTCGCGAAGCTCGCGGCGGCGCATCCCGACGCCGCCGTCGGCATCACCTTCGTCGTCGGCGCGCCCATCGCGGACCTCGAGGCCCACGCGGCCTGGCAGCGGGCGCGGTCCTGGACGCTGGGCCTCTACGGCCACGCGAACGTCCACAAGGACGGCGTGAACGGCGCCATGAACGGCAAGGCCGGCGCGTGCAAGGCCTTTGCGACGGAGCTCCGCGCGCTCGTCGGCGCCGCGGTGCGCATCAAGGCCGTGCGGCCCTTCTCCTACCTGCACACCATGGCGTCCGTCGCCTGCGCCATGGAGGACCCGAACGCGCTCGCGGAGTACGCCTACGACAGCGCGCCCTGCGACCCGGACGAGGAGGACGAGGACCCCGCGCTCGCGGAGTGGCACCCGCCCCTCGCGAGCGTCTACCGGCTGTCCGTGGAGATCCTGGAGAGCGAGGCGCCGGAGCCCACGGTGGAGGTCAAGGCCGTCGCCAAGGCGCCGGACCCGCACGTGAAGGCCATCGAGGCGGACACGAGCGTCGAGTAGGCTTTCCGGAGACGAATTAAGACAGAGGACACGCACGAGCAGAGGAGGGGGGGGCAACTAAAGGCAGCTTCTCAGAACTCCTCGGTCCGCTCGACGAGCTGGAGCGGGTTGCCGTCGCCGAAGTCGTAGTCCGCGGGGACGAGCGCGGCCGCGTTCGCCTCGTCGTCGAGCTCCGCGACGTGGAGCGCGACCTGCGCGCCCATGTCGTCGAAGTCGTCGCCGGCGTGGCCCGCGTTCTGGGACCAGGCGTACTCGATGTCCTCGAGGACGTCCTCCGTCGCGTGGATCTGCGTCTTCTTCGACCCCTGCTCGAAGCAGACCATGCTCCCGAAGCCGTCGCGCTTCGACGAGCAGATCATGCCGTTGAAGGCCTTGGAGTACTTGGACGCGCCGCCGTCGCAGAAGAGGAAGGCGGCGAGGACCGCGGTCGGCGACGTCGGCGACGCGACGGGGATCTCCTCGGGCGGCGCCGCGGGCGGCGGCGCCGCCGCCGCGGGCGGCGCGACGGACGCCGTCGGCGGCGGCGGCGGCGGCGGCGACGGCGACGCGTGCGCCGTGTAGACGCGGATCTGCTCCCACTCGCGGAAGGACTCGACCAGCAGGAGGCGCCGCGCGGCCGCGTCGTACGCGGGGCGGCAGCAGAGGCAGCCGCCGCGGCGCGGCCGCGCGCCGCCGAGCTCCTTGAGGCGGTCCTTGGCGTAGGGGTGGCCCACGTCCGCCGCCGCGCGGAAGAGCTTCTCCGCCTCGGCCACGTCGAAGTCGACGAGGTGCATCAAACCCGCGAGGTACGCGGCCTCGGACGATACTAAGGTCTTCGCCATGTCCTGCTCGCGCGTGCCGCTCTTGCCCCGCGTCGCGGACCGCGCCGCGGCCCCGGCGGCGCGCTCGGCGTGCTGGAGCGCCTTGCGCCGCTCGCCCGTCGTGTTGATGCGCACGAGCGCGATCGCGACCAGCAGCTGCGCCTCCGCGTCGTCCTGCAGCGCCGCGGCCGCGAGGGGCGACGCCGTCGCCGCGAACCGCAGGCCGTCGTTGGCCCGGTTGCCCTGGGCGTCGCGCGCGAGACCGTCCAACGTCTTGAGGGACGTCGCCGCGCGCTGGTCGCCCCGGGCCTTGGCGGCGTCGAGGCACGCCCGCGCGTGGCCCAGCGCGTCCTCGACGTCGGCCGCGGGCCAGTCGTCGGCGATGCGCAGGCAGTGGTCCACGCCGAGCTTGTAGAGCGCGTCGACGTCGCCCGCCGACGCGCGCTGCGCGACCGCGCCGATCCACGAGAGCCGGCTCATCGACGGCGCGGCCGCGACGGCGCACGCGGACCGCGGCTCGCTCCGCGCGCCGACGGCGCAGCCGTCGCCCTCGAAGGAGCGCACGGCGCCCGCGCCGCGCCGGTAGTCGCTCAGCTCGCAGAGCGGCGGCTCGAAGAAGCGCAGGCGCACGGGGCCCGGGCTGCCCCGGACCATCTTGACGACGTCGCCGAGCTCCACGCAGCAGCCCCGGCAGCCCCGCATGGCGTCGTAGGACGCGCGGTGGCTCTCGTCGGCGAGCGTGGCGTAGGCCTCGGAGATGAGCACGAAGGCGCCGCCGTCGCCCGGGTCCTCGCCGCGCGCGGCCGCGCGGTCCGGGTGCTGCTCCAGCGCCTGGGCAGGAAAAGGGTGATTCAAGTTCTCTTCAACATGAGTGTTCCGCGCGCGCGCGTTCCGGAAAAAGCATCCATGCTTCGAGACCGTTCCGAGAGATGATCGCTCGTCCAAAAATCAGCCGAAACGAGTGGAAAACGGCCGAGATCGGAGCCTTTGAAGTTGGGAATTTCACACCCTTTTCCTGCCCTGTCCAGCGCCTTCTGGAGGTAGGCCTTGCGGATCGCCGCGCGCGACGCGTTCGTCTCCACGCCCAGCACCTCGTAAAAGTCCGTCGCCTTGTTCCCGGCGAAGACGACGAGCTTGTTGTTCACCGCGAGCAGCTGCGCGCCGCGCAGGATGCCGGCGACGTCCGCGACGCCGCCGGCGTCCACGTGCTCGACGACGAAGGCGTAAAAGTCCCCGGGCACGCGCTGCTGCGCGAGCTTGAACCCGAGCTTGCCCTTCCCGTCGACGATCGTCGCGACGAACTCCTGGCCCGCGCTGGGGATCTCGCCCATTTTCGACTTGCGCTCGCCGCTGCCCGGGCCGCGGGCGGCGCCCGCGCTGGCCCCGCGGGTCCTCGCGGCGCGCGGACGAAGCGCTCCAGGCCCGGGTCACGTGCGGAATGCTCCCCGGGCCTCAGGCACCCACCATGACGCTGCCCCCGGTGGGTGGCTCCAGACCAAAACTTCTTCTCGTGTAGCGTAAGCATCCACCTCATTCAGCAACATCCGCCGGGATCCGCGGCACAGCGGAGGTGTGTACAACGATGGACAGGCGGGCAGCCTTCGCCGCGCTGGCGTGGGTCGTCGCGCTCGCGTCGGCGGGCACGACGCCCGAGGGCGTCGACTTCCTCGCGCGCAACGCCCAGAAGGACGACGTCCACACGACGGACACGGGGCTGCAGCGCGGCGCCGGCGCGGCAGATTCGCCGAGCGCGCGGCGCGCGCGACGCGCCGCCGCGGCCGCCGCGCATTCGCCGACGGGTCGCCGCGGCCTAGGTACAAGATCATCAAGTTCGGCGACGGCGAGTTCCACGCGAAGCCGCCGACGGGTACTGTGGAGTTCCACTACCAGGGCCTGCTCCTCGACGGCGACGTCTTCACGTCGACCTACGACAACGGCCACACGATCAAGGTCAACGTGAAGCACGCCATCCCCTGCTGGCAGGAGGTCCTGCCCTTCCTCGTCGAGGGCGACGTCTGGGACGTCTGGTGCCCGAGCGAGCTCGGCGCGTCGCGCCGCGTTCCCCCGTCGCCGCGCGCGGTCGAAACGCCCGATCTCCCCCGCAGCCTACGGCGACCACAAGTACCCGCACGTGCCCGCGGGCTCCGTCATCCTCTTCAAGATCGAGGTCGTCGCCATCTTCGGCTCGACGAAGCCGACGACGCACTGCCACCCGGAGAGCGGCAAGAAGTGCACGGACAAGGAGAAGGCCTACATCCAGAAGCAGCAGAGCCGCATGACGGGGCCCGGCGCGCTCAACATCGAGCTCGACCGCCTCCACATGCTCGAGGACAACGGCCACCTCAAGGACAAGGACCTCGACTGGCTCCACGTCCGGAAGGTCCTCCTGAAAAAGATGATCGGCTTCGACAAGGAGCTCTGAGAGGAGCTCTAACGGCGTGGTTGTGTCGCAGTTACGGCCCGCGATGGCGCGGGACCCGCGGGCGCGCGCGGGTCCGCCGGGAGTCGGCGGGGGCCCGCGCCGCGGGCGCGTCGGAAAGAGAGGGTGGCGCGCGGGGGGGCCGCGCGCCGTCGTCGTCGTCCGGGCTCCGCCGGCTACGCGTAGAGGAAGCAGACGACGCGCTTGAAGTTCCTCGCCTGGTTCCCGTGCGCGAGCGCGGAGAAGAGGAAGCGGACGGCCGCGTTGTGCTTGGCCTCGCCCTGGACGTCGACGTTCTTCGACGTGCACGCGCGCTTGAGGATGATGTCCTCGGCGCTTTTCGTGCGGCCCTCGCCCGCCTTGCGGCCGACGAAGTGCGCGCGGATCACGGCCATCTGGCGCTTGAACTCGTGCGGCCGGAGCACGCCGACGAGCTCGCGGTGCGGGTCGTCCGGCGCGTCCATCTTCGCGTGCTCCAGGGCGATCATCATCGCCGTCTGCCCGTAGTGGTTCGTCGCCGAGGGGTCGCAGCCCAGGAGCAGCAGGTCGACGGCGAGCTTCGTCGCCTTCCGCGCGAGGTCGGCCCGGACCTTCTCCGGCTCGTCGTAGCCCGCGCGCTTCGCGACGTGGTGGAGCGCCGTGCGCCCGTCGGCCGACTTCAGGCTCCGCGCGCTCGGGTAGGCGCCGATGACGGCCAAAGCGTCGCGCTCGTCGAGGTCGAGGCGCACGAAGAGGCCCTTGGGCTCCTCCTTGTATCGGTGGCGGATGACGATGACGTCGTTCTTGCGGAGGTGGACGCTCCGCGGCGTGTCGTTGCCGTCGAGCTCCTGCATGAGCTCCTCCGTGAAGAAGAAGACGAGGCCGTCCTTGTCGACGCCGTTGTGCTTGCCGTAGTGGCGGAAGAGGCTCGAGAAGTGCTGGTCCCGGAGCATCGAACACCGGTACTCGGTCCCCTTCTTGATGCGCACCATCCGTTTCTCCTCGGACGCGAGGTACAGGTCCTCGACCTGCGGGGCGCGCGCGGTGACGGCGCGCGGGGCGGCGGTCCGGGGCGCGCGGCCGGGGCGGAAGGCGGCCGGCGTCGAAGACGAGGCGGTCGTTCGTCGGCGCGCGCGCGCGGCGGCGGTCCGGGGCGCGCGGCTGGGGAGCCAGTCGGACGCCGCGACAGGCCGGCTTACAGACGAACTCGATGAAGTCGTGCTGTCCGTTACCATTCCCCGCCATGCTGATTTTTGCGCGCGACTTGTTTGGGGTTCGCGCGGTCGTTTTTTCGGGGCTTCGCGCAGATTTTTTTCGTCAGGGGTGGTGCCCGGGCAGAATAGCACGAATGGCTACGCTCGTGGCGCCGGGGGCCGTCGGCGTTTTCGTACACAGGGCCGCCTCGAGCGGGCGGGAGCAATCGATGTCGAGCTCGCTCGTCAACGACGACCCCGGCCAAAGTCAACTTCTTGCCCGGTCATCACTCGGCTATGGCTGCCCTGGACGAAGTGGCCTCGTCCGGCACGCTCCACCGCGTCGTCGCCCGGCGCGGCCTGAAGCTCCGCGCGGCGCCGTCGCTGACGTCGGCGCCCGTGGGCCTCGTGCCCTTTGGCGCGGCCGTGGCCGTCGATGTCGACGGCGCCGTCGAGCTCGAGGGCCGCAAGACGCGCGTCCGGTGCACGCCCCGCGGCGAGGGCTACGCGGCGGGCTGGAGCACCTGGAACCCCAAACTCCTCGCCCCCGACGACGACGCCGACGGCGCCGCGGTCCTCGCGCGGCTCGAAGCGGCGGAGAGAGGCGACGTGACGCCGGAGCTCGCGGGCGAGTGCTGCGTCGCCGCCGTGTGCAAGGGGACGCACCTGCTGCCCATCTGCGAAGCGTTGGCGGCGCGCGTCGACGCGGACGACGCCGTCGGCGCGCTGTGCGCGTCGGCGCTCGCCTTCGCGTCGTCCGCGCGGTCCGGGTTTAGGGTGGCCGCGTCCGCGGCGCCGGAGGACGCCGCGCCCGTCGCCGTCGTCATCCTGGGCTTCGGCGGCTCGTCGCTGCCCGAGCTCCAGGGCGTCGTGGACCACTACGCGACAGCGCGGCCGCGGTGGCGGCGCGTCGTCGCCGTGACGCCCGCGTTCGCGCCCCCGGCGCTCCGGGGCGCCGCGGAGGCGCAGATCGACGACGTCGTCGCGAAATGCGCGGGCGCGCACCACGTGCTTTGCCACGCGTTCTCGAACAACGGCGCGTCCGCGCTGGGGCGGCTCATCGAGGCGTCGCCGGAGTTCAAGAAGCGGCTCCGGGGCTGCGTCTTCGACAGCGCGGCCGACATGCACGGCGACGAGGACATGATGATCGACGCCATCGGCGGCATGGTCAAGAATTTATTTCGCGGCACGAAGGCGGGCCTGACGTTCGCCAAGGCCGTCGACGGGCCCGCGTTCGGCGCCTGCGTCGCGCGCGTCGTCCGCGCCGACGACGGAGCGGTGCTGCGGATCCAGACGCGGGGGCTCGAGCGGCTCTGCAGCGACCTGCCGCCCTACTGCCGCTACCTCTTCGTCCACGGCGCGGAGGACGCGCTCATCCGGAAGCCGTCCATCGACGCGTTCATCACGCTGCTGCGGTGCTTCGCGAGCCTGCCCATCGAGACGGTCGTCTTCGAGAAGAGCCCCCACTGCCGCCATTTCGACTTCTACCGGGCGCGGTACACGGCGGCGGTCGACGCGTTCTTCGACGACGCGGTCGACAAGGCGCCCCGGGGGTCCGCGCTCTAGCCCTTTAGGAAGTCCTCGACGACGGGCGCGGCCTCGAGGTCGTCGTCGAGCGTCCGACTGCCGACGTGCGCCGACGGCGCGTCGCTCGGCGCGTCGCTCAGCGCGCCGTCGTCGCCGCGCGGCGTGTCCGGCACGAGCACCGCGGCGACCTCGTCGACGGGGAACGCCGTCGCGACGGGGAAGGGCTCCGCGGGCGGCGGCCGCCGCCCCACGGGCGTGATCTGCCTCCTCCCGCCCTCGATGTAGTTGCGGTTGTTGTAGAGCTTGTTGCCCCAGTGGAAGACCGCGAGGTGGACGACGCCCTGCACGGCGTAGTAGCCGGCGATGCAGCCCGACGCGACCCGCCGCCGGTACGTCTCCGCCTGGGTCGCGTCGACGATGAACGTGCACGCCACGATCGCGTCGGCCGCCGCCTGGGCCATGCCGTAGCTGCAAAAAAGGCATAAAAGGCCGCTGTCCTTCTTCCGCACGCCGAAGTAGCCGCACGTCGGGTGGATCAGGTTGAAGAACAGTCCCACGAGCACGAACAAGATGCCGTGGTTCCGCACGATGGCGACGACGGCGAGGACGAGCTGGATGCCGACCAATACCTGGCTCAGGAACAGCACGCGCTTCGCCAGCTTCGCCGCGTGCTGGTCCCGCACGATGCCCACGACGCCGAGGCCCAGCATGTGGACCTCGATGGGCTCGGCCATCACCGGCCGGATGGGCACGGCCTCGGCGCTGGGCTGCATGTCGATGGCCTGGGGGCCCCCGCTGGGCGCCATGGGATTCACCGTGATGCGACTCTAAACGTAGGACTCCCGAGGGCAGGACGCGGGAGCCATGGGATTCACCAGTGGAAGATGGGCATGCTGCGCATTGTCAATGTGTTTTTTTACCGATGATGCTGCAAGGTCAACCAGCCTGCCCGCTTCTAGGCTGCCCTTGCCCTCTCGCACCGAGCTCGCAGCGCCGACTCGACACACGATGGGCGCCGCTGCGAGCACCAAGGGCTACACGAAGGACCAGCTCGTCGCCTTGGTCTCCAGCGCGTACGCGTCCGACACGGAAACGCTCACCATCTCCCAAGTCAGCCAGAAGCTCAACGACAAGGAGCGCGCCGCCGCCAAGGCCTCGGCCGCCGATCCGGACGCCGGGGAAGTGGAATCGGACTGGAAGGCCGCCGTGCTCGACGAGCCCCTGTCGAGGGACGATCGCGCTGTCGCGCTGCGCGCAATATTCGATTCCTTGGACGAGGAGGGCGACCACTCGATCAGCCGCCGCGAGTACATCACGACCATGGTCGCGCGCGGGGCCACCTGGGAGGAGGCCTCCGCGAGCTTCAAGGCCATGGACGACATGGGCAGCGGTCGCCTCACCGTGGCCAAGTTCGACCACTACATCATGAAGGAGACCGTCGAACTCGTGCGCACGAGCTTCAAGGAGATGGATCTCGCCGACGGCGACCGCGAGCGCCAGCTGTCCAAGGCCGACGTGCGGCGCTTCCTCCTGCAGCACGGCCTGACCAAGGACCAAGCCATGGCGTGCTGGACCGAGATCGACGCGAACAAGAACGGCAAGGTGAACTTCCGCGAGTGGAGGCACTGGGCCGAGGAGAAGCTCACGGGCCTCGTCGTCGCGGCGGAGCAGGACAAGGCCGCCGGGGCTTCGTAAGGAGCGAACAGCTTGGTGACGGGTATATTGAGCCACTATGTGGACTCAACCCCTGGACGCCTCCCACAGTGGGCCACTTGACACCCTGAGTCTCTAAAATTCGGCGAGCTGCCACGGCCGTGCCGGCAGCCGAAGCTCTCCGGCTCGAGAGCCATCTTCGAGAGCCACGAACGCGTTGCACGGCACTTGCCGGCAAGATTGACCTCCGCCCCTGCGAGCGCTGCAGACTCTGCGCATCCGACCCTGCGCGCCGTCGCAGACCCCCCAAAACCGCCGCACGCCCGTCGCCGCGTCGCCGCCGCCGCCGCATTCGGGGGGGCCGCGATGGATTGGGACGCGGCTACACAAACAACAACATTTACACCAGCGTGGCAGTTGTGCGAAGCCGCGTTCGAAGGCAACGTGCGGGTGGTCCGAGAGTTGCTCGCAAGCGGAGTCGACCCGAACGAAGCCGCCCCGCCTCGCATGAGCGCACTTTGCCGCGCCTGTTACCAAGGTAATTTCGAGATCCTCGAGATACTCCTCGCGGCAGGCGCTGACCCTGACAGCGATCACGGGTTTACCCCCGCTCTCTTTTATTTGGTGCAATCTCCCCGGTGGGAGATCCTTGGGCCGAATGCCTTAGCGGCAAAGAAGGACCTCTTAGCGGCAGCGAAGAGACTCATCGGGGCCGGAGCCAACGTACACTGTACTGACACCGTAATGAAAGACACCCCTCACTTTTTTTTGTTCGCAATCGCCCTTCATCATGGACGGCGGCGACTGTTACCATTGCTTCTACGCGCGGGTGCAGCACTGGTGACGACGAACGTTGCGCGGCGCGAGGACACGCCCGCTTTCAAATCCTGCTGGGCGCTCGTGGACAAGGTCCGGAAAGCCAAAGGCTTCGACGAATACGCGAAGCACCACGCGCGCCTCATCACCAACGTCGTCTCCAAGTGCTTCGCGCCCGGCGCGCTGCCCCAGGAAATCTACGCCGTCGTCGCGACCTTCGTCTCGCCGCGAGGCGGCTCCTGAGTCGTAAAAGTTAGGCGTCCCCCCCCACGACCCCCGCGAGCCAGGACGAGAAGTCGTCGCTCGCCTGGGCCTCGGCGACGACGGCGCGGTCGATGCGGGAGCGCTTCGCGGGCCCCTCCGCCGGCGCCGGCGCGGGCCGCGCGTTCGCGAGCGCGAGCGCCGCGCGCGCGCGCTTGATCGCCGCGACGTCGGGCCGCTTCGGCGGCGTCGCGACGACGCGCGCCGCGACGGCCCGGGTCGCCGGCGGCGCCAGGGGCCGCGGCGGTCTTCGCGCCGCGAGGAACGCGAGGCACCGGGCCACGTCGCCTCCGAGCGCCATCGACCGCTTCGCCGTCGCCGCGTGCGAGCACGCGCCGACGCGGCCCCGGAGCTCGTCGAGGAGCGGCGCCGGCGGGCCGTCGGCGCCGTCGTGGAGCACGGCGCAGGGCGCCATAGCTTCCCGGCCGATGAAGTGCGCGTCGAGGACCGCGGCCGCGTCCTCCGCGCGGTCTTTCGACGCGACGACCAGCAACCCGTCGACGGCGGGGAGCGGCGCCGCGGCCACGCTATCGAAACGCAGCACCGTGACCTCGCAGTCCCGCGCCCGCTTCCGGGGGCCGCCGTCGTCGAGCGCGGCCGCGACGGCGTCGAGCAGGCCGTCGCCCGCGGCGCCCACGAGCGCCAGCGCCCAGGCCGACGGGCCCGGAGGCGCCGCCGCCGCGACGGCCCGGCGCGCGTCGACGCGCGGCCGGCAGAGGCGCGCGAGCGTGTCCGCGAGGTCGCTCGTCGCGCGCTCCGCGGCCGCGCCGAGGTCGCGGAACGCCGCGAACCGCGGCGCCGGCGACGTCGAGCGCGCCGCCGCGGTCGGCGGCGCGCGCGCGGCGTAGTCCGGGAAGGGCGACGGGGCCAGGGCCGTGTCGCGCCAGCGCGAAAAGGACTGGAGCACGCGCAGGTAGCGGAGCCGCGCCGCGTGCCTCGCGGCCGCGCGATACCGCCAGAGCCGCAGGTAGACCGCGGCGCGCTTCCTCGCGTCCGCGGCGCGGCCGCGCTTCCTCGCGGCGCAGCGGCGCACGAGGCGCCGGAACGTCGCGACCGCGTGGTGCCGCGCGGCCGCCGCGGCGTTCCGCGCGTCGCGCGCCTCCGCCGCGCGCGCCTCCGCGCGCGCCTCGGCCTCGGCCGTCCTCCTGCGCCGCTCCTCGATGAGCGCGAGGCGCGCGGCCTCGCGGCGCGCGGCCTCCTCGGCGGCGGCCTGCTCGGCGGCTCGGCGCCGCGCCTCGGCCTCCTCGCGGCGCCGCCGGGCCTCTTCCTCCAACGCTCTCACCCGCGCGGCCTCCTCGGCCGCGGCCTTCTCCGCGGCGGCCTTCTCGGCGGCGGCCTGCTCCGCGGCGAGGCGCGCGGCCTCGCGCTGGCGCGCGGCCTCGGCGGCGGCGGCCTCCTGCTTGGCGACGAGCTCGCGCCGGAGCCGCGCCTCCTCGGCGTCCGCCGCGGCCTTCTTCCGCGCCGCGTCGGCGTCGCGCGCGGCCTGCTCCGCGGCCTCGCGCCGCGCGGCCTCGCGCGCGGCGAGCATTTCGCGCTCCTTCGCCGCGGCCTCCGGGTCCGCCTCGCCCCGCGGCGTGCGCACGGCCGCGCCGAGGTCCTGGGCTCCGAAGAGCGGCGCTCGTTTCGAGCCGCCGCCGTCGCCGAACGCGTCCAGGTCGACGTCGGCGCCCGTCGCCGCGAAGAGGACGTCGCCCTGGGCGTCGACGCTGTAGCCGTAGTCCACGGCGCGCCGCCGCGCCTCCTCGGGCCCCGAGAGGCACAGCAGGTCGGCGAGCTCGCCCGCGGGGTACGGCTCCGACTTGACGTAGGCCTTGCCCATGACCTCGAGCGCGTCCAGACGCATGCCGTCGGCGTACTGGGCGACGGCGAGGCAGCGCACGAGGTAGGGCGCCTCGCGCACGAGCCCGAAGAAGCGCGCGTAGTTGCGCTCCTCGCGGCAGCGCTTGATCTCCGCGGCGCGCCGCACAGCGTCGGACTCGCGGAGCAGGGGCCGCTTCAGCGCGAGCACCGTCAGCAGCCGGCCCGCCTCGGCGCCCTGCTCCTGGTCCAGGAAATAGATGAGCCAGTACTGCGTGAACTCGGGCTCGTTGCGGAGCACGTCGCCCGCGTCGGCCGCGTGCTTGCCCATCTCGTAGAACGCGAGGAGCGCGGACAGCGTCTCCGACAGGCTCTCGGCGTTGTGCTTGCCGTGGGCGATGCCCTCGCGCCACTCCGGGTGGCCCGAGAGCTGCTGCTCGATGCCGATGAAGTAGCGCGCCATGCCCTCGAAGACGCGGACGACGCGCGCGTCGACGTTGCCGCCCGTCGTGTAGTTTTGCAGGATGAAGTCCTTGCGGATGGCGCGGAAGCGGTTCCAGAGGAAGATGTAGCGCGTCATCTGGTCGTCCTCGGAGTCGCCCGGCGCCGCGTCGTCGATGACGTGGGCCGCGAGGTGCTCGAACGCCGCGAAGAGCACGTCCGGCGGCCTCACGATCTCGGGCACGGACTGGACGTCGCCCGCGGCGGAGCGCTTGTACTTCTTCATGGCGTAGGGGATCGCCCGCCGCGCGAGCTCGTCGTCGTCCATGGCCTCGTGGCCCGGCGGCTTCTCGTACTTGTCGAGCTCCTTGAAGCGGACGCGCTCGTCGATCTCGTCCTGGGGGCAGAACTGGAGGCACGCGCCGACCAGATCGTCCGCGGCGCCGGCCTCCTGCTGGACGATTTTGGCCGGGCTCCGGCTCCGCGGGCTCCGGGGCCGCGCGGGCGTTTTCGAGATGTCGTGCGCGGCGAAGCGCTCCGCGTTCCGCGCCTTCAGGTCCGCGCGCTCCGCGGGCTTTGGCTTCGGCGCCTCCTTCGGCGGCGGCGCCGCCTCGCGCGTCCAGACCTTGGCGCCGGCGAACTGGGGCGCCTTCGCGGGGGCGTTCGCGCCCGGCGGCGCGCCGACGGCGCACTCGAGCGCGCCGGCCATGAACGCGTCGATGCCGGACATCTCGCGCGCGGCGAGCGCGGCCGCGTCCGCGTCCTCGAAGAGCACGTAGGTCGCCGCCTCGGACACGTGGCAGGATTCGACGGCGCCGAAGGACTCGAAGACGGACTTGAGGGACCGCTCGTCCTTGGGCGCGCCCTTGGCGACGAGGACCGCGCGCGGCGGGCCCGCGGCGGCCTTCTTCGGCGCCGCGGGCCTCGGCGCGGCCTTGGGCGGCGACAGGCTCCGGCCGGCGTCGGACGGCTTCTCGCGGCTCTCCTTGACCGTGCAGATGGGCGTGCCGCCAAAGGCCGCGGACCGCTTGAGCTCGCGGCACGCGGCGTCGGCCTCTTTGCGCGACCCAAAGTTCGCGTAGCCGTAGAGCGCGGCGCCGCGCGGGTCCCGGAGCACGCGCACGGACCGCAGGCCCTCCAAAGGCGCGACGGCGGCGCTGAAGGCCTCGTCGGTCAGCTCGGACCCGAGGCCCGCGACCTTGACGCAGAAGAGGCCGCCGGCGGCCGCCGGCGCGCCCTTGCCCGCCGACGCCGCGCCCTTGCCGCCCTTGCCGCCCGGCGCGCCCTTGCCGCCGGCGTCGGGCGCGGGCCGCGCGGCCTGGAGCGCGCAGTGGATGGCCTTGCCCTTGTGGAAGGCGTCCGTGCCGTCGAGCGCCGCCGCGGCCTCGCGCGCCGCGTCGGCGCTCTCGAAGTTCACGAAACCGGTCCCGCGGCTGTGGCCCGTCGACGCCTGGCGCGCGACGCGCGTCGACTTGACGGCGCCGAAGGCGCCGAAGGTCGCGCGCAGGGCGTCCTCGCCGACGTCGAGGGGCAGGCCCGAGACCTTGACCGACGCGGACGACGACGACCCGGCCCGGTCGCCGCCGCCGCGGCCGCCGCTGCCGTCGCGCGCGCCGGCGCCCGCGCCGCGGCCGCCGCGCTCCCGCGACCGGCCCCGCTCCGCGCCGCCGCCGGCCTTGAACGGCGTCTTGGCTGCGGCGGCCTTGCCGCCGCCCTTCTTCGACTCCTTGTCGCCGCCGAACGCGCCGCCGCCGCCGAACGCGCTCGGCGCGCCCTTCTTCGCGGCGCCGGCGTCGCCGCCGCCGAACGCGCCGCCGCCGCCGAAGGTGCTGCTCGCGCCGCCGCCGCCGCCGAAGGCGCTGCTCGCGCCGCCGCCGCCTCCGAAGGCGCCGCTCGAGCCGGCCCCGCCGCCGCCTAAGGGAGCGCCGCTCGTCGTGCTCGCGCCGCCGCCGCCGAAGGTGCTGCTCGCGCCGCCTCCAAAGGGCGTGCTGCTCGTCGTGCTCGCGCCGCCGCCGAAGGTGCCGCTTCCGCCGCCGCCGCCGAAGGTGCTCGCGCCGCCTCCGAACGGCGCGCCGCCGGACGCGCCCACGCCGCCGCCGAAGGTGCTGCTCCCGCCGCCGCCGAAGGTGCTGCTCCCGCCGCCTCCGAACGGCGTGCTGCTCGTCGTGCTCGCGGCGCCGCTGCCGCCGAAGGTACCGCTCCCGCCGCCGAAGGCGCCGCCGCCGCCTCCGAAGCCGCCGCTCGCGCCGCCGCCGAAGGACGACGACGCGCCGCCCGACCCGCCGCCAAAGGTCGACGACGCGGCCGGCGCGCCGCCGCCGCCGAAGGGCGTCGACGCCGCCGGCGAGCCGAACGTCGCCGCGCCGCCGCCGGAGCCGCCGAACGACGATCCGCCGCCGCCGAAGGGCGTCGCCGCCGGGGCCGCGGCGCCGAACGCGGGCGCGGCGCTCGCGGCGGCGCCGCCGAAGGGCGTCGCGGCCGCGGCGCCGCCGCCGAAGGGCGTCGCCGCGCCGCCGAAGGACGCGCCGCCGCCGCCAAAAGGAGTCTGCGCGGGCGCGGGCGCGCCGCCGCCGCCGAAGGGCGTGTTCGGCGACCAGGGCGTCGCGTTCGGGTTCGCCCCGGCGCCGGCGCCGAAGCCGCCGCCGCCGAAGCCGCCGCCGCCGCCGCCGAAGCCGCCGCCGCTGCCGCTGTTTTGGCCAAACATTGCTCGCGCGGAGCCTGGCTAAGGCCGAGCCCTCGCGGCAACACCGGTGCATCACGAGGAACCATAGTATGCAAGCAAATTCCGAATTGGCAGCCCTCGATCCCAGGAGTTAGAGAGTGGTCCTGCCACGCCGAAGACGACGGGGAGCGTGGCTCTCCCGAATTGGCAGCCTTCGGTTCCAGGTCCGCGCGCCGGCCAGCCTCCATGGCGGGCGCCGTCGCCGCCCCCCCCAACCCGGAGCGGGCGCGGACCAAGTCCGACGAGGGCGTCATGTCCTGGCTGACGGGCAACGCGCCCGGTGAGCCCCACGACGACAAGGAGAACGAGGGCCACACCTTCGCGGACACGGTGGACGCCATCCGCACGGAGAAGGGCCCCCCGCACGCCATCCCCTCGTGGGACCGCGGCCGCCCGTCCATGTACGGCGCGGCGCCGGCCCACGTCATGCGGTCCCACGAAGAGATGTCGCCGAAGAAGCGCGGCTGGTGGGGCGGCGTCCGGGACGTCATGAAGGGCGGCCAGCGGTCCATCGACACGATCAAGCTCGCGAAGAACATGGGCGACGAGCAGAAGAAGTACAAAGAGCGGTCGAAGCGCGAGCTCGACGCGTGGGAGGAGAAGTATAAATTTGACAAGGACACGGACGAAGCGAAGGACGCGCGCGAAGAGATCGAGAAGAAGAACAAGCGCCACTTCGTGCACATGGCCGAGATGTTCCGCGATCTGGCGTTGACGAACGGCGGCTTCCAGGTCAAGCTCTGCCAGATGCTCGCCATGAACACGGCTTTATTTCCCGAGGACGTCCGCGCGCCGCTGCGCGAGTGCTGCGAGAAGGCGTGGAACGTGCCCCTGGCGACGATCCTGCCGAACATCGAGGGCAAGAAGCGCGGTTTAGGCCGCCGGTACCAGGAGGTCTTCGAAACCCTGGAGCCGGAGGCCATGGCCGCGGCGTCCATCGCGCAGGTCCACCGCGCGACGCTCCGGCGGCCGCGCGGCCAGCAAGTGTTGGTGAAGGTGCAGCACGTCGGCGTGCGCGACGCGCTGCGCGCCGACGTCGCCATCCTGCCCTACCTCATCCAGTTCGTCGACAACCTCGACCCGAACCACGGCCTGCGGCCCCTCATGTACATGATCTCGTCCATGCTCGAGCAGGAGGTCGACTTCCGCATCGAGGGCGCGAACCGCGAGCGGCTCGCGGCCATCGTCGAGCGCAGCGGCAAGAGCGAGCGGAGCCGCTACTCGACGCTCTACTTCCCCTTGGTCATGTGGGACTACTGCGTCGAGTCCATGATGGTCCAGGAGTTCATGGAGGGCGCCGTGAGTTTAGGGGACCGCGACGTCGTCGAGAAGCTCGGCGTGCCTTTCACCACAGCGTTGGCGGAGCTCGCGTCCTTCTTCGCCGAGTGCTGCTTCGTCCACGGCTACATGCACAACGATTTGCATTTCGGCAACGTCCTCGTGCGGCCGAAAATGGAAGAGAAGGGCGCGCCGCCGCCGACGTGGACGCAGGCGCTCGCGCGGCGCCTCGTCAAGGTCGACAACTACGCGGCGCTCGCCGTCGGCGCCTGCTACGTCGGGGCCCTCGCCGCCGCGCTGTCCGCCGTCGCGCTGCTCCTGGGCCTCGTCGCGCCGTTCCTCGCCGCGCGCGCGGCCGCGGCGTGCCCGCCGCTCGGCGCCGCGCTCTACGGGTTCGGCGCGTTCGTCCGCCACGCGAAGAACGCGGTCACCGCCGCCGTCGGCGGCGCCGCGGGCCTCGCCTGCTTCTTCCTCGGCGAGCACTTCGCCGAGGTCGACTTCGGCGCGGAGCTCAAGCGGAACCTGAAATCAATGTTCAAGGACCCGAAGATGGTCGCACGCCTCGAGCAGGCCTTCACGTTCCACCAGCAGACGCGGTCGAAGGTCGACAAGGCCATCGCCGAGACCGCCGACGTGCGCTTCGAGCTCATCATCATCGACCACGGCTTCCACACGCACGTGACCTACGAGTACCGCCTCGCGTGGTGCAAGGTCTGGGCGGGCATCGGCCTCTGCGACGAGGAGCTGCTGAAAGAGGGCTGCGCGGACTTTGGCCTCGAGGGCGACGACTACAAGAAGATGACCATGATCCTGAGCTTCTTCCCGTACCCGGTCTGGCGCGAGCGCCGCTTCTGCGGGCTCTCCGAGTTCCTGGGCTACCTCAAGAGCGGCAACGAGCACGGCCTCGTGGCGACGCAGGAGGTGACGAACCGCAAGCTCCCGAAGCAGTTCCACCTCATGCACCGCACGTCGCAGCAGATCGCCGCGCACTTCAACGCGGAATACGGCATGGGCTACGAGAGCTCGTACCACTTCCTCGAGCACATGACCAAGTACGCGCTCCTCGGCCTGCGCTTCCGGAACCGCGCCGCCGCCGAGTTCCCCGTGCCGGGCAGGCTCCACACGGCGGACAAGGCCTGGTTCGACGCGGAGCTCCCCGCCGTCGAGGAGCGCATGCGCCTCGACTTCGTCTGGGACCGGTCCATGTCGAAGAACGCCTCCGTCGACAAGGACTCGAACATCTGGGCCCTCTTCGCCAAGGACGAGGCGGAGAAGTGGAAGAAGTGGATCGCCGACGACGCGGAGAAGCACGCGCAGCTCGCCATGGACGCGCGCCGCGTCTCGCTCGGCATGTCCGAGGACGACTTCAAGGCCAAGGTCGCCGAGGAGAGCGGCGGCGCGGCGATCTACGTGCCGCCGGCGCCCGAGGAGGCGCCGGACAAGGGCGAGACCGCCGACGGCGACGACGACAAGCAGAAGAAGTAGGAGCCGCGACCCCCCTGCTCTCCCCCCTTCCCCCCTACTACACATAGAGAGAGCGCGGTATGACGGGCGGACGGGCGAGGTGGAACGCGGCGGGGACGTCGTCAGGCGGCGCCCTCCTTGCGCTCGCCGGCCCGCGCTCGCGCTCGCCCGAGTTCCGCGGCGCTCGGAGCGGCGGGAGGGCCGCGTCGTCCGGCGGCGCGTAGTCCTCGGCCCGCACGTCGTCGACGGCGACGACCTTCGTGCCGGGCGGCCGCCCGTCGTCGTCCTCGGCGAGCTCGGCGAAAGCCGCGAGCGAGTCGTCGACGGCGCCGGACGACGACTCCTGCCGCGGCTCGCCGTGGCGCGTCTTGACGAGGAACGTCGACGTCGACTGGGCGCCGTTGGACGCCGGGTCGTGGTGGCCCGGGGTCGCGTCGTGGTCCCCGGGCGCGTGGTGCGCCTTGTCCGCGTGGAACGCGCACAGGTCCTTGTAGGCGCCCTGCCTGTGTGCGAATCAACCGGTGAGCTGGGACGTCCTGACCAAACTTTGAAATTCTCTCGCTCGGTCAAATCGAAGTCGATTCGGCTGATTTTTGGACGGATCGACTGCTCTCGTCAAGTTCTCGAAGCATCGCAGAAAAACTTGCGTCGAAACGGTCGCGTATGCTCACATTGAAGTCGGGTTGAAGATTTGATTCGCACGCGGCGCCCCGCGTGCGGCACTGCTCCGCGACCATCTTGATCTCGTTCTTGTCGACCATGGGCGGGATGCGCATGATGATGTTCGAGAGGAAGACGATCTTCGGGAGGAGGAGCGCGACGGCGAGGATGAGGAAGAGGTTGAGGCACCAGCCGACGACCGTCGTCCGCCGGTCGTAGCCCGGGTCGTGGCGCCGCTTCCAGACGTGCTTCGACACGACGTGGGACCCGACGGAGTACATGCAGAAGAGCAGCAGCGCCTGGATGACGCGCAGCAGCATGTCCTCGAGGTCGTGGTTCGACTCCGTCTTCGACACGGCGAGCTTGCCCGACGCCGCTCGCTCGAGCCGCGACCGCCGCACGCGGTCCTCGTCGCAGTAGATGCGCTCGTAGAACGTCAGCGCGACGTGGAGCGCCACGAGCATGGCGATGCCCGCGAGGGGCGGGAAGTAGATGATCCACTCGCCCAGGAGCTGCGACCGCGCGAGCGCCGCGTGGATGATGAGCAAGAAGATGACGAAGATCCACGTCGTCGGCTGGATCTCGATGAGCTCCATGATGAGCGCGTCGAGGTGCACCCGGAGGTAGAGCGCGAAGTGGAAGTCGTCGTTGAACTCCGACGCCTTGGCGCCGTGCGCGAGGCCTGTGTGGAAATCAACCAGTGAGCTGGGACGTCGGGGCCAAACTTCAGAACTCTCTATCTCAATCAAATCGACGTCGATTCGGCTGATTTTTGGACGAATCGATTGCTCTCGTGGAGTTCTCGAAGCACGGCAGAAAGCCTCGCGTCGAAACGGTCGCACACGCGCACATTGAAGTCGGGTTGAAGATTTGATTTCCACACAGCGCTAAACCGTACTCGCCGCCGTACGACGGGATCGCGTTGAGCCGGATCCACTCCACGAAGGCCTGGGCGAAACGAACATATGCAACACGACTTCAATAGGCATGTGTGTGTTGCCATCGGTTCTCTCCCGTCTGAAAAGAACTCGCCGAGAGAAAACGATCCGTCCAAACATCAGCCGAAACGACGTCGACGCGACCGAGCTCGAGAAGTTTCGCTGGACGCGTCCACTCCACCGGTTGTTTCCGGCGCGGACGAAGGCCTCGCGGAGCATCTTGTAGTCGTGGAGGCTCAGGTTCTTCGCCGACTGCGTCACGACCGCCGCGACCTTGACGACGCTCAGCCGCCCGTCGTGGGGCGTCTTGACGACCTGGCCGCCCTTGGACCGCTCCATGGCCAAGAGCCGCTCGTACTGGAGCGTGCGGTCCGACTCCGCCGTGCACTGGTCGCAGATCGTCGTCAGCGCCGCGAAGTAGATGGTCATGGCGACGAAGATGCCCATGTGGGCTTCTTCTATCGTCTCCTTGAGCTGGATGTCCGTCTGGGGGCCCCACTTGACGTCGCGGCCGCCCGAGAGGAACTTGATGAAGCCGCTCTTGAGCGACACCCAGACGGAGAACGCGAGGAACCCGAGCACCATGAGCTCCGACGTGAAGCGCTGCAGGAGGAACGTCTTGTAGTGCATGCGCAGCTGGTCGTGGCGCACGGACTTGAGGACGTCGCCCGCGGACCGGCCCGCGAGGCTGTGGTGCTGGCCGCCGCCGCCGTCGGGCACGTCGTAGTCGCTGAGGTGGCGGAGCCAGACGCTCTCGCTCTGGTGGTTGTGGTGCACGGCGTGGTGCGCCTTCTCGTAGGCGAACTCGAAGCAGAGCGTGATGAGGATGAGCACGACGGTGATCATCGACTTGCTGTAGTTCATCTCCGTCAGGCCGCCGTGGTTCGCGGGGCCGAACTTGCCGCTGTACTTGTCCTCGCGCCAGAAGTTGAGGCACGCCGGGTCCTCGCAGAAGTGGCACGAGTGGTAGCAGGAGCCGTACGTAAAGTCCGCGTGGCCGTGGTCGTCGCCGTGGTCGTCGCCGTGGCCGTCGTCGCCGTGGCCGTCGTCGCCGTGGCCGTCGTCGCCGTGGCCGTCGTCGCCGTGGCCGTCGTCCGCGTGGTCGTCGTCGCTGTGGTCGTCCGCGTGGTGGTCGTCCGCGTGGTGGTCGTCCGCGTGGTCGTCGTCGCTGTGGTCGTCGTCGCTGTGGTCGTCCTCGTCCAGCCGTCGCAGGTGGAAGGCGTCCGCGGCGGCGGCGCCTGGACGAGCGACGAGCGTCTCCCCGCCGCGCACGCCGTGGCTCACGGCCGTGAACGCGCAGAGCGAGCCCCCGATCCACGCCACGCGCTGCCAACGCGGGCTGCCCGCACCCATGTCGGGTGCTGTTGGGAGCGGATTGCAGATATGCAAATTCACCGCTTCACCACAGCTTCCTTCACCCCAAGCTCGGCTTGAGCTCGGCCGGGGCTCGCGGACGCTCTCGCCTCGCCTTGCGCCGTGCGCGCCGCCCGCGCCGCCCGCCGCCGCCATGGACAACCAGTCGTCGCGCGCCGTGGACCCGTCGCAGTCCTTTATCGACGAGGTCGCCTGGCCGTCGGCGTTGGGCAAGCGGCGGCGCGAGCCGAGCGAGGTCGTGCAGCCCGTGCGGTCCTACATCGCGCGCATGCCGACGCCGCGGAGCGGCTGCGACGTGCCGCGGCGCCTCGTCTGCGACACGATCGCGCACCAGTCGCTGAACAAGGTGCGCTTCCCCGTGAACGCGCTGAGCTGGGCGCGCGACGGCCGGCGGGCGGTGACGGCGAACCAGAACGGCGAGTTCACGCTGTGGAACGGCCAGGCCTTCAACTTCGAGGGCCTCATCGCCGCGCACAACACGGCCGTGCGGTCCCTGGCCTGGAGCCGGTCCGGCACGACGATGATCTCCGGCGACACGAAGGGCGCGATCAAGTACTGGGAGAGCACGATGACGCCGATGAAGGAGATTTTAGGCACGCACCAGGGCCAGGCCGTGCGCGGCCTGGACTTCGCGCCGTCCGACGCCAAGTTCTGCTCCTGCGCGGACGACGGCACGGTGCGCATCTGGGACTGGGAGCTCTTCCAGGAGGAGCGGATCCTCGCGGGCCACGGCTGGGACGTGAAGACGTGCGCCTGGCACCCGTCCTACCAGCTCATCGCGTCGGGCTCCAAGGACAACCAGGTGAAGATGTGGGACCCGCGGAAGCGGTCCTGCGTCGCGACCTTGTACGGCCACAAGCACACGGTCATGAAGGTGCTCTGGAACGCCGTCGACGCGAACTGGCTTTTGACGGCGTCGCGCGACCACACGCTCAAGCTCTACGACATCCGCGTGCTCAAGAACGCGGAGACCTTCAAGGGCCACAACCGCGAGGTCACGTCCATCGCCTGGCACCCCTTCAACCGCCGCGTCTTCTGCAGCGGCGCGTACGACGGCCGCGTGAACCACTGGCTCGTCGGCTGCGACGCGCCGCTCCACTCGCACTACGCGCACGAGCAGGCCATCTGGGACATGGACTTCCACCCCGTGGGCCACGTCCTCGCGACGGCGTCCAACGACCACCGCGTCAAGTTCTGGGTCCGGGCCCGGCCGGGCGACGACGTCGAGCGCGACCTCGACGGCGCGCAGAAAACACTCGTCCAGGACCGCGCGGACTCGATCGGCTACGTCCCGCCGGCCGTCGACGAGGAGCAGCTCGCCCTCGACAACGCGCCGCGCGGCTTCAACCCGGGCTTCGAGACCGGCGGCGGCCGCTACGGCCCGGACGCGCGCTTCGGCGGCGGCGGCGGCCGGCCCGGCGGCGGCGGGTTCTCCTAAGGAGGTCGCGGCGGAGTTAACGTTGGTGGAAGTGGGGGTGGTCGCGGCATCGCGCCGGGCGCTCCCGCTCGTCGCGTACATGCCGCGGCGTCTAGTTATCGGCGGGCACGCGGAGGAGCGCGCAGAGCGCGGGCCCGCCCCGGGCCGCGCGGAGGGCGACGTCCGGGCCCTGGCGGAAGGGCAGGCACGCGCCGGGCCCGTGGGTCGTCGCGCGCGCGCGCGTCTCGTCGACGCGGCCGGCCAGCACGACGAGGAGCCCCGCCTCGCCCGCGCAGGGCATCGCGGGCCGCGCGCGCGCGCCGACGAGGAGCAGGCTCGCGTGGAGGTCCGGCGCCGCGGCGAGCGTGCGCGCCGCGGCCGCGTGGGCGTCGTCGGACGCCGCGTCGCGCACGGTCTCGTGCGCCTCCCAGCGCCCGCCGCCGAGGCTCCGGAGCAGCGCCGCGGCCCGATGCGTGAGCGCGTGGGCGTCGTCCGTCGCCCCGGCGAATATGTCGGGGAGCTGGGACGCGGCCCAGTCCTTCGCGGCGGCGTCGCCGCCGTCGCCGTCGTCGTCGTCGGCCGGCGGCGCGGCCCACGTCCGCCGCGAGACCGCCTTCGAAAAGGCGAGGAGGCCCGCGCCGGCCGGCGCGTCGGCCTCGTCGTCGCTGTCGACGTCCCACTCGATGGCCGCGCCGACCTCGGCCATGAAGGCGGCGAGGGGATCCGCCGCGGGGCCCTCGGCGCCGCGGCCGCCGAGCGCGAAGGCGAAGAGCACCGTGCCGACGATGAGGGCGACGACCGTCGCGAGCCATGTCGCGCTCAGCGCCGACTCGGCGTCGACGAAGACCTTGAGCACGGACGTGTTGCCCACGGTCGCGAAGAGCTCGGTCTCCGCCTTCATCTCGTTGAGCGCGCTTTTTGTATGTGCAACAACGGGTTCAACTAAAAAAGTAAATACGTCCTCAGACGCCGGAGAAGGCGGAGAAGCCGCCGTCGACGGTAAGGATGGACCCCGTGACGAAGGAGGACTGGTCCGAGGCGAGGAAGGTCAGCGCGGGGATCAGCTCCTTGGGCTCGCCGAAGCGGCCGAGGGGCGTGTGGTCGATGATGGTCTGGCCGCGGGCCGTGAGCGAGCCGTCGGCGTTCGTGAGGAGCGCCCGGTTCTGCTCCGCGAGGAAGAAGCCCGGCTGGAGCGCGTTGACGCGGATGCGGTTGCCGTGCTTCCGCGCGAGCTCGACGGCGAGCCACTTCGTGAAGTTCTCGACGCCGGCCTTCGCGGCCGAGTAGCCGACGACGCGCGTCAGCGGGGACGTCGACGAGATGCTCGACACGTTGATGATGGACCCGGAGCCCTGGCGCGCCATGACCTCGCCGAAGATCTGCGTGGGCAGCATCGTCCCCGTGATGTTGAGCTCGAAGACGCCCTCGATGGCCGCGCGCGGCACCTCGAAGAAGGAGCCGTCGGGCGAGACGGTGGCGCCCTTCTGGTTGCCGCCGGCGCCGTTCACGAGCACGTCGATGCGGCCGAACTTCTCCATGATCTTGTCGCGGCAGCGCACGAGCGAGAGCTGGTCGAGCACGTCCGCGGGCGCGGCCAGGGCCTCGCGGCCGTAGGTCCGCTCCAGGCGCAGGGCCAGCGCCTCGGCGACGTCGGCGCGCCGGCCGACGACGACGACGTGCGCGCCCTCGAGCGCGAGGCCCTCGCAGAACGCCGTGCCCAGCACGCCCGTGCCGCCCGTGACGACGGCGACCTTGTTCTCGAGGTAGATGGACCCGGACCGCGCGCGGTTCTCGGCGAGGGTCGACATGTGTTGGGCACGCCTGGTGGCTGCGGATGCTGGCGCTCGTGTGCGACGGCTTCGGCGGCTTGATGCTTCTCACCTCTTGCTCTTGCGAGAGGGTCATGGATGCAGTCAAGTTAACCTGGTGTTGCCTCTGTTTAATACGAGGTGAGCGCGCCCGCAGCGTCGTGGGCAGCCCCATCCAACCACCGAGCGGCGCGGCGCGCTTCGCGTCCAGCCCTTGAAAAGGGCGCTGCCCCGCCGGCGCGAAACGAGCGGGCCATGTCGGAGTGGCTCGACCCCGTGGAGTCGACGCGGGACCTCATCGCGGCGCTGGAGAAGGACCGGGGCGCCTGCGAGGCGGAGATCGTGGACCTCGCGGCGGAGCGCGAGGCCGTGCTGCGGGCCATGGGCGAGGCGGCGAGCCGCCTCGAGCTCCAGGAGACGAAGATCGACGCGCTTCAAGGCCAGGACGCCGCGCTCCGCGAGGCCGTCGACGAGATGGACCAGTCCATGGAGAAGGTGCGCCAGGTCTCCGCGACGTTCCAGGAGACCGCGGGCCGCTTCCGCCACATCAAGACGACGGCCGCCGCCGCCGCGGCCTTCGCGGGGCGATGAGCCGGGCGCGCCCCGTCCGTAAAAAAAAGCGCCCTTAGAACACAACACCCCTTGTGTTCTCGTCGTAGAACACGCCGTCGTCGTCGTCGTCGTCGGGCCAGACGGTCCACACGTCGGCGCCGGAGGACCCGCCGTCGAGCCACAGGTCCGCCGCGGACGCCGCGTAGCCGTCGGCCGCGCACCAGCCGTCGTAGAAGCAGACGACGGACGCGCCCGCGCGGTCCGCCTCGTCGAGCGCGGCGCGCGCGTCGGCGCAGCCGCGCCGCGCCGCTCTTCGGAGCCAGGACCGGCTCAGGCCCTCGTCGCGGGGCCGGCCGCGCGCCTCGGCGTAGACCGCCGAGAGCGCGTAGGCCGCGCGCGCGTGGCCGCGCCGCGCGGCGTCGACGAGGTGGTCCGCGGCGACGCGCGCGTCCTGGACGCAGCCGTCGCCGCGCGCGCGCATGGACCCGAGCTCGTAGCGCGCCGCGGCGACGTGGACGCCCGCGGGCCGCTTCGCGACGAGGTGGAGCAGGCTCAGGTGGCGCTCCGCGGACGGCGCGGCGAGCTCGCCGCGGCAGAGCGCGCAGAGCGGCGCCGCGCCCGCGCGCTTCGCGTGGCGCGCGACGGACCGCGCGCAGGGCTCGCAGCACGCCGCGCCGCAGCGGCAGCAGAGCTCGAGGAAGTGGAAGTCGCCGAACTGGTCGCCGCGCGCCGCGCCGACCTCGCGCTCGAGGCAGATGGGGCACCGCGCCTCCTCGTCGACCTCGGCGGCCTCGTCGTCGTCCCGGTCGAAGGCGCCGGACCGCCAGAGCCACGCCGCGGCGGCGGCGGCCGCGACCGCGGCGGCAGCCGCGAGCCGCGGCCGCGCGGCCGCGGGCTCCCAGAGCCAGCGCCGCAGGCCCGCCTCGAGGCGCCGGCCGAAGCCGCTCCCGGGCCCGCGCGGCCGCAGGGCCGCCCAGAGCTCCCGCTCGAGCCGCTCCGCGGCGTCGAGGTCCAGCAGGTAATGGCCGCCGCGCGCCGCGTCGAGGCTCAGGCCGTCGAGGGCCTGGGACACGAGGTTCGACGTGCCGTCGCCGACGCCGTCGGCGACCTCCACCCACTCCACGCGGATCATGTCGTTGCTAAGCTGAGGCTGTTTTGTGCTGGACGAAGCCACATCGATGCGTTCGACTCGAGGCAAACACTGGCCTTGATGCACTCTGGATGATGGGCACGCTGGATGATGGCAGCATGAGGCACGCATGACGGCGGCGGCGAGACCATGCCCGCCCTGCTCCGCCGCTGCGCCGCCGCGGCGCTCTGCGCCGCGGCGCTCGCCTACGCCGCCTTCTCCTTCGGCGGCGTCCTGCGCATCGTCGCCCGGGACCGCCTCGCGCCGCGGCGCCCGACGGCGTACCCGCGGGCCAAGTGCCGCGCCATGGACGCGGCGCGCGTCGCGGCGGCGGAGAGACGCGGCCGCGGGGCGGCCAACGGGACCGCCGCCGTCGCGGCGCTCCAGAGCTACTACGTCGACGCGGGCGTCGAGGCCGCGTGGCCCGTTGTCGCGAACGCGACCGCCGCGAACCACGCGGCCTACGCGGCGGCGCACGGGCTGCCCTACGCGCGCGCGGCGCCGGCGGGCGCCCGCGCGCGCTGCGGCAAGCTCCGCGCCGTCGGCGCCGCGCTCGCGGACGCGCCCGCGGGAAAGTGGCTCGTCTTCGCGGACGCGGACCTGTCCTTCGCCTGCGCGACGGCGACGCCGCCCGGCGCGGGCCTGGACCGCGCCCTGCGCCTCGCCGCGCGCGCCGGGGGCCACGGAACGGGCCTCCTGGACCTCGTCGTCGCGGACCGCTTCGGCCTCTTCGCGGCGCGGCGGACGCGGTGGGCGCGCCGGTTCCTCGCGCGGCTCGCGGCCTTCCTCGACGCGCGGCCCGCGCTCTGCGCGCTGAGCCCCATGCCCGAGAACGCGGCCTTCGAGGCCGTCGCGACGCCCCGGGACCGCTGCCGCGTCGCCTTCGTGTCCGACCCGGCCTTTGCGGCCGCGCGGCACCTCGTCGGCGCGGCCGCGAAGCGCGACGCCGACCGCGCGGCCGCCTTCGCGGACCGGGCGGCCCGCGACGCCGCCTGCCTCCGCAAAGAGGCGAAAAGGCGGCGGAGGGGTACGGGTGGGTAAGGCTTGCGGAGGCCTCTGTGCGTAAGGCCGACTCCCCCGCTTGTGCGGCCGTTTCGCAATCGTAGACAACCTCAGAATCGGCTTGATTTATCGCTTCACGCCCTTGCGCACCACCACACCGCCTTCTCGCCCAACTAACTAACTCTCGCGCGCTCCCCGCGTCGCGAAAACGGCTCGCGCTCGAGAGCGGGGCGCACAGCGGGTCGAAACCCGTCCTTCGCATCCGCCGCGCGCCTTCGGCTTTCAAACGTCGGCGCCGGGCGTCCCGCCGCGGGGCCGTCCTCCGCGGCGCCCGAATCGACGAACGCGCGACCGCCATCCGCATGGACCCGCATGGGCGCCGACGCCGGGGCGCGTCGATCGCGCGCGCGTCGAGGGCGGCTCGACGAGCTCTCGATCTCGAGATCGCCGATCGCGCTCAGGCACGTATTTTATCGACAAGATGAACGCCGCCACGATCACGATCCTCGCCACGGCGTCGCTCGCTCGCGCCACACCGGTCGAGTTCTCCAACTCGAACGAGCTCAAGGAGGCAGTCGGCGAGTGGATCTCGGACTCTGGCGACGCCGAGAGCAAGTACGGCCCCATCGGCGACTGGGACGTGTCGAAGGTCAAGAACATGGCCTCCCTGTGCAATTCCTCCGCATCGTTCGACGGGGACATCGGCGCCTGGGACGTGTCGAAGGTGACGACCCTGCAAGGCGCGTTCCAAGGCTGCGCGTCGTTCAACCAAGACCTCAGCGCCTGGGACGTGTCGAAGGTGACGACCCTGCGCGGCGCGTTCACCGACGCCGCCGCCTTCGACCAGCCCTTCGGCGCCTTGGACTTTTTCGGCGCCTTCGTCGCCTGGGACGTGTCCTCGGTGACGACCCTGCAAGGCGCGTTCCTAGGCTGTGCGTCGTTCAACCAAGACCTCAGCGCCTGGGACGTGTCCAAGGTGACGACCCTGCGCGGCGCGTTCAGCGACGCCGCCGCCTTCGACCAGAACATCGGCGCCTGGGACGTGTCGTCGGTGACGACCCTGCAGGCGCGTTTCAAGGCGCCGCATCGTTCGACGAGGACCTCGGCGACTGGGACGTGTCGAAGGTGACGACCCTGCGCCGCACGTTCTCCGGCGCCGCCGCCTTCAACGCGGACATCGGCGCCTGGGACGTGTCGGAGGTGACGAACATGTACGCGACGTTCTTCGGCGCCGCCGTCTTCGACGCGCCCATCGGCGACTGGGACGTGTCGAAGGTGACGACCCTGCGCCGCACGTTCGAAGGCGCCGCCGAATTCGACGCGCCCATCGGCGGCTGGGACGTGTCGAAGGTGACGGTCATGGACTACATGTTCTTGGGGGCTGACGAATTCATCCAGTGCGTCAACTGGGTGACGCCTGCCAACTCGTTCGGAGTGGGGGGGGACCCGTGGCACCCCGACCTCCAGTGCTACCCCTTCGACAATCGGAACAACCTCGAGAACGCGGTCGACGAGTGGCTCGATGACTCCGGCGACGCCCAGACCAAGTACGGTCCGATCAGCAGGTGGGACACGTCCAGGGTCACGGACATGGCCACCCTGTTCCAAGAGACCGCGTCGTTCGACGAGCCCATCGGCGGCTGGGACACGTCCAAGGTGACGGACATGAGCTTCACGTTCGACGCCGCCGCGGCCTTCGACCAGGACATCGGCGCCTGGGACGTGTCGTCGGTGACGGACATGTACGAGACGTTCGACGGCGCCACCATCTTCAACCAGGACATCGGCGGCTGGGACACGTCCAAGTTGACGGACATGGGCTTCACGTTCGGCGAGACCGCGGCCTTCGACCAGGACATCAGCGCCTGGGACGTGTCGTCTGTGACGAGTATGTACGCCGCGTTCTACGGCGCTGCCGCCTTCAACGCGCCCATCGGCGGCTGGGAGGTGTCGCAGGTGACGAACATGGTCAGCACGTTCCAAGGCGCCGCCGCCTTCGACGCGGACATCGGCAACTGGGACGTGTCGCAGGTGACGAGCATGTACACAATGTTCTGGGACGCCGCCACCTTCAACCAGGACATCGGCGAGTGGGACGTGTCGCGGGTGACGGACATGTACGAGACGTTCTACAACGCCACCGCCTTCAACGCGGCCATCGGCGGCTGGGACGTGTCGCAGGTGTCGACCATGCGCGGAATGTTCTACGACGCCGTCGCCTTCAACGCACTCATCGGCGACTGGCACGTGTCGAAGGTGACGAACATGCGGGAGATGTTCTTCAACGCCGCCGCCTTCGACGCGGACATCGGCGACTGGGACACGTCGGCGGTGATGAACATGTACGCCGCGTTCGCTGACGCCTCCGCCTTCAATCAACCCATCGGCGACTGGGACGTGTCGCCCACGACGGCGAAGACGGACATGTTCCTCAACGCCGACGCCTTCGACCAATGCCTTCCTTGGTATGCCGAATTCACATGCAACCCAACGCCCGCGCCCTCCTCGGTCTCGCCGACGCCCGCGCCGTCGCCCGCGCCCTCGGTCTCGCCGACGCCCGCGCCCTCGGTCTCGCCGACGCCCGCGCCCTCGGTCTCGCCGACGCCCAAACCGACGCCCGAGCCGACGCTCGAGCCGACGCCCAAGCCGACCTCGCCTGGAGACCCGACGGCGTCGCCCGTGACGCCGCCACCGTCACCTGACCCGTCCGCGCAGCCGACGCTCGAGCCGTCCCGGACGCCGACGCTCCCGCCGACGCCCAGACCGACCGCCGCGCCGACGGTCGCGCCCGGCGAGCCGACGTCGGCTCCAGTGCTCTCGCCCGACCCGACGCCGAGGCCCACGGCGGCCGCCGACGAAATGGTCGAAGATCCCCGGCCGACGTCCGAGTTCGTCGCCGCCCCGGACCCCACGCGGCGGCCCTCGCCGAGCCCCACGCGACGCCCGACGCCGAGCCCCACGCGACGCCCGCTCTCGCCCGACCCGACGCCGAGGCCCACGGCGGCCGCCGACGAAATGGTCGAAGATCCCCGGCCGACGTCCGAGTTCGTCGCCGCCCCGGACCCCACGCGGCGGCCCTCGCCGAGCCCCACGCGGCGGCCCTCGCCGAGCCCCACGCGACGCCCGACGCCGAGCCCCCTCGGAGCGTCCAAGTCGCCGACGGTCCTGGCTGTCGTCGGTACCGTGAGATTCTCGGGCATGGACGCGGCGACGGCCGCGAACAACTCCGCGGTCTTCGAGGCGGGCCTGGCCGACGCCGCGGGCGTCGGCGCGGACGCCGTCGACGTCGAGTTCCTCTCGGAGGATGCCGTGAGCCGCCGCCGCCGCCTCGACGAGGCGGCCTTCACGCTCCGCTACGCGATCGCGGTCGCACCGGCAAACGCAGAGAGCGTCACCGCCGATCTCGCCGATGCCGAGCACGTGCTTGAACGGATCCTCGCCGCCGCGGTCGCCGCGGACCTCGAAGCCGCCTTCGAAGACCTCGCCGTTCCCGCGCCGTCGGCCGCGCCGTCGGCCGCGCCGGTCGCGGCCGCGCCGGCCGCGGCCGCGCCGACGACGGCCGCGCCGGTCGCGGCCGCGCCAGTCGCGGCCGCGACGACGACGGCCGCGCCGACGACGGCCGCGCCGAGGACGGCCGCCCCGACGACCTCCGCCCCGACGACGGCCGCGCCGACGACGGCTGCGGCCCCGGCTCCGACGGCCGCGGTCTCGATGCCCCCGACGGCCCCGGCGCCGACGGCCGCGCCGCCGACGGCCGCGGTCTCGATGCCCCCGACCGCCGCGCCGGCGGCCGCGCCGACCGCGCCGGCGCCGACAGCCGCGCCGGCGGCCGCGCCGGTGGCGCTCCGCGTCGTCCCCGAGGCCGTCGAGAACGCCGACGCCGTGAACCCGTCGGCCGAGCTCGTGCTCGCGGCCGTCGTCGAGACGCCGCACGGCGCGCTCGCGGACGTCGTGTGGTCCGGACCCTTCCGCGACGCGGACCTGCTCACGCCGGCCGCGCAGCGCGTCGACGCGGGCCTCGTCTACCTCGTGGTGCGCGCGGGCGTCCTCGCGCCGGGCGAGGCCTACGAGTTCGAACTGGTGGCGACTTCTGGCGGCGACGCCGCGGCGGCGACGATCGCGGTGACGACGAACGCGCCGCCGCGGTCCGGCCGCCTCGCCGTCGCGCCGGCGGCGGGCGTCGCGCTCCTCACGGAGTTCGCGCTGTCGCTCGACGGCTGGGTCGACGACCAGCTGCCCCTCGCCTACGCGTTCTACCACCGGCTCCCCGGCGAGACCGCCGCGACGCAGATCGCCGCGTCGTCCGAGGCCGCGGCGGCCGCGCGGCTGCCCCGCGGCGGCGGCGGCGGCGGCGTCCGCGTCGTCGTCGGCGAGGTCTCGGACGCGCTCGGCGCGGCCGCACGCGTGGGCGAGAACGCGACCGTCGCCGCGAGCGACCTGGGGGTGGAGGCGCTGGACCCCGTCGTCGAGGAGCTCCTGGACGAGTCGCTCGGCGCCGCGGATCCCGACTACGGCGGCGCGCTCGCGACGGCCGTCGCCGCGACGGGCGAGATCGCGCCCTGCGGCGACGCGGCGTGCGCGGCGGTGGCGGACCTCCGGGGCGACCTCGTCGACGCGCTCGCGACCGTCGTCGACGAGGAGCTGCCGCGGACGCAGCTCACGGTGCAGCGCCAGGCGAGCGCGGCGGCGGCGCTCACGGCGCGCGCCGACGAGCTCGAGCCCGCCGCGTCGGGCGCGGCGCTCGACGCCGTCGCCGTGCTCGCGAGCGCGTCGGCGGCCGCGGGCCTCGCCGAGGGCACGGCGGACGGCGTCTTCGCCGCGCTCGACGCGCTCCTGGGCGGCGGCACGCTCGCCGTCGACGAACAGCGCGGCGACGCCTTCGCGGGGAGCCTCGACGACCTCTCCGCGGCGCTCGCGCTCGGGCTCGTGCCCGGCGAGGCCGCCGCGGAGCTCGCGGGCCCGCACGGCGCCATGGCCGTGGCGCGCCTCGAGACCATCGACGCCGCGGCGGCGACCTTCGCGGCCTCGGCGGACCCGCGCGCGTCGCGCGTCGCGCTGCCGGCGAGCTGGGCCGACGAGGCCGTGCTCGTCGACGTCGCCGTCGCCGAATTCGTCGAGGACCCGCGGCCCGCGCTGCCGACGCCCGTCGAGACGACCGTCGTCCGCGTCCGCGCGGCGCGCTTCGCCGACGACGAGACCGCGGGGACCGCGCGGCGCCTCGACGACGGCTGGCGGGCGGACCAGGCCGCGGCGGCCGCGGACGCGCTCGTCGTCGAGCTCCGCCGCGTCGCCGACCCTCCCGCCGACTGGTCCTACGCAGTGTGGATTCCAACCACTGGTTTGGGGGGTCCCCACCAAACTTCAGAACTCTCTAGCTCGGTCACATCGACGTCCATTCGGCTGATTTTTGGACGAATCGATGGCTCCCATCGAGTTCTCGAAGCACAGCGAAAGAGTCTGGTCCAAACCGTTCGAGTACGCGCGCATTGAAGTCGGGTTGAATATTTGGAATCCACACAGGTCCTACGTCGTCGCCGTCAACTGCTCGTCCGGCGCGGCGCCGCCGGAGCCCTGCCGCGGGACGACGGCGGCGGAGACGCGCGACGCGGCGTGCGGCGGCCGCGGCGCGTGCGGCGGCGTCGCGAACGCGACGTGCTCGTCGGCGACGGCGGCGACCTGCCTCCGCTACGTCTCCGGCGACGACTGGGACGCGGACGCCTGCGTCGTCGTCGAGAGCGGCGACGACGCGACGGTCTGCGCCTGCGCGGCCGACGCGGCGGCCGCGGACTACGCGGCGGCGTCGAGCCAGGAGTCGTACGCGCGCTACCTGCGGACCGTGTTCCGGCGGCCCCTCGACGGCGACCTGCTGACGACGGGCCGGCCCCTCTTCCGCGTCTTCCTGGGCCTCGCGACCTTCTGGGCGCTCGCCGGTTTGGCCGGCGCGCGCCTCGACCGGCGCGACGCGGCCGCGGCGGCCGCGAAGCCCCGGCCGTCCGAGGCCCGGCGCCGGTCGTCGGCCGTGCTCGGCCGCGGCGCGTCGAAGCACCTGGAGACGCTCGAGGCGCACCTCTCGGGGGACGACGCGTCCCGCGACGCGGCCGCGGCGGCCCACTTCAAGAGCCTCAAGGCCGCGCTGCCCCACGCCATCGCCAAGGGGTCGTACTTCCGCAAGACCGCGCGCCGGTCTTTTGCCGCGCGCTGGCCCCTGCTGTCGCTCTGCCGCGAGACGCTGCGGCGCCACCACGACTGGGTGTCGATCTACGACGCCTACGACGCCGCGCGGCCGCGGCTCGCGAGGTGCGCGTTGATGCTCTTCGACGCGGTCCAGCTCTACTTCGGCGGCGCGGTCGCCTGCTTCTTCTTCGTCATCCCGCCGGGGCTCTGCAAATCCTTCGACCCCTGCCGCGACGAGCGGAGCTGCGAGAACGTCCGTTCCTTCCGGTCCTTCGGCACGGGGGGCATGTGCGAGTGGGACGCGTCCTACGACGAGCCCTGCGTCTTCCGCGAGCCGAGCGGCGGCGAGGAGACCGTCCTCGACCTCCAGGTGACGTTGCTGGGCCTCGCCATCGCGCTGCCGCTCATCGCGCTCGTGAACTGGGCCGTCGAGACCTACGTCTTCGCGCCGACGGGCGACGGCGGCGACGACGGCGACGACGTCGACGCGCTCGCGGACGCGGGCGCGCGGCTGTTGCACGCGCTCGGCGTCGACGCGGCCGTCGACCTCGGCGACGCGGACGCCGTCGCGCGCGCGGCGCTCCCCGCGGCGACGCGCGTCGTCCTCCGCCAGCGCGAGGAGCTCGTCGACGCGCTCGACGCCGAGCGCGACCCGCGCCGCGCGGAGGCGCTCGCGGCGCTCCTCCGGGCGCACGACGGCGCGTCGCGCTACCGCCGCGGCCACGGCGCCGTCGCGGCCGCGACGCTCAAGCGCGTCGGCGCGGCGCTCGAGGCCGCGGCGCACTGGGGCGGCGCGCTGACGGCCCTCGACGGGCCCGCGGTCCAGTACCGCGCGCTCTGCCAGCTCCGCTACGCGCACGAGCTCGCGGCCTTCGACGCGGGCATCGCGCACGCGCTCTACCTCGAGCACGGCGCGCGCGGCGGCGCGGCCGCGCCGCCGGCCGCGGTGTCGCGCTTCGCCAAGGCGTCTTGCTACTTCTTCCTCTTCGTCGGCGCGGCGGCCCAGTGCTGGTTCATGACGTTCTACGCGCGCGAGATCGGCCGTAAGGAGACTCGGATCTGGGCCGACGGCACGATCCTGGGCTACTTCCTCCTGTTCCTCCTCGTCGTCCCCGCGCGCCTCGTCTTCGCGCACGTGCTCGCGCCGCGGCTGCTGGACCCCCACTTCCGGCACATCGGCGACCCCTTCGAGGAGTCCGTCGACGTGCCCTTTCGGCACGCGCTGCCGACGCCCGTGGATCTCGTGGACCCGCGGCTTCTGGGCGCGATGCTCGACGGGTCGCGCGCGGTCGTCGCGCCCGTCGCCGAGACGTGCCGCCGCGTGTCCGAGAGCCTCTCCGCGTCGGCGTCGGCCGACGAGCGGCCGAGCGACCCGGCCGCGCCGAAGCCGAGCCGCCGCGCGGCCGTCCGCGAGGCCGTCCGCGCGGCCAGGGCCGACGCCGGCGGCGCCGCGGACCGGCGCGCCGCGAACCGCGCCTTCCGCGAGGAGCGCGCGGACGCGTGGGCCGCGGACCGCGTCGCGGCCGCGGCGAAGCACGGCGCCTGGCGGCCGCCGCTCGGCACGGCGCTGGGCCTCGGCGGCCTCGCGGCCTTCTTCCTTTTGCACGAGGAGGTGCAGGCGATCCTCTTCGAGGAGGCGGCGAACCTCGCCGCGCACTACGTGATCCTCGCGGCCCTCTTCGTCGTCCGCGGCCGCGGCGACCTCGCCCTCGTCGCCGTCCTCGTCGTCGTCTTCGGGCTGCTCGTCTACGTCTGCCTGCCGAGCCTCCGGAACCGCGACCCGCTCGTGTCGCGCGTCTCCTCCGTCGACGACGCGGCCCGCGAAGCGGCCCTCGCGGCCCGCGACGGCGGCGGCGACGAGGACGCGGTCGCGGCCGGAACGCTCGCCGAGAGCGACGACGAGGACGCGGCCCGCGAATCGACGGCGCTCGAGAAGTTCGCCGAGAGCGACGACGAGGACGCGGCCCTCAAGGAGGCGATCGCGGCCCACGAGGAGGACACGCTTGCGCGGTTCGCCGAGAGCGACGCCGGCGACGACGAGCCGCTCCGATCTTTACCGTCGCGCAAGCCCTCTCGCCTCGAAGCGCTCTTCGACGACGACGCCGGCGGCGACGAGCCGCTCCGATCTTTACCGTCGCGGGAGCCCTCTCGCCTCGAAGGGCTCTTCGACGACGACGCCGGCGACGACGAGCCGCTCCGATCTTTACCGCCCTCTGACGTCCGGCGCCGCCGCGCTCCCTCGGACGACGACGCGCTGGTCGCCCAGCGCACGGGCACGGCGCGGGGAGCCATGAGCTCCCTCATCGCCATGTTCACTGCGACCGGCGGCGACGACGACACCGACGACGATCGCGCCGCTCCGCGCGAGAGCGTCCGGCGCCGCCGCGCTCCCTCGGACGACGACGCGCTGGTCGCCCAGCGCACGGGCACGGCGCCGGGCGCCGTGAGCTCCCTCATCGCCATCTTCACCGGCGGCGACGACGACGCCGAGCCGGGATGTATTCAGTAGTAAGCTTACCTATCCGCGGGATGAAGCGGCGCGCGCGAGGTGCGACTTGAGGATGGGTCTCGGCCGCTCGCCGCGAATGTTCACGATCGCCTTCTTCGGGGTGACGCGCTCGACGACGCCGCGGCGGCCCGCGAGCGCGCCGCCCGTCACGCGGACCGCGTCGCCGACGGCGAAGGCGTCGTCCACGGCGACGCCCTTTTTCCCGCCGTCGTAGCGGACCGCGAGGCCCTCCTCGAGCATGAAATCGCTCGCGTCGACGCCGCGGCGCCGCACGTTCGCGAGCACCCGGCCGTACTTCTCCGTGCCGACGTCGGACAGCGTGACGGGCTTGTTCAAAAGGAGTCGGCGGAGCGCGTCGCGCGACGCGACCGCGGGCGCGCCCTCGCTCATCTCGGGCGCGTCGATGCGCCGGAGGCGGACGCGAAACTTCCGCGGAGCGCCGCGGCCCCCCTGCCGCGCGATGACCGTAATCGTGTCGCCGTCGTAGACCGCGACGCAGCGACCGCGGCGAATGTCCGGGACGAAGCGCTCCACGGCGTCGCCGTCGTATGTTTTGAGCACGAGGTCCTCGACCTCGCAGTCGATGCAGCCAGGACACGGCGCACGACACGGGCAGAGGAAGGCGAGGCATCGCAGCATCGCGACGCTGGAGGGTTTTATGAGCGCTCGCCAATCTTGTGGTAAAATGCCGTCAAGTTTGGCGCAGTGAACGCGAAATTGAAATGGTCGGGGCAGGTAGTGGCACGACCGCGACGACGACGAGATAGTTGGCGCGGCCGAGACACGGACCGAGCCGCGACGACATGAGCCGCCTGGGCTTCTACGAGGTCGGCAAGTCCGGCGCGACGATCCGCTCGGAGCCGTCGCTCTGCAGCGCCAAAGTCGGCCGCGCCTCGGCCAAGAGCCTGGTCTACGTCGTGCGCGTCGTCGCCGTCGACGGCGTGGAGCGCTGCGAGCTCGGCGGCGACGAGGACGCGTGCGCGCACCGGAGCGGCTGGGTGAGCCTCTGGGTCCTGCGGCGCGTCGGCGCCGACGGCCGGCCGCTGCCCGCGCGGCCGCGGTGCGACGCGCCGTGGACGCCCGCGCCGTGCGCCGCGGGCGGCCTCCGCTTCCGCGCGGATTTCTGTTCTGGAAATCTCAAGGCCGCCCGCCTCAACGCCCAGGACGGCTGCGTCGAGCTGCTCACGCGCCGCGACTGCGAGGGCCAGCCGTGGGGCTCGCGCCACTGCACGTGGTTCTACTTCTCCGTGGCGGACGAGCGGCCCGGCGCGTTTCGGCCGCCGGCGAAGCTCCGGATCCTCACGGCGAGCCGCCAGGGCGCCCTCTTCCGCCACGGCTACCGCCCCGTCGTTCGGCCCGGGTCGGGAGCGCGCGACACGTGGGCCGCGCTCTCGGCCGCGGGATCCGGCGGCTGGCGCCGCGTCGACGCGGAAACGTTCTCCTACCGCGAGGTGCCCGACGACGAGAGCGACGACGACGACGAGGCGAGCGAGAACACGCCGCCGGGCGACGACGACGACGACGCGCCGCCGCCGCCGCCGGGCGCCGCGGCGCCGCCGCTCCCGCCCGCGCCGCCGCCGCGCCGGAAGAAGGCCTCGCCGTCGAAGGCGAAGAAGAAGAAGCCCAAGAAGCCCAGGAAGAAGGGCGGCACCAAGACCAAGTGCGAGCTCGAGTGGACGCTCGACTTCGGGGAGGAGCGCGTACTGGACGTCGCGTTCGGGTTTCCCTACTCGTGCGCGGAGGTCGACGCGACGCTCGCGGCTCTAGACGCGGCCTACGGCGACGACCCGGACATCCTGTTCAAGCGCGAGGTGCTGACGCGGTCCCTCGAGGGGCGGCCCGTCGAGGTCGTCACCGTCACGGAGCGGCGGCCGCAGCGGGCCTGGGGCGAGCCGAGCCTCGCGGGGCTCGCGGGCCGCGTCGAGGACTGCGTCGTCAGGCGCGGCGGCGGCGAGGCCTGGGGCCTGTCGACGGCGCCGCCGCCGGACGACTCGGGCGGCGACGACGACGACGACGACGGCGCCGTCGACGCGGCGTCGCGGCCGCGGCTCCCCGAGGGCGGCTACGCGATCACGCCGGACCGCGGCGGCGGCGGCCTCGACGCCGACGCCGTCGCCGCGCGCCTCGAGGCCTGGGCCGGCGACAGCAGGGAGATCCTCGTGAGCGCGCGCGTGCACCCGGGCGAGTTCCCGGCGTCGTTCGTCGCCGACGGCTTTTTGGAATTCATTTTACGAAAAGACGACGACCGGGCCGCGGAGCTGCGGCGGCGCTACGTGTTCCGCGTCGTGCCCCTGCTCAACCCCGACGGCGTGAGCCGCGGCCACTGGCGCAAGGACGCGCGCGGCGACGATTTGAACCGGTGCTACTGGCCCGACGCGGACGGCCGCGCGCACCCGACCTGCGCGGCGCTGCTGGCCCTCGCGGCGTCCGCGGGCGAGAGGCTCGCGTGCGTCGTCGACTGCCACGCGCACGCGACGCAGCGCGGCACCTTCGTCTTCGGCAACTGCGGCGACCTCGGCGGCTCGGACCACGCGGAGGCGCAAGTCTTGGCCGCGTTATTAGCGGCGCACTGCGCGGTCTTCGAGTTCGAGTCGTCGGATTTCGGGCGGAAGAAGATGCTCAACGCGGGGTCCGCGCGCGTCGCGCTCCACCACCTCGGCCTCTGCCCCCGGCGGCGCCGCGACAGGCCGTGGCCGCGGTGCCGCGCGTTCACGCTCGAGTGCAACTACAACAAGGGCCACGCCGTCGACGCGACGGCCCTCGCGCTCCAGCCGCCGCGGTCCGCGCGGGGTTTGGCGCCCGACGCGCCCTACGGCCCCGCGACGTGGCGCGGCGTCGGCCGCGCGCTCGCGCTCGCGTTCTCCGACCTCGCGGCGTCCGCGCTCGGCGGCGACGGGTCGGCCGTCGACGACGCGAAGAAGTGGCTCCTGAAGCACCGGAGCCGCCCGTCGAGCTCGGGCCCGCCGGCCGCGACCGCGAAGAAGGCGCCACCGAAGAAGGCGAAGAAGAAGGTGCCGTTCCTGCTCGAGCTTAAGAAGTAGCGTTAGACGACCTCCGTCAGGGGCACGCCGAGGTCGTCGCCGCGGCGGGGCTCGTCGTCGAAGGGGTTCTCCGGTGGCGCGTCGTCCGCGGCGTCCGCGACGCGGTCCCGCCGCCGCCCGAGCACCGTGACCGCGAGGCCCGCGCTGATCAGGACGCCGCCGGCGACCTCGCCCGCCGTGAAAGACCGCCGCCCCATGAACACGACGCTGAGGAGCGCGTTGAGCGGCGGCTGGAGCGTCATCGACAGCGACACGACCGTCGGCGACGTGAGCGCCGTCGCCCAACCCAAGACCACGTACACAAAGCACAGCCCGAAGACCGCGCCGTAGAGCGTCGCCGCCACGGGCGCCCAGGACGCGAAGACGTAGGCGCCGGCGTCGTCGCCGACGAGCAGCGGCGTCGCGACGAGCGCGATCGCCGCGGCGATCAGATTGTAAAACAGCGTCGTCGTCGTCGGCGGGAGCCGCGTCGACTCGATCAAAGCCTTCTGGAGCACGAGGAGGCAGCCCATGCAGACGCACTGCCCCAATAAGATCACGTTGCCGAGCACGACGGACGCGGACGACGCGCCCGCGTTCGCCTCGCCGCCGCCGCCGCCGGAGACCCCGAAGACGACGACGACGAGCGCGCCCGCGGCCGCGAGGCCCACGCCGAAAGCGACGCGCGACGTCAGCCGCTCGACGCCCGACGCCGCCGCCGCCGCCGCCGCGATGACGGGGATGACCGGGTGCAGGAGCGCGGAGTTGAACGCCGTGACGTAGCTCAGCGCGACGACGAATCCGAAGATGTTCCCGAAGCCGAGGCAGCCGAGGGCGAGAAAGCGTCGCCGGTCCCGCGCGGAGACGGCCAGCGCCGCGCGCACCAGGCCGCCGCGGGGGAAGTCCGCGCACCGGGCGAGCGCGGCGAGGCACGCGCACGCGCCCGCCTGCCGGTAGAGCGCGAGCACGAAGGGGTTCGTGCCGCCGTTGAGGGCGATCTTCCCGAGCACGTGCCAGACGCAGTAGGAGAGCTGCACGGCGACGAGCGCGACGTAGGGCAGCGCGCGGGATTTGTTCGGCGGCGCGGCGCTGGGCGCGGGCTCGTGCGGCGTCTCCTGGGTGATGAACTGCGTCGACTGCTCGTCGTCGGAGAGGGAGCGCTTGTCCAGCCGCGGCCCCTCCATGCGATTAAGAGGTACCCGCACCGGTGCTAATTTAGACCCTCACCGGCGCTGCTGTCTGCAGACGACCCCCATGAAAGTGCTCCCATTTTGCCACAGCTCGCTAGCTCGCCTTTTGGGATGTTTCCGTTCATCATGCAGCGTTACAAAAACAATTTTTCGCCTCACTCATCTGTTCCCAGACGCTGCCACATCCATCGAGATGGCGTCCCTCCTGCGGCGCATGTCCTCGCGGAAGGAGAAGATCAGCGAGCCCGAGGCGCCGCCGACGCCCGCGGCGGACGAGGACGACGGCCGCGTCAACGTGCGGGCCTACAACAAGAAGGTGGGCTGCCCCCTCCCGCCAAACCCGCACACAACGCCCCCCCGGTTCGCCCCCCCCCGCGTCGCCCCCCCAGCACGTCTCCCATGGCGCAGACGGGCGAGGTGACGATCATGCGGGTCCAGAAGGGCACGCCCATGGGCGAGGTCTTCAAGCACTACGCGGAGCGGAAAGGCGTCGCCGAGAATTCGCTCACGTTCGCGCGGCGCCGGCGTTTCCACCGACGCGGCGCGACCCGCGAAAGACGACCGTTCCCTAGGTGGCCAACGGGCAGCAGATCGCCAAGCACGCGCGGCTCATGGACCTGAAGAAGGACCCGGCGGATCGGCCGATGGACCCGGCGACGGCGCTCGCGCGGTCGCTGTCGCTCGACGGGCCCGAGCCTTGTTATGTTGATGGGGGCCGCCGGCGCGCGAAGCAGCGCAGCGCGTCCATCTCCTCCGTGGACATCCGCGGGCCCACGCCGGGCGAGGGCGCGGCGCCGAAGACGCGACGACGGAAGTCGTTCACGTTCGACAAGGCGGGCAACCCCGTGGCCGGCGGGGGCGCGCCCGGCCCCGCCGACGAGGAGACCAAGGAGGACACCTTCCCGGCGAAACCGCCCGAGAAGAAGCAGGACGCCACCTGCATCGTCAACCTCCCGCCCGAGCCCGAGCCCGCGCCCGAGCCCTTCGACCCGGCCGTCGACGCGCACCCGGCCTTCGACCACCAGGCGTCGGCGGGGAGCGACTACATGGAGCTCACCATCGAGGGCCTCGACGACGACGAGTGGATTTAGACCGTGCGCTCGGGACGACGCGCCCGCGCTTTTTGTGGCCCCGCCAACACCGCCAACCCTGTAGTAACGCGAGCTAGCGAAGCGAAGCGGCCTGGCGGCCCCTCTGGACCGCCCCGCTAGCCCCGGGAGACGCGCGCGGCTCCCGGCGCCTTTTTCTCTCGTTCAATGAAAACTGCAACTTGCAAAACAACTGCGGCGCTGAAAAAAAAACCGCTGCAGCGTCATCCCCGGCGCGGAAGCAACAAACCTTTTTCGACTTCACGTATCTCTGCCAGTAAAAAAACTAACCCACACTCGGTTCTCTCGGGCTGCCATTCACCACCGGGTTCGCGGGACACAGTTGCGCCCCGCCCCGCGACGATGGGGGACAACGATGATGACATGGTTACGATCCGCGCGCACCACAAGAAGGTGCGTCCCGCGGACGTGGGGCTGCGGCGGGGGGCGGGCGGGGCCGGGGGGCGCCGGGCGCCGGGCGATCCGCGGCGAGGTCACGCGCGCCGCCCGCGCAGACCGGCGAGGTCACGATCATGCGAGTGAAGAAGGGCACGCCCATGGGCGAGGTCTTCAAACAGTACGCGGAGAAGAAGGGCCTCCAGGAGAAGTCCCTGAGCTTCGTCGCGCGCCGCGCCCCCGGACGCGGCTTTCAGAAGACGGGGAAAAAAAAGGGCCGCCCGCCGCCGCCGACGCCGCCGCCCCGCAGGTCGCCGGCGGGAAGACGATCCCGAACGACGCCAAACCCATGGACTTGAAGAAGACGGTCTCGGAACCCGCGCGCGCTCCGCGTCCGACGCCGCGCGCGCGACGGGCCGCGCCGCGCGCGCGCGCGAGGCCCGGCGGCGGCGGCGGGGACGACGATCCTCCGCGCAGGTGTCAACGCCGGCCGTCGCGGAAGACCCCCCGCCGGTCATCGACAAGGGGGACGACCCCTGCGGATGTTCGTGCATGGGCTAGGGCCGCCGCCGCCCGCCGAATTCCCACCCGAGTCGCCCCAACCGCCCCAAGCCCCGAGCCTTTTTTCCTTTGTCGCCAGCGAAGCAGAGACGTGCCCCGCACCGTGCTCCAGTACCGCATCGTCCCGCCGGCCCCGCCGGCGGTCGCGCGCCGCCCCGCGGACGCCGCGGATGCGCGAGCCCGACGCTCCGTTGCCCTGTCTTGATGGCTCCCCGAGTAACAAGTCTTGATGGCTCCCCGAGTAACAAGAAAGACCATAGTGCCTGTTTTACTAGATCCAGGCGTCATTTTTCTCGCGTCGTTGACGTTCACATTGAAGTCGATTGCTTGGGAGTTGTACATGTTTACCCCTCGCGAAGCCACTGCGATTTTACCCCCGGCCAATGTCCTCGGCTTGTCCCGAGAGCCGTCGAAGCGCCTCGGAGAAGCGTGTTTTGCGCCGTGCGCGGCGCCATGTTCCCCGATTCCGTCGCGGAAAAAAACGTAGGAGCGCCGAGCCATGCATCCGACGGGCCTCTCCGCGCGGTGGCGCGGCTGGACGACGCGAGCGGAGCGCGAGCGGTCGTGCTCGAGCAGCGACCTTCGGCGGGTGGCGCCGATCGGGTGCGCAGCTGCGCCATGTCACTCTCCGGCGACAGCTACGCATCGAGGGGTCGGGTATGGTACCACCACGTCCGCGCGGACCGCTGGTCGTCGTCCGCGCGCCCCCGTTCTCGCGCGTCGGCGCGTCCGCGCCGATGCGCGTAATCGAGCCGAGCGGGTCCGATTCGGAGTCGACACGGGCGTGCCCGTGTCCTCCGAGTGCGTGGGGAAGGGGTCGGGGATGATGATCGATCGATCCAAGCGCTTGAGGTGCGTGACGCGCGCCATGCACATGTGCAACAACATGGTCGAGGTGTTCGGCCGCGTTCGGCCGAGGGATTCGAGGGCCTGCGCAGCTGCGCCACGTGACTCTCCGGCGACAGCTAAGCATCGAGGGGTCGGGTATGGTACCACCACGTCCGCGCGGACCGCTGGTCGTCGTCCGCGCGCCCCCGTTCTCGCGCGTCGGCGCGTCCGCGCCGAACGAGCGGTGGTCGCCGGGGTCCTTTGGCAGGGCTTTGCGGCCGCGCCTCGACCTTGCTCGAGGCTTCTGCGCCCGCCCTGTCCGCCGACGGTCCCGACCCGCGCCGTGGGGTGCGGGATCGCTGCAGAGAGCGAGTTTGTGGGTGTCAAGGACTAAATTTAGGCCTAAATGAAAGTCTAAATGAGCACTTTTGAGCCCCTGGAGGCGCTCCAAGGCGCTCTCTGCGGCGATCCAGCCGCCCGCGGCTGCGGTCGGGACCGTCGATGGACAGACAGGTCGCACAAATCTCGACCGAGGCCCGGACGCGGTCGAAACAGGCCGCGGAGACCATTCGCCGCTTCTCGGCCGAGACGCTTTCGGCAAGTGTCGGGGACCTTGTGGGCGTCGGAGACGGTGTAGATCGCCGTGCAGGAGCTCTATGATGTCGAACCGCCCGGCGGAACACAGCGACGGTGATCGGTCAACGCGAAACGCTGCGTTTGGCGCCGAAATCATTCGTTTTCGGGCTATTTGAGGCCACTTTTGACCAGAACAACCTCTCGCACGCCGATTTCGCAACCCGGGGCGACTCCGACGCCTTCGCCCGCTCGTAACGTATGGTCCACGCCTTCGACGACATCCAGACCGCCGCCAGCGGCCACAGGCGCACCGCGGCTCGCGTTTTCGGTCGAAGCGCTTCGGCGCCCGGCGGACATTCGCGAGGCGCCCAAAAATCGGCGCGCGACCAAAGATGCGTCGCACCATCGACTCGCACCATGATGGCGAGCATCCGGTCGCAAGAGCGCCCGAGAACTCATCGATTCACCGCCGCATGGCTGGACCGCTGGATTACGGCGTTTTGGGGCCCACGCTGTAGACGCACGCGCGCGTCTTTTCTGGAGCCAAAAAGCTGGTTACGGACGGCCCATAGGTCACAGACAACAGCGTAACCCGCGCGGGGGCTCACGGGGGCGCACGCGCGGTGCGCGGGCGCCGGCAATCTCTTGCCACAGCCATGAGGACAAGGGATCCGGGCCGCTTCGCGAGGGGTAATGTTGACTCGGTCGGCTCGACGCCGTCGTCGTCGTCGGCCTGCAGCGCTGCTCGTCGACTGTCTCGGCTCGACACCGCCGCCGTCGTCGGCTGCTTGTGCAGCGCTGCGCGTCGACTGCACGCTACGCTGGCACAACGCACGCGCGCGATGGCTGTAAAACTGCTGCTCTGCGCGCTCGTCGCCGGCAGCGTGGCGCTGCGCGTCCCGCGGCGGCGCTTCCTGGCGTCCGGTGCCGCGCTGCCAGGCGCGTGCGCGGCGCGCGTCGCCGGCGCGCGCAACCTGCCGGAATCGACGGGCGCCAAGGGCGACAACCGCGGCACCGTGGCGGCGCTGGCGCCCATCGCGCGAGTGGAGGCGTCGCTCGCGGCCGCCGCCGAGGCCGCCAAGACGAAGAAGCTCGACGCCGTCGCGGCCGCGCTCGCCGAGCCGCCCAGGGACGAGAAGAGCTTCAAGCGCCTCTTCGACGAGTACTCGAGCGACGTCTCCTACAAGCAAAAGTACATGGACAGCAACGCGTTCGTGGTCTATTATACGAAGGGCTTCGACGGCAAGGACCGGCCCAACATCGAGGACGACCCCGCGGCCGAGCGGCAGACGAAGCAGTTCGGCTTCCGCAACGACGCCTGGGCCGCCGTCGACGACGCGCGCGCCGAGGTCGCCTACCTGAAGTCCGAGCCCGCGGAGTCGCCCGCGGAGCTCGTCGCCATGCTCGGCCGCGCGACCGCGGCCATGGCGGGCTACCTCGCCCTCGCGCCGCCGGAGGACGTGGCCGCGGCGCGGAAGGCGGGGCGGTAAGTGTGGCTCGGTGGTAGAGGCCCGGGGTGCGGTCTCGCTCTGGTGATGCACAACTTGACGACTCCGGGGCTCTTCATCGGGTGGTCCGCGATGAGCTGGCGGATCACCTCCGACTTGAACCGCGGCGGCTTCGCGACGCCTTCGTCGCGAGTTCGAGAGCCGCGAGTCCGAAGCCCCCCCCTCCGAGGAGTCCGTGCGCCGCGGCTGCCCCCAGCGTCCACGCGCTCATGGGCCACGTCTACGCCGACGGCGCCGAAATCTACAAGGCCTGTTGCACCATCTTGCAGTACGCCATGAGCCAGGTCGCCGTGCACCGGGACTCCGGACAAAAAGGGGCCCGTGCAGCCGCGGCGCGCCGTTGAAGAGCTCGAAGACCGGGAGCATCTCCGGTGAGGAGAATAGGAACCGCGAGAGCACGTGGCGTAGCGGAAGTCCTTGAGCACCCCGCTGGAGAGGATCGCCCGTGCGCCCGCGCCGCGCTTGTCTCGTCTGGGCGCGACGCAGCCTCGACCCCAGCTCGAGCCCCCGGCCATCTGCGGACCAGTCCTCGAGCTCTCCGGCCTCATCCACCGCGTCCAGCCGCCCGACGCGCGCAGGACGTCCGGCCAGCGAGTAGCCGCGCGCGCGACTCGAGCGAGATGGCCGCCACTTCGGTAAAAAAAGCCCAGGAGCTCATGGCCAAGGGCGAGAAGGCCCTCACGAAGTTCAGTTTCTTCGGCGGCGGCACGGCCAAGTTCGAGGACGCCGCCGAGTGCTTCAACGACGCGGGCAAGCAGTTCGTCATGGGCAAGGCCTACGGCGAGGGCGCGTCGGCCTACCGGCGCGCCGCGGACTGCCACCTCAAGGCCAAGAGCGAGTTCGACGCCGCGAGCTCGTACGGAAAAGCCGGCGAGGCGTTCCAGAAGCTCGAGGACGTCTCGGGCTGCAGCGCCTGCTTCCGCGAGGCCGCGGCGATCTACGGGGGCATGGGCAAGTGCTCCATGGCGGCGAACATGTCGAAGAAGCTCGCGGAGGTGCTCGAGAACGGCGGCGACCCGGCGGAGCTGCCGAACGCCATCGAGGCCTACGGCGCGGCCATCGACTACTACGACGGCGAGAACCAGCCCATGCGCGCCAACGGCTGCCGCGAGAAGGTCGCCTTCCTCTCGGCGACCCTCGGCGCCTACGACGACGCGCTCGCGGCCTTTGACTCCCTCGGCCGGTCGTGCCTCGGGTCGAACCTAGGCAAGTTCAACGCGAAGAAGTGGTTCACGAACGCCATCCTCTGCGCCCTCGCGCGCGAGGACGTCGTCAAGGCGAAGAACGCCCTCGCGGAGTACGCGAACCTCGACTACTCCTTCGTGGGCACGCGCGAGCACATGCTCTGCGAGCAGCTGACCGCCGCGTGCGAGGCGTCGAGCGAGGAGGGCGTCGCGACGGCGGCGGCGGAGTACGACAAGATCAAGCGCCTCGACCCCTGGATGACCAAGCTCCTCCTCGCCATCAAGGGCACCTGCGAGGGCATGGACGCGCCCCCGATGCCGAGCGTCGCGGACGAGGACGTCCCCGACGCGCCCGACGAGGACGACGCCGAGGACCTCCCGGACCTCACCTAGGGCGCAACGTCCTAATCCCCCGAATGTCTCGAAGCGTCATAAAATCGCCCGCGGAGCCCCGCGGACCGCGCGGATCCGGCGCGCGCCTATCGCGCGGCCTCCGCGGGCGCGGGCGCGTCGGCGAACTCGTCGTCGTCGTCGTCGTCGGCGGCGTCGCCGTCCTTGAGCAGCGTTTTGAGCTCCTTGGACCCCGCGTCCTCGACGTCGCGCGACTCGACGGCCGGCTTCTTCTTCTTGCCGCCCTTGTCCGCGAAGTTGTAGACCATGGCGCCGACGGCGAGCACGAGCCCCACCCCCTGCTGGTTCGACACGGGGTGCTGGTAGATGATGATCGACGCGATGAGCGTCGTGATCTTGCGCCCGAGGCCGATGAGCGAGCACATCAGCGCGCCGAACTGCGCGATCGTCACGAAGATGAAGACCTGGCCCATGGCGCCCGTGAGGCCCAGCACGAGCAGGATGGGCCCCGTCTCCTGGACCATGGTGAAGAAGTAGTCGATCTCGTTGAGCATGACGAGCCCGAGGAACGCGAGGATCGCCTTCCCGAGCTGGATGTTGAACATCAATTCAAAGGGGCCGACGTGGTCGTTGGACATGATCTTGTCCTCGTAGGCGCCCGTCGCGCCGTCGAAGCTCAGGGACACGAAGAGCATGACGCAGCCGATGATCATGGTCATGCCGCCCTTCTCGTCGTCGCCGGGTTTGGTGGCGGAGCCGCCGAGCATGAAGAGGCACACGCCCGCGGTGATGACGAGGACGTTGACGTACTTCTTGAGGGGGTAGCGCTTGCCGAGGAAGGCGCCCATGATCATGACGGGGATGGGCTTGCAGGACTTGGCCAGCACCTGCACGGGGAAGATGACGTAGCGGAGGCTCCGAACCGAGAAGAACGTCGAGCCCATGGACAGCATGGCGACGAAGAAGAGCTTGTAGGTCGGCACCGTCGTCGGCTGCTCGCCCCGCAGCGTCTTGCCCACGTAGGCCGTCGTCGTGTAGAGCGTCGACGTCACGAGGATGAGGCTGAGCTCGTGGAGCTTTCGGCCGCCCGTCGTCGCGTACTCCATGGCGATGCCGTAGAGGATGAAGGAGAACATGATGCCGAAGAAGGAGATGGCGAGCCGCACCCAGTACTTGCGGCCGTCCGCCGGCGTCAGCTGCTCCGACGCGTCGCCGCCGCCCGACATGGTTTTACTAGAGCGGTGCCGCGCCGCGCCGCTTTCCTCCTGTCGTCGCGGCGCGCCCCCGGTCGGCGGGCCCCGCGCTGGCCGGAGACCCGCGAGCGGACGCGGTCTGGGCACGCCGAACGGCCGAACAGCGCGCGCCGAGCTGCGACGCGCGGCCACTAAGTCGCCGTCGTCGTCGACGTACACGCACCCCCAAAATCAGGGCGACAGTGGCGCCTCCGTGCAGCTTCGCGTAGATATTTCCTCGGTGCTGCCCCTCAGCGGCAGCATGGGAGCCGCTGGGCAATCCCTCAGCGGCAGCATGGGGGCCGCTGGGCAGTCCTTCGGCGGCGGCCTCGGAGTCGCGACCCTCGTCCTCGCGTGCCTCCCGCAAACGCTCCGGTCGTCGGCGCCGGGCTTCACCTACACCAAGTACCCGAGCGGCGACACCTACGTGTCGAGCTGCTACGAGATCTACGAGTTCCACGACAGCGAGCCGGTCCTGCTCGTGCGGCAGAACAACCCGGCCTACTACCTCACGGAGGCCTACGCGGACACGAACCTCTGCGGCGTCCGCGGCGAGATGGGCGACCGCGTCGCCTACCTCCGCTTCGACCTCAGCGACTTCTCCTTCGACGCCGTCGGCTCCGCCGCGTTCCGCGCGACGCCCGACGGCTTCCCGCCGGACATGGAGGTCCGGGTCTACGCGGGCTGCGAGGCGGACCGCCTCGAGGACGCCGTCCGCTACGACCACCAGCCCGCGGGCGGCCAGCTGCGCTGCACCTGGGTCGGCGACGGCGACGTCCTGCGCGACTCGACGACGCGCGGCTGCGACCTCACGCACGACGTGCGCCTCGCCGCGGGCGGCGACCTCTGCGTCAAGCTCGTCGGCAACGCGAACGCGGCGTCGTCGGACCTGCTCCACGAGGCCGCGGTCTTCTGGAGCAGCGACGCGCCCGACGCGGAGCACAGGCCCTGGCACACGGACGCGCGGACGCACATGGGCTTCGGCCCCGGCGCGATAGGACGGGGCTCCGTCAACGGCCAGGAGTTGACGCTGAAGCCCCATCTCCGCATCAACGGGAGCGACTGCGGCAGCCTGTTTCCGGACTACAAAGGAATGGGCTGCGGGCCGGAGTTCGGCCTCGCGTCCTACGCGTTCACGCCGAGCCCGACGACGTCGTAAACATTTAAACGGCGCGCGGGCGTCCTTGGCGACGTCGGCGCGCGGGCCTCACTTGGCGCCGGACCACAGCGAAAGCTGCGGCCGCTGCCCGACGAAGACCTCCGCGCCGGCGTCGTCGTCGTCGTCGACGTCGACGTTGTTCTCGGCGCGGACCCGAGCGGCCGCGGCCGCGATCCCCGCGGCGTTGTCGTCGAGGGCGCGCTCCGGCGGCGTCTTGTACGGGAGCTCGAGAAAGGCGAAGACGTCCTCTTCGCGCTCGAACTCGACGGGCCGGCCGACCGCGACCTTGTTGTCGACGTATTTCCCGCGGCTGTCCGTCGCCTTGCCCCTGCGGACCGTCGGGCGCAAGCCGCGGTCGCAGAGCGTGAAGCCCTTCGCCTTGGCAAAACAGCGCATGGAGCGGTTGAAGTGATCGGAGCCCGTGAAGTAGAGCAGCGCGCACGCGTAGTGCTGCGGCGCGTAGACCTTGACGTCGATGCGGCGGTGGGGCAGGGAGTCGAGGCGGCAGATGCCCATGAAGCTCGCCGCGCCGCAGTCCGCGACCTCGCCGAAGACGCTGCCCTTCTTGCCGAAGTGCATGTTGCCCGCGAGCGTGTGCTTCATGAGCCCCGCGTCCGAGAGCGCGTCGACCAAACGCCGGAGGAAGTCGTCGCGCGCGGGCTTCGTGCGGCGCGCCGCGAGGTCCGGGTGGTCGCGCGCCACGCCGTCGACGGACGGCAGCGACGACGACGCGATGGACGACGCGTCGTCGGGGCCGTCGTCGTCGCCGCGCCAGGCCTCCGCCGTGATCAAGACGTCGAGGTCGCCGCACGTCTCCTTGCCGCGGCGAAAGGAGCCCGCCGCCGTGACCGAGAGCGCCCCGGCGTTGCCCAGTTCCGCGAAGAGCTTCTCCGCGCACGCCTTGACGCGATCCGCGATCGCGGCGGCCTCGGACCGTGGCATGCGCGCCTGCAGGTCCTCGTGGCACGAGAGCGTCGTGTGCACGTTGGGTTGGACGAGCCTCGGATTCAGTCGCACCGCGCTCCGGAGCTCCACGACGTTGCGCGCGCCCGTCGCGTCGTAGAGCTTGCGCGCCGTCGCGGGCCCGATGCCCCATATCTTCGAGAGGCATTTGAGCGCGCCGAACTCCTCGTTCGCGCGGTAGTCCTCGAGCGACTGCAGCGTGCCCGTCTGCCAGATGTCGATGACCTTTTTCGCGCTCGAGCCTTTGAAGCCCTTGCCGAGGATGCCGAGCAGCGCGTCTTCGTCCATGTCGTCGTCCGTGAGCACGCGGTTCAAACCGTCGAGCTTTTTGATGAGCTTCGGCAGCTGCTGAGCGGACCATGTCTGCTTCTTGGGGTCCATCTGGTAGTAGTCGTGGAGCTCCTCGAGCGCCGCCACGACCTCGGCGTGCTTCTTGGGACGCACGGCCGCCGGCTTGCCGCCGCAGGCGAAACCTTCGTGGAGCTTGCGCAGCGGCCGCGGCGACCGCGGCGACCGCGGCGACGACGACGACGAGGGCGAGGGCGCCGGCGCCGGCGCCGCGCGCGCGGCGCCGACGAGGTAGTCGTCCGGCGGCAGCGGCTTCTTCAGCTTCAGCAGATTCACCATCCACTCGAACTTGGCGACCGTCACGTCGTCGCCGCAGCCCGAGGGCCGCGACGCGTTGTCGCCGACGATGACGACGGTGGCCGCCGCGAAGGCCGCCCGCTTCGCGGCGTCCGGCGCCGAGGCCTCCACGAGGCCCTGCGCCGGGACCTTCGCGGACCGCGTCCGGGCCCCGGCGCCCTCGACGAGCCGCGCGCCGAGCTTCTCGACGGCCAGGCTCGCCTGCATGCGCGCTTGCCGTTGCGGAAGCTGCTCGCTGACGACGTAGCAGAGCACGTGGCCCTCGAGGACGCGCACCGGATCGATCGCCGGCGCGGGCGCGGGCGGCGCGGGCGGCGCGGGCGGAGCGGGCGGCGCGGGCGGCGCGGGCGCTAGAACGACGGGCTCCCGCGCGGCCGGCGGCGGCGGCGCGACCGGCTCCGGCTCCGGCGTCTCGGGCGACGGCGACGGCGGCGCGGCCAGCGGCTCGCGCACGGGAGACGGCGGCGCGGTCAGCGGCTCGCGCACGGGCGACGGCGGCGCGGCCGCCTCGGGCGCGCGCGACGGCGGCGCGGCCGCCTCGGGCGCGGGCGGCGGCGGCGCGGCCGCCTCGGGCGCGGGCGGCGGCGGCGCGGCCAGCAGCGGCGGCAGAGACAAAGACATGGGCGTCGGCGGCGCGCGCTGCGACGCCGGCGCCTGGGACGGCGGCTGGGACGGCGGCTGCGTCCAGTCGTCGTCGTCGTCCGCGTCGCCGGGCGCGTTGATGACGAGGGGCGGCGACTCCGGCTCGGGCGCGAGCGTCGCGGGCGCGGTCACGGGCGCGAGCGGCGCGGGCGCGGGCGCGGGCGCGACCGGCGGCACGCACGCGACCGGCGGCACGCGCGCCACCGGCGCGGGCGCGAACGAGCTCGCGCGCGTCGGCGGCGGCGGCGGCGGCGGCGGGCCGACTCGCCCCGCCTGGCGCTTCTCTTCGAGCCGGCGCTTCTTCCGCCGCGCCTTCTCAATCCCGGACCCGATACGAACGCTCACGCAGAACTCGCAGTAGCCCGAAGTGCCATTCTTTGCGTCGGCACCGATGGACGACGCTCCCGGTTTGCCGCATCCCTTGCAGGTCTCGCGCAGGCGCTTCCGCGATGCCATACGGGTGCGGCGCGGCGGTGCGGCGTTGGTGCGAGTAGTGTGTGGGGTGATGTAGATGGCGTGGGCAGAATTGGTGCGAGCAGTAGCAGTGGCGGCGCGGCGCGGAGGACTGGGCCGGCGGGTTCCTCAGCGCGTTCCTGAGCTCCCGCGGGCCCGAGAGACCGATCGACGGCATCTCAGACTCAGGTGTTGTGTGCAGTGGACGATGCACCTCGATGGAGACGATGATGCGCTCGGGCTGCTCGCTCGGGCTGCTCGCCTGTGCGTCGTTCGCCTTGTGAGACGATGATGCGCCTCGGGCTGCTCGCCTGCGCGTCGCTCGTCACGAGCAGGCCGCTCTGGTCGCGCTCGGCGATCACCGCCGTGCGCGAGCTCCGACGCGTGCTACCGTACGACGCCGCCGCCTGCGCTTCGAGCACCGATGCCGCAGCGAAAGTGGGCTGCGCGGAGCGCCGGTTGCTGGAAAGCACGGAGGCCTGGCTCGAGTGGCACATCCCATTCGTCACCTCCAAAGATGCCGCCTCCTGCGCGCGCTTCTGCGCGGACGTCCTCGGCGCGGACGGCCGGCCGCGCGTCGCGTTCGCGTACCAGGGCCACAAGCGGCTGCGCAAGGGCTACGGGAACCACGTCCTGGCCACGCTGGGCGCGCTGCTGCGCGCGATCCACGAGAACCGGTCGGCCGTGCTCGGCTTGGACGACGAGGTCCGGGAGCTGAACACGCCGCACCTCCGCTACGACGACGGCGCGGTCTGGACGGTGCGGGCGCTCCGGGCGCGGTACCTCGCGTGCGGCTGCCCCGTGCCCGACGCCGTCAAGCTCACGCGGCGCGGCGGCGACACGCCCCTGTGGCACTCGCAGAAGCAGATCTTCCACCTCGCGGGGATGGCGCCCGACGACCGGCTCCCGCTCGCCGCGGACCCGGAGCGGGGCTTCGGCCTGGGCGACGCGTACGACGGCGCGTTCGCGGGCGGGGCCGCCGTCGGCGTGGGCGGCGCCGCGTGCGGCGACCGCCGGGGGAAGCACTTCCTCTCCAGGGGCTTCGGCGAGCTCGCGCGGCACCCCGACGCCTACGGCGTCCTCGCGTACCTGTTCCTGCGGCCGTCGGCGGTCGTCGGCGCCTACGTCGAGGACGCCGTCGAGCGCCTCGGGCCCTTCGGCCTCGGCGTGCACCTCCGCGTGAACCTCCATGTCGGCGTGACGACGCACGGCGTCAACGACGCCGGCGGCGCGAACGTGAAGATGGGCGTCGAGAAGGCGAGGAAGCTGGAGCCGACGGCCGAGCCCTGGTACGCGGCGCTCCGGGACGCGCAGCTGCCGGGCCTGCTCCGCGCGTCCCGCCTCGGCGCCGCCAAGGCGCTCCTCGTGAGCGACCAACCGGCCGTCGCCGCGGACCTCGCGGCCCGAATTCCGCGCGTTTCGCCGATCGACGCGGCCGCGGACGCGCAGAGACGCGCCGACGCCGTCGCCGCCGTGACGGGCCAGGAGCGCGACGGCCGCTTCATGATCCAGTCGAGCGACTGGGGCGCCGCGCCGCGCTGGGCGGCGCTCGCGGAGCTCTACCTCCTCTCGACCGCGCGCGTCGTCGCCTGCGCGGGGCCCTACTCGCCGTCGACGTTCTGCGAGCTCGCCGCGGCCATCGCCGCCGTGCGCGACGCCCTCGACGGGCCGCCGCCGCCGCCGACGGCGCCGCTCTGGCGCTCGGGGCGGAACGCGTCCTTCTTCCCCGCGATGCTCTGGTGCCCCGCGGTCGGCGCGGACCCGGCGGCCGACCCGGCGCGGAAACGGACGCGCCGCGACCCGCCGCTCGACGAGTCGCCGCCGCCCTGCTGCGAGGCGATCCTGCTGGCGTAACTTGACGTGCTCCTTGAGCTTTGGAATTCCTTCGGTGTCAGGGACCCGAAACTCTAGACGATGGGCAAGTCGCTCGGGCAGCCCGGCGCTGGCGAGAGAAACTTGTTCACGATGGGCAGGCCGCTCGGGCAGCCCGGCGCTGGCGAGAGGCAGCCGCTCCTTGGGCGGCCAGCGGAAAGCCCATTACCCGCGGCCAGACATCGCTGGGTGCAGACCTTGGGCGCGGCGCTGACGCTGGCGGGTGCGGCGCTCCTCGTCATCTCCGCGAACGCCGCGGCACCGCCATCCTCGCGATTCACATTAGAAGCGGCGCCGCACGAGGAGCAGCGCTTCTGCGTCGCGCAGGCCTCGGTCGGCGACGACGAGGCCGCGGCCGCGCGCGGCCCGCGCGGCGGAAAGCGCGCCTACGCGTCCCGCAACGGCTACGGCTTCGTGGACCTCGAGGCGGCGACCCTGCGGCAGCTCGTCGCGCACGAATGCCCGGCCATCGCCGCCGCGGCGCGCCACAGCGACGCGCGCGCGGCCAAGGCCCTGTGCGCGCTCCGCGCGGCGGCGGACGCGGGCTGCGAGTGGACGCTCTACGTCGACGCGGCCGCGGAGGTCGTCGACGGCGGCGCCGCGCTCGAGGACCTGCTCGACGCCTCGTCGGGCTGGGCGGCGTCGACCGTCTGGTTCCTCGTCGACGGCGCGGCCCGCCCGGCGCCCTCGGGGCCGGTCGGCGGGCCCGCGCGCTTCGCGGGGACGCTCGACCTCTCCGCGCTGCTCGCGCGGGGCGGCTCGGACTTTGTGGCGACGATGACCGACGAATTGCTCGCCATCGCCAACGAGAGCGACTTCCTCGCGTCGGCCTCGTGCCGCGGGCAATCGAACGCCACGGCGGCGAACGCCTCGGACGTCGCGGACCCCTGCGCGTCGCCCGCGACGCGCGCGGAGTGCGCGCTGGGCTGCTTGACGAGGATGCATCCCAACTGGCTCGACGAACGCACGTCGGTGTGCCTCCGGAGCTCGCGGAGCGACGACGAGCCCTATTTGTACCTCGACGACGGGCGGAGGCCGCCGCCCTACTACCGCACGCGGCGGCCGACGTTCCTGCGCCTCGCGCCCTAGCGACGTTAAAGCGCCGGGTTTTGGTGTCTAACGCGGCCGCCGATAAAGTCGCCGCTGTGTCGCGCCTTAGTGTGGACAACAACTTCAAAAACAACTTCAAGAACGCGCTTCACTAAAATCGGGGCAGCCTGCGCCGCCGATCCGCGACTGGAGGCGCTGCCCGCACTCGCGCAACGACGATGACGGACTTCACGCGCGACAACCCGGGCCTGGGCAAGGCGCTGGTCTACACGCTCGAGTCCGTGGACCGCACGGACCACCCGGCCGGCGCCGGGCCCGGCGGGCCCGGCAAGCCCTGCACGGCCTTTCTCAAGTGCGGCGAGTCGCGGCGCCAGTGCAAGTTCGCCGACGTCGTCAAGGAGGGCTCGCCCTTCGTCATGTACGCGACGGAGAAGGACAAGCTCGTCTTCCTCGAGTTCGACGACAAGCCCGCGCTCTGGCGCGAGCCGTTCCTCGACCGGGGAGCGCGGAAGCTCGTGAAGGAGGGCAGCCGCGTCGCCGTCTGCTCCTTCGAGACGGCCAAGGCCTGGATCGAGGAGCACAACAAGTACGACGTCCTCCTCGAGGGCCGCGTCTGCTTCGTCTTCAACTGCGGCCGCTGCGGGTCGACGCTGCTGCACAAGGCGCTCGAGGCGCTCGACGTCCAGAGCTCGTCCGAGCCCCACTGGTGCGACCAGATCGGCGCCCGCGCGCCGTCGACGCCGCGCGACGACACGTGGCAGGCTATCGTGTTGTGCCTCGCCCTGGAGCGCGCGCCGGCGCGGCCTCGCGCGAGTCGCGCGCGCGCGACGGCGCCCCCCCCGCAGGTTCCACCTGTCGCCGAACCCGGACGCGAAGCGGTTCTCGCTCAACCCGAAGAACATCAACGGCGGCGCCTTCCTCGCGGACATCGTCGCCGTCGACTTCCCCAAGAGCACGATGTGCTTCATGTACCGGTCCGCGGAGAAGGTCATGGACTCGTTCGGCCGCCTGCTCTGCGCCGGCGACGACGCCGCGACCGTCGAGGCCGAGCGGGCGGACTGGCGGTCGACGCCGGCGCTCATGCGCGTCGCGACGCTGCCCATGCTGCCGCTCTACGCGACGGCGGTCGAGGACGCCGCGACGGCCGGCTCGCTGCCCTTCGGCGAGGCGAGCCGCGCCAAGGTCGCCATGGAGTTCTGCAAGTGGTTCGACGCCGTCGTCTCCTGGCTCACCCTCGTCCAGCGGCGCCACGACGAGCAGCTCGACGACCCCGTCACGCGCGCCGTCGCGATCCGCTACGACGACTTCGTCGCAAAGGAGTCGCGCGAGGACGTGCTCGTCGCGGCGCTGAGGCACCTCGGCGGCTTCTTCGAGACCGACGGCGACGTCGCCAAGGCCGTCGCCGTCTTCGACGTCGACTCCCAGGCGGGCTCCGCGATGACGCGACATTCCGCGGCGCCGTTCCTCACGGACGCGGACCGGACGCTCGCGCGCCGCTGCGTCGCCGACGCGGCCAAGGTCCTCAAGCTCCCGCTCAAGGCCCTCGACGGCGGCGCGAACCTGCTCCTCCCCAACTCCCTCGGCGCCACGGACTGCCCGACCTACAAGACCGTCGAGCCCACGGCGTTCCAGAAGTTCCAGAAGAAGGTCGGGGCCTTCGAGGAGAACAACTGCGCCCAGTCCTAGGCGTCTCCGATACACCAAATTATATTACACGCGCACTTGGCGCCTCTCGCAGCGGTCCGCGGGGCGTCGCGCTCGGTGTGGCCTCGGCGTGACTCGATCGGCGCCCGACTCTGTGGGCGCCGAGAATAATACGGGGTGAGGGCACAGCGACCGCGCGACGTCCCGCCGATCGCTTTTTAGCCGCATATCCGTCCCGTCAGCGTGTCGCACGAGTGCTTCCAGCGCCCGGACGCCTTCATGTTCTCCACGAGCTCCTCCACGGGCTCGTCGTCGGCGTGGGACGGAAGGACGGACGAGATGACGCGGCCGAAGATCGTCTGCTTGGGCTTGGCCCGCGCCGCCGTCAACTGCTCGCGCGGCCGGCGCAGAGCCTTGGAGAGTGCGTCATCCTGGCTCGTGGGCGGCTGGCTGCCGGCGAAGCTCGGCGACGCGAGCCAGCCGGCGAAACTCGGCGACGCCGGTCGCCGGAGCGTGGCAGCACCGCTGAGGGCGCTCGCGGACGGCGCGAGGGTCGCTACCGCGAGAACGGTGACCGCAAAACGGAGTGCCATAGGCGATGACAAGCCCGAAGATCTCGAAGTGCAACCGACCTTCGGCAAAACCTGACGCATCAGCCTCCGGCTCGCTTGGGCCGCTTCGCGCCGCAAGTCTGCGAGCGGATCTGTAGCCTCGGTTTGCAGAGTGGTTCGTGGTGCCGACAGCGGATTTAGAAAGCCTGAAACAGGAGCGGCACAGTCGGCTGTCGCCACGCGGCACCTAGGCCGGGGCGCGCGACGCGTGGACGCGGCAACGTGCCGCCATCAAATCCCAGCCCGTCGCCGGTGGCAAGCTTCCAGCGAGCCCGGCGCCCCGCCGAGACACAGGCTACGCCCCAATGCTGCCCGGAGCGGCAAAAACCGACTCACAGAGCAACTTGAATTCATGTTGCATCATAGGCCAAACAGAGAGCATGAGCTAAGAAGTGCCAAGCGTCAGCGCGCTGCCTCGACAACACAGCAAGAGCATGGCCGAGGCAAATCCAGCTAAGCGCCAGCGCGTCGACACGACATCACCACCATCGCTCGCCCAGATCCGCGTCGGCACGGCGGGCATCATGGGCGGCGGCCTCGACGCGCACCAGGCCGACCTCGACTTCTGCGAGATCAATTCGTCGGCCTACGGCGCGCCGTCGGCGACGACGCTGCGGTCCTGGGCGGCGCGGTCGGCCAGGGGCTTCCGCCTGGGTCTCAAGGCGCCGCAGACGATCACGCACGCGGCGCGCCTCGACGCGCCCGAGCGCTCGGAGGCGTTCCTGCGGAGCCTCGCGCCGCTCGCGGCCAAGGACGTGCTCGGGCCCGTGCTCTTCCAGACGGCGCGCACACTAACGGCGGACGCGGGCAAGCTGCGGCGGCTCCGGGACGCCCTTCGCGCCGCGGGCGTCGACGCCAAGGTGGCGGTCGAGTTCCGCCACCCGTCGTGGCGCGAGTCGCGGGAGGTTTTGGACGTCCTCGTCGAAGCGGACTGGGCGCTCGTCTCGCATCCGAACTCCGTGGGCCGCGCGACGGTCGCGCGCGGGGCGCGCGACGGCTCGGCGCCGTCCTACGAGTTGGACGCCGTCGACGTCGTCGATTCCGAGGCGTCGTGGGCGTACGTGCGCCTCCACGGCCGCAACGACGAGCACACCTACGACTACAGCGACGACGAGTTGCGCGCCTACGCGACCCAGGTCGACGCGCTGCGCCGGCGGCCCCAGATCAAGGAAGTCTACGTCTCGTTCCTCAACGACGACGCGGACAACGCGATGCTGCGAAACGCGAAGCGGTTCCGGGAGCTCGTCCACGCCGAGGCCGGCGAGGCCGTGCCGTTTGCCCCGAAGCAGCCGCGGAAGACGATCCTCTCGTTTTTCAAGCCCAAGGGGGCAACGTAATCACCGGACCGTCTTCTTCTTGGGCACCGTGGTTGATGCGTCGTGCGGCAAGACTCTGCGTTTGTCAATGGCGTTGTGATTTCAAGGCCTGCCAGCCGCGCGACGTATCAACCACGGCAAAGCGGGGTACACGGGGGAGTAAGTCGGACTTCGCGGGGAAGGAGGCGGCCGGGGGTGCGGGCCTCTGGGGGGACCTACTCGATGGTGAAGGTCGTGCGGAACGTGTTGTTCTTCTTGGGCTTCGTCGCGCCGGCCGCGCCGTAGAGGCGGACGTCGATGGCGTCGATGCCCTGGGCCTGGAGCTTGCGGAGCACGTGGGGCGTGTCCGTGAAGTCGAGGCCGAGGTCGTCCTCGATCATCTGGACGGACTGGTGGCCGTCCTGGTGCGTGACGAGGACGTGGAGGTTCGCCGAGTTGGCGCACCAGCCCTCGCCGCCGGGGATGTGCCACGCGTTGCGGATCATGAGCTCGAAGTAGTCGTCGTCGTCGACGGACGCGGACACGTTCGCGTAGTAGTTGTGGAACTCGCCCCGCGTGACCTTGCCGTCCTTCTCGCCGCCGACCTCGAAGGTGTCGAGGAACTCCTGGAGCACCTCGTTCGACGACTTGGCGCCCGCGATGACCTCGGGGTGCTGCGACGTGTCGAACGCGTCGACGAGGTCCTCGACGTCCACGACGCCCGACTTGTCCCGGTCGAGCACCCCAAAGGCCTTGTCCACGAGGCCCACGCGGCGGCTCGCCATGGGCCCCCGCACGGCGAGGAGGAACTCGTCGTAGGAGATGGCGCCGTTCGCGTCGCCGTCGAAGAGCGCGAAGAGCGCGTCGACGTCGTCCGTCGCGAGCCTCAGCCCCGTCTCGGCCATGCACTTGTGGAACTCCACGGGCGAGATGCCGCCGGAGTTGTCGTCGTCGGCGATCTTGAACTTGCGCGCGATGCCCGCGATGCCCCGGCAGCCCAGGAACCGGAGCTTCGCGCGGACGGACTTGAGGACCGCCTGCCCGTCGAACTTCTTGAGCGTGCGGCTCAGGGACCCGTCGGCGGCGCGCGGGCTCGACGCGCCGGGCCCGTAGGCCGGCGCGGGCTTCTCCTGCATGTCCGCGCCGAGCACGCTGTGGAAGACGTCGTTCGGCGACCGCTTCTTGTGCGCGGCGGGCGGCGACGGCGGCGCGTCCGTCTCGCCGATGTTGATCTGCGAGCCGAACATGCCCCCGTGGCCCGCCTGCATCTTCTTCCCGCTCGACCGCGCGTAGGCGTCCGTCTGCTGCGTGCCGCCGCCGGCCGCGCGCGACGCGACGACGCCGCGGAACGTCTTCGGCGACGCCGACTTTTGGGCCGAGGACCTCTTGGCGCCGCCGGAGCCCTCGATGGCGACGGCGTCGACGCCCTGGGCCCGCAGGCGCCGGAGAATCTCCTTCTCGTCCCGGGGCAGCGACAGCCCCAGGTCGTCCTCGACGCACTCGACGGCCTGCGACCCGTCGGACCGCGTCACCAAGACCCGCAGGTTCGTACTGTTGCCGCACCAGCCGTCGCCGCCCGGGATGTGCCAGGCGTTGCGCATCATCAGCTCGAAATAATCATCATCATCGACGGAGCAGGACACGTTCTCGTAGTAGTTCTCGAACTCCTGCGCCGTGACCTTGCCGTCCAGATCGCCGCCGACGTCGAACGTCTCCAGGAACTCGCGGTAGACGTCCTCCGCCGAGGACTTCCCCGCCAGCACGTCCGGGTGCTTCGACGCGTCGTAGCGCGACGCGATCTCCGACGGCTCGATGGCGCCCGAGCCGTCCGCGTCGAGGATCGCGAACGCGCGGCGCGCCATGTCCTTGCGGCGGCCGTTCATCGGCGGGCGCACGGCCCTTAAAAACTCCTCGTAGTCGATGGACCGCGACCCGTCGCGGTCGAAGTGGTCGAACAGGAGGCGCTGCTCGCTGTCCGTGAGCGACGCCATGCCCAGCTCCTTGAGCGCCTTGTGGAACTCGAGCGAGTTGATGCTCTTGGACCCGTCGTCGTCGACGATGCGGAACTTGCGCGCCAGCCCCACGATCCCCCGCGCGCCGTGCGCCGCCAGCTGCGTCCGCAAATCATACAACAAGCGCTCGATGCCCGCGGCGGCCTCGTGGGACCGCGCGCCGAGGCGCCCGACGTCGTGGGCCTTCAAAGCGTCCGCGACGCCGTACGCGTCGCCGAAGCGCGCGCCCGCGGACGCGGAGACGCGGTCCGGCGTCCGCTTCGCCCCGGCCTTGCCCCGGAAGGCGGCGAGGGCGACGGGCTTGCCCGGCGTCGCCGGCGCCGGCGCCGGCGGCGCGGCCTGCTCGCCCGGCGGCCGCCAGACGCGGGTCACGAGCGCGTCGAAGTAGTCGTCGTTCGACACGGCCGCGCCGACGTTGACGTGGTAGGTGACGAACTCGGCGAGGGACGCGGCCTTGTGCTCGGGCACGTCGAAGGTGTCCAGGAACTCGGAGAAGGCGCGGTTCGCCGACTGGCGGCCCGCGAGGACCTCCGGGTGCGACGCCGCGTCGAACGCCGCGGCGACGCGCTCGGGGGGCACGACCGCGACGTCCGGGCCGAAGGCGCGGACCCAGGCCTGTTGCACGAGGGCCAGGCGCCGGGCGCTCAGCGGCGGGCGCACGAGCGTCACGAAGTCGGCGAAGTCGACGGTGCCGTCGCCGTCGGAGTCGCACGTCGCGAACAAGGTCCGGAGCTCCGCGGAACTTAAATGTGCGTCGACCTCGCGCAGCACGCTCGACAGCTCCTCCAGCGTCAGATGGCGGCTCGACGCGCCGCCGACGGCCGCGGCCTTGGCCCTCAGGCGCCGCTCGAAGGCCACGAGGCCGCGCGCGCCGCGCGAGAGCACAAAGTCCTGGTGGAGCCGGCTCGCGATGGCCTTGACGCCCGGGTCCAGGCCCTTCTTGAGCACGTCGACGACGGGCTGGCCCGGCGCCGGCGGCCGCTTCCGCGGCGGCGTCGACTTGCCCGGTAAAGCGGCGCCGCCCGTCGCGCGCGACGCGGCGCCGCCGATCATCTTCCGCCCGCGCGGCCGGTCCTCGAACTTGCGCGAGATGAGCTCCGCGGCGGCGGCGACGTTCGCCGCGCCCTTGGCGGCGACGTCCGCGGCGCCGCCGCGCTGGAGCGCCGCGCCCGCGACGAAGCCGTAGCCGTCGTCGCCGACGCCCGTCGGGCCCGCGTCCACGACCCCGAAGGCGGACGACGCCGACACGCCGCAGTGGTCGCGCAGCGCCGCGCAGAGCGCGTCGGAGTCGTCGGGCGCGATATGGAGCGACGCCGGGAGCTTCTCCACGGACGACCGGCCGTCCGTGCGCCGCGCGACGACGGTCAGGAACGCCTCGCCGTCGCGCATGGCCTCGTCGGACTGGACGCCCTCGAGGCGCCAGACGTTGCGCACGAGGAGCTTGAAGTAGGCGTCGTCGCCGACGGCGGCGGACACGCAGCGGTGGTAGTCGAAGAACTCGTCGGAGCCGACGTAGGGCTCGCCGCACGCGGACTCCTTCACGTCGAAGGACGCCAGGAAGTCGTCGTAGGCGTGCTGGGCCGACACGCGGCCCGCGAGCACCTCCGGGTGCTGCGACGCGTCGAAGGTCGCCGCGAGCTTCGAGGGGGGCACCCGGCCGTCGCCGTCCGCGTCGAGCCGCTTGAACGCGACCTCCACCAAATTCGCGCGCGGCAGCGACATGTGGGGGAGCCGCAGCGCGGCGACGCAGGCGCCCACCGTCGCGTTGCCGCTCGAGTCGCCGTCGACGGACTCGAAGACGCGCCGGAGCTCGCCGTCGGTGGCCACGGACACGGACGCGTCGCGGATCGCGGATTTGAACGCCGCGAGCGTGAGGTAGCCGCCCGGGTCCGCGGCGGCGGCGAGGTGGCGCTTCAGGGCGACGAACCCCCGGGGCCCGCGCTTGCGCAGCTCCGCCGCGACGCGCTTCGCGACGAGCTGCACGCCCGCGCCCGCGGCGCCGTCGCCGGACGTCTGCGGCGCCGACGTCGGGCCCATGGGCGCGACGTTGTCCGCGAGCGTCGTCTTGAGCTTGGCGTCGGCGATGCGGTCGAGGGCGGATTTGGGCCGCGGCGCGAAGGGGTTCGACGGCGCCGGCGACGCGGGCGCGGTGCGGGGGCGCGCGAGCTGCGAGGCGTAGTCGGGCGACGCGAGGCCGCGCTCCACGGCCGCGAGGGACCGCGCGCCGCCGCGCGCCGGCGCCGGCGCGGTCGCCGCGGGCGCTGCCGCCCAGGCCGCCTTCGGGGCCGGCGCCTTCGCGGCCGACCGCTGGTCGTCGCGGCCGTCGTAGAGGAGGTCGACGGTCGCCGCGTTGACGCCGACGAGCTGGAGGCGCCGCACGGCCTCGCGCTCGTCGAGCGCGCCCGACGCGTCGCGCAGCGTGCCGTCGTCCACGAGGTCGTGCGTCTTCTGGTGGCCGTTGGCCAGCGTCACGCGGACCCGGAGCTCGCGCTCGCCGTCGTGCGCCGCCGCGAGGCGCGCGCCGCCGGCCGCGGACGGCGACACGTGCCAGACGCCGCCGACGAGGGCGTCGAAGCGCGTCTCGGAAGTTTCGAAGGCGCCCAGGTTCGCGTAGTAGCCCTCGAAGTCCGCGAGGCGCACGAGGCCGCCCGCGTCGCCGACGTCGAAGTTGTCCATGAACGTCGCGTACGCGTCCTCCGGCGTCGCCAAACCCGCGAGCACGTCCGGGTGGGCCTGGGCGTCGAAGCGCTCGGCCAAAGCGCCGGGCGACACGGCGCCGGCGTTCTCGACGTCGAGCGTGTCGAACGCGAGGCGCACGAGCGCGCGGCGCCGGTCGCTCAGCGGGCCCCGGACGCAGGCCACGAACTCCGCGTAGTCGAGCGCCGCGGACCGGTCCGCGTCGAAGAAGGTGAAGACCTGCTCCGCGTCGCCGCGCGTGCACGAAAAGTTGACCCGTCGCAGCGCCTCGACGAACTCGCCGAGCTCGAGGACGCCGTTCCGGTTACCGTCGACGGCGAGGAACGACCGCCGGAGCCGGTGGAGGCCGTGGCTGCCCACCGTGTCCTTGAGGTGGCGCCGCAGCGCGTCGACGACGCCCTGGGTCCCCGCGGGCAGCGCGTCCCGCAGGCCCAGGGGCACGCGCGTCTCCATCGCGTCGACCTGCGCGCCGCTGCGGCCGACGCCCGCCGCGCCGCGGACGGCCGTCGCGAGGTCGTCGCCGAGGCCCGTCGTCGCCTGGCGGCGGGCCAGGACCGCCGCGGACTTGGCCGCGCCGAGGGTCGTCGCCGGCGCGCGGCGCGGCGGCGCGGCCGCCGCGAGCGGCGCCGCGTGCGCCCGCGCGTACTTCTTCGCCCAGCTCGCCTGCTTCGCGCCGTCGTCCGTGAAGGTCTGGCCCGCGGCGGACGTCACGGCGACGGCGTCGACGCCCTGGGCCCGCAGCCGCTTCAGGACCTCGAGGGCGTCCTCGGGCAGCGACAGCCCGAGGTCGTCCTCGACCATCTCCACCGACTGCGACCCGTCCGCGTGCGTCACGAGCACGCGTAGATTCGCCGTGTTCGCGCACCAGCCCTCGCCGCCGGGGATGTGCCAGGCGTTGCGGATCACGAGCTCGAAGTAGTCGTCGTCGTCGATGGAGCAGGACACGTTGTGGTAGTAGTGGTCGAACTCCGCGCGCGTCACCTTGCCGTCGACGACGCCGCCGACGTCGAAGGTGTCGAGGAACTCGCGGAGCACCTCGTCGGGCGACTTCTTGCCTTGCTTCACGTCCGGGTGCTGGGACGCGTCGAACTTGTCGACGACGTCCTGGCACTCGATGACGCCCGAGCCGTCCGCGTCGAGGACCTGGAACGCGAGCGCGACGAGATCCTTGCGCCGCTGCGACATGGGCCCCCGGAGGTGGGCGAGGAACTCCTCGTAGTCGACGTCGCCGGAGCCGTCGTCGTCCAGATACGCGAAGAGCGTCGCGTAGTCCTCCTGGCGCGGCAGGTGGCACTGCGAGTTCTTCACGCTTCGCTCGAACTCGCTGAGGTCGACGCCGCCCGAGCGGTCGCGGTCCGCGATGCGGAAGTTGCGGGCCAGCGTGACGATGCCCGTCACGCCGCGCGCCTTGAGGGCCTTGCGCAGGCAGTCGAGGGCGAACTCGGCCGTCGCGGGGGCCGTGGGGGCCGCGGCGGGCGCGGCGCGGCCGCTCGCGGCGGCGCGGCCGTTCGCGGCGGCGCGGCCGTTCGCCTTGCCGTCGCCGAAGGTCGCGCCCGCGGCGGACGTCACGGAGACGGCGTCGACGCCCTGGGCCCGCAGCCGCTTGAGGACCTCGTAGGCGTCCTTGGGCAGCGACAGCCCGAGGTCGTCCTCGACCGCCTCGACCGACTGCGAGCCGTCCGCGTGCGTCACGAGCACCCGTAGATTCGCCGTGTTCGCGCACCAGCCCTCGCCGCCGGCGATGTGCCAGGCGTTGCGGATCATCAGTTCGAAGTAGTCGTCGTCGTCGATGGAGCAGGACACGTTGTGGTAGTAGTTGAGGAACTCGTCCTTCGTCACCTTGCCGTCGACGACGCCGCCGACGTCGAAGGTGTCCAGGAACTCGCGCATGACCTCGTCGGGCGTGCGCGCCCCCTTCTTCACGTCCGGGTGCTTCGAGGCGTCGAAGCGCGACACGATGTCCGACGGCTCGACGACGCCCGAGCCGTCCGCGTCGAGCACGGAAAAGGCCTCGGCGACCATGGCCTGGCGCCGCGCGTTCGGCGGGCCCCGGATCGCGGCGAGGAACTCGTCGTAGTCGACCTCGCCGGACCGGTCCGCGTCGAAGTAGGCGAAGAGGGCGCTGATGTCGGAGCTGTCGAGGCCGCTCTGCGAGTTTTTGACGGACCGCTCGAACTCCACTTCCCTTAGCGCGCCGGAGCGGTCCCGGTCGGCGATGCGGAAGTTGCGCGCGAGGGCGACGATGCCCCGCACGCCCCGCTTCTTGAGCGCCGCCCGCAGCGAGTCCAGCGCGCGCTCCGCGGGCCGCGCGGCCGCGGCGGCCGCGCGCGCCGACGCGTCGCCGAGCGGCCGCGCGGCGCGCTTCCGCGACGACACGGCGGCGCCCCGGGGCCGCCACACGGCCTCCATCGTCGCCTCGAACTCGTTGTCGCCCACGAAGGCCGCGCTGAGGCGGTAGAAGTCGAGCAGGCCCTCGAGCGTCACGCGGCCGTGCGACACGCAGCCGGACTCGCGGAGCGCGCCCATGAACTCGGAGAGCACCGCCGCCGCCGTCTTCGCGCCCCGCTCGACGTCCGGGTGGCGGTCCGCGCGGTAGCAGGCGCCGACGTCGCCGAGGGACGCCGCGTCGCCGCCGCCCTCGCCGACGATGCGCCGGAAGACCTGGCCGACGAGCGCGCGGCGCCGCGGCGACAGGCCGCCCGCGAGCGCGTGCACGAACCTGCGGCGGCGCTCGGCTCGACGGGCGGCGCGCCGCGGACGCGCGACGACGCCGCGGCGGGCTCGCTCCGGGTCACCTGGCCGTCGCCGGTCTTGTCCATCTCGACGAAGAGGCTCCTCACCTGCGCGCGCGGCGGTCGCGCGGCCCGCCGGAGCGCGCCGCCGGGACGCCGCGGAGACGCGCGTCGGCGCTCGAGAGCCGCAGGCCGGCGCCGGCGATGCCGCGCGAGAACTCCTCGAGGGTCAGCTTGCCGGAGCCGTCGGCGTCCATGAGCCGGAACTGCGACGCGAGGTGCGTCGCGCCGCGCACGCCCTGCGCCGCGAGCCCATTCTGGACGTTGATGATGATGCGGTCGACGACGACCATGGCGGCGGAAGGCCGGCGCCGGTGCTGCGCAGCGCGGTACCGACCGCGCAAATTGCGGTGGTGCTGCGGCGCCGTTCCTCGAGCAAAATTGGCTGCCCCGGTCCGTTCTCGAGTGCACGCTTCGCGTCAACGACGTCTCGCGTCGCGATATACTAGCCGTTATTGACTTTCTTTTCTTAGCGCCCGAGAACCACCAACCAACTGCTATGGGGCTGCTTCCGCGCTGCGCGCTCCTCGCCGTGGCGGCCGCCGCCGCCGACGTCGCCGACATTGCCGACTTCCGGAACTACGCCGCGGGGAAGCTCAAGGCCGGCCTCGCGCAGAAGAAGCTGGCGGCGGCCTTCGACGGCTCGGAGGCGGCGCGCATGCGGCGCCCGAAGCGCATGCTCGACACGATCCACCCCTACATCCGCGAGGCCTGGGACACGAAGGGCCGCGTCGACCCCGAGGATTGGCAGCGGGCCCTGGACAAAGCGGAGCTCACGCCGAAGAAGGACGTCGCGGCGGAGAAGGCCAAGGCCCGCGCCGCGCGGAACGAGGTCGCGCGCGTGTCCCAGGCCGCGCCCGACGACGACGACTACGCGGGCCAGTGCGCCGACTTCTCCCACAGCACGGGCTGCTTCTCCGGGGGCTGGACCGACGACGACTTCATGACGCAAATGCAGATGTACGGCCTCAGCAGCCCGACGGCGTGCAACACGTGCGGCTTCAGCGAGGACGTGTCGGAACTCGGCCCCCTCGACTGCATGGACTGCGCCGAGAGCGGCGCCATCCTCGTCGTCGGCTTCTCCGACTGCACGGGCATGTGCGTCGACGAGATGACCATGGAGATCGCGACGACGATGATCGGCTTCGGCGGCATCGACGACTCCGCGTGCGTGCCCTACGCCGCCTGCTACGACGGCGACAGCCCCGTGCTCTCCGCGGCGACGGGCGGCACGAACACCTTCTTCCTCGACGGCGGCTACGCGCACGAGGCGGACGACCACGAGGGCCGCGAGCACGGCGAGGACGACGACCACCACGCCGAGGACGACGACGCGCTCATGGCGGCGAGCATGGCCGCGGTGGAGTGCATGGCCTCGAACTGCCCGACCTTCGACGACTTCGACTACTACTCGTACTCGTACGACTCGGACGACAACTACTTCGACGGCACCTGCGCGTCCGTGAGCGACATCGTCGAATTCGCCTACCAGTGCACCATGGGCGACGACTCCTGCTCCGCCTGCGCCGACCTGATTCGCACGTACGTCGAAGACATGTATGAGTACATCCTCACGGGAATTGGGCTCGACTGCGACCTCTCCTGCCCGGCCGTGGGCGTCACGAACGTCGTCACGGGCGACCTCACCGTCGAGGGCATGACCCTCGCGGACGCCGAGGCCAACGAGGCCGTCTTCATCGGGGCGATCGCCGACTCCGTCGGCGTCCAGGACGAGTACGTCACCGTGACCATCTCCGCCGCGTCCCGCCGCCGCCGCCTGACGGACACGCTCACCGTCGCCTACACCATCGAGACGCCCACGCTCGAAATGGCCGAAGAAGCCGCCGCGGAGCTCGGCGCGATGAGCGCCTCCGAGATCGACGCCGCCTTCCAGGCCGAGGCCGCGGACCAGGGCGTGTCGTCGGAATTCGCGTCCGTCCAGACGACGGCCGCGTCCACGCCCACGGCCAGCACCGAGGGCGAGGCCCTCGACGGCGCGTCCGCGGCCTCCGCGTTCGGCGTCGTGCTCTCCGCCGCCGTGGGCCTCGCCGCGCTCGCCTGAAGCTGACGGCCGTCCGACGCCCGCGCGCGCGCGCCGGCGCCCCTCCCCCCTCCCGCGTCCCCGAAATTCCGGCGCGCTGATCTCGCGCGTAATCCGGACTCCTTAGATGGCCCTTGAACATCAACTTAAGTAAAGCAGATCGGAGTTAATTTTGACCCCTCGAGCTATGGGAGCTATTGGCACTTTTTTTTTGACTTTTTTTTTTCGATGCACCTACGCGCCCCGGCGGACCCCCGGGGCACCAGGGGGTGGGGAAGGGCGCTGCGACGCGGCGGGTTGTCGAGGAACTCGCTTTAGCGCGCGTGCGACGGCCGCGTGTCGCGCCCGCGCGGGACCGCGCGGCGCATTACGACGGTCGGCGCGCGTTCGCCCCCCCCGCGCGCTCGCGCACGCCCCGGGCGGGTCCCCGGGGACCCCCTGGACCCCCCGCGGCTCGCGGCGCAAAAAAAAAAAAGTGAAAAAAAAAAGTGACCATAGCTCGGGGGGTCAAAATTACCTTAACCCCGGGTTGCTTTACCGGCTGTGACTGGCGAGCACACAGCTCGCAATGCTGCTCATGCTCCTCCTGGCGCTGCGGTCCGCGGCGTCCCTCGTCGCGCCGCGCCCGTCATCGCTGCTGCGCGCGCCGGCGCGCCGCGCGGCGAGCCTCGGCGACTACTTCGCGCTGCCGGCGGAGGCGTCGGCGGCGCTCGCGGCGCGGGGCATCGAGGTCGCGGCGCCGGCGCAGGAGGCCTTCTGGAGTTCGAGCCACGACGGGCCGGGCGCGGCGAAGGGCGAGTCGGCGTGCCTCCACGCGCCGACGGGCAGCGGCAAGACGCTCGCCATGCTCCTGCCGGCCGTCGCGCGCGTGCTCTGGGGCGGCCGCGCCAAGGGCCGCGTGCTCGTGCTCGCGCCGTCGCGCGAGCTCGTCGCGCAGCACGCGGACGTGCTCGGCGCCCTCGCCGGCGAGGGCGCCGTCGCGTCGGTGACGACGTCCGGCGTCGGCGCGCCCGGCGGCCTCGCCGCGGCCGCGGCCGCGATCGTAGACTCGCGCTGCGTCGCGGCGACCCCTTCCGAGCTCTGCGCGGTGCTCGAGCACGCGCCGGACCTCTACGGCGCTTTAAACGTCGAGGCCCTGGTCCTCGACGAGCTCGACCTGCTCATGCCCGCGCGCAAGTTCGGCGGCAAACGCGCGAGCCGGTGGCAGGACCGCGGGCGCCACCCGGCCGAGGCGCTCGCGCAGCTCGTCGCGAAGCGCGGCGTCGAGACGCTCCAGGTCGTCGCCGGGTCCGCGACGCTCGACCGGGCGTCGCGGAAGAAGCTCGACGCCGTGCTCAGGGCGTCGCCGCTGGTGCGGCCGCCGCTCCGGACCGTGAGCCTCGCTCCCGCCGGCGCCGTCGCGCTGACCGTGAAGACGTCGCTGCCCCTGGGCCCGAAGAACGTGCGCACGACGCTCACGTCCGAGCGGCTCCGCCACTGCGCGGTGAGCCTGCCGAGCAAGGCCGGCGACGCCGCGGCGCTCGACGCGGTCGTCGACGCGCTCGGCGCTTTGAAGCCCGCGCGCGCGCTGCTCTTCGTCTGCTCGAGCTCGGGCCTCAAGGTGCGCGCCGTCGCCGACGCCCTCGGCGCGCGCGCGGCCGGCGAGACCGTGGTCCTCAACGACGCGCTCTTCCCGTCGAGCCAGCGGAACCGGCGCCGGGGCTACGCGGACGCGGACGCGGCCGAGAAGAAGGCGCGCGAGGCGCGCGAGCGGGCCATGGACAGCGGCGGCCGCGACGCCCTGTCGCGCGCCGGCGCCGAGGAGCTGCGGGCCGCCCTCTGCGCCGCGACGCCCGCGGCGCCCGTCGTCCTCGTCGCGGACCAAGCCGTGACGCGCGGGCTCCACGTCGACGCCGTCGACGCCGTCGTCGTGCTGGGCAAGCCCGCGAACGCCGACACCTACGTCCACCTCGCCGGCCGCGCGGACCGCGACCCGCTCCGGGAGGCCGGCGGCGAGCGGCCCGCGGTGCTCACGGTCGCGAAGCGCCGCGACGTCGCCGCGCTGCGGGGCTGGCTCTCGGAGTTGGGCGCGGACCTCGAGGACGTCGACCTCGCGCCGCCGCCCGACCGGCCCGACGACGGCATGAACGCCAAGGAGCGGCGGAAGGCGAAGCGCGCCGCGGAGCGCGAGGCCGCCGAGGCCGCGGCGCAGGTCTAAGAAGGCTTCTCGCGCATGCGACGCGCGGCGAGGCGCCGGAGAGAAGGTCCCTTACTTGCAACATATCCCGCCGGCGGGCTATGTTAAACGCCGCGTCAACTTGGGTTTCAACCTCAAACCTTGCACGTCAACAGGGACCTCGACACAGCCGCTTGCCCTTGAAAAGGGACCTCACCCCCGCCGCTCGCGCCTTGCGGAGGACCTCGGACGCGCCGCCCACGCCTTAGAGTGCGCGACCCGCCCCAAAACCACGTGCCAGAAGCCCCCCGGCGACACCCTCATCGGCGAACGAGTTTTACGAGCGGGCGGCGACAAGCGGAGCGACCGGGCGGATACGATCGGAACGAACGTTGTGAACTTTGGCGAGCTAGGCGACGGCGGTCGGCGGCGCGTACTTTGGGAAGCAAGTCGGCGAGTCGAGCATCTTTTCGAGCTCTTCGGCGTATATCATACCGACGTCGAAGGCCGACGGCGCGTCGTCGGCGTCGGACGCGAAGTCGAGGACGTAGGACGCGCGGCGCGCGAGCGTCTGCCAGTGGACGAGGATCTCCGTCTCGACGTCCGCGGCGATGGCCGCGTTGCGCGCGTTGACGTTGCCACCGCCGCGCTCCGCGTCCAAATTCTCGCGGGCCCGGAGCGCCTCCGTCGCGACGTCGTCGAGCCTCTCCATGGCCGCGCGCTCGTTGCGCCAGGACACCGGCGCCGGCGCGATCGTCGCCGCCCACTGCTCGGCGACGTCCGGGAGCGCGAGGAGCGCGTCGACCTCCGCTTCGGACGCGACGGCGACGCGGCAGAGCGCGAGCAGCAGGCGCCCGCTCGTCGGGTCGCCGAAGCCCACGCGCACCCTCCGCTCGCCGCGGGCCCAGTCGGTGTCGTGTAGGTCCTCGTCGCGGAACCAGAGGCTCCGCTTCGCGCTCCGGCCCGGGAGAGCGTCGAAGAGTCGCGTCTGCCGTCGGCTCGCGACGTCGAACCCGCTCGACGCTTCGCTCCGCTCGCGCGCGTCGAGCGACACGGAGACCGTCGCGCAATCCTGGCTCGACGCGGCGTCGCGGCCCAAGAAGCCGTAGTTCAGGAGCGACCCCGCGGCGCTCAGGTCGCCGTAGGAGATGGACATCTCGCCCGGTTCGATGTCCCGCAGCGCCCGCACGACGAAGTCGCCGCGGACGTCGCCGGGCAGGCGCTCGACGCCCCACTCGCAGGACGCCCCGTCGGACACCTGGGCAGCACAAGAGTGATTCGACGTCTCTTCAACGTGAGTGTTCCGCGCGCGCGCGTTCCAAAGAAGGCACCCACGCTTCGAGACCGTTCCGAGAGATGATCGCTCGTCCAAAAGTCAGCCGAAACGAGTGGAAAACGGCCGAGATATGAGCCTTTGAAGTTGGGAATTTCGCTCTCTTGTGCCGCCCCGTCGGACACGGCGACGTGGTTGATCATGTCGACCAGGGGTATGAGGGCGCTCACGCCGTGCACGTAGGCGTCGTCGTAGTCCTCGCCGACGCAGGACCCCGGCGGCAGCGGGCCGTCGCCGGGCATCGAGAACGCGCGCGAGGCCACGATCGCCTTGGCCTGCGCCGGAAACGACCGGTGAGCCGGATCAGTCCGGCGAAACTTCTCATCTCTGTATCTCAGTCGAATCGACGTCGATTCGGCCGACGTTCGGACGGGTCGGTTGCTCTCGTCGAGTCCTTTCCGGGGAGTCGAACGCTCGCGTCGAAACTGTTCGATCGCGCGCCCGTCGAAGTCTCGTCGGGCGTTTCGTGTCCTGCCCGGGCCTCGGCCCAGGCCCAGCGCTCGCGGTCGCACGACGCCGCGTAGTCCGGCGAAACCCTCCGGAGCTCCGCGTGAAAGGCGTCGTCGCTCTTCACGCGCCCCCCCAATCTCCGGCCGACGTCGCTGTAGGCGAGGAGCGCGAGGTCGTCGCCCGCCCAGAACACGGGCAGGTGCGCGAGGTCCGCGACGGTGGGCAGGCTCTTGATGAACTCGGAGCTCGCGTCCTGCTCGAGGAGCCACACGGCGAGCAGGTCGCCGTCCGACGCGCCCTCGAGCGTCTTCGCCGCGGCGCCGGACGCGTACGCGAGCGCCGCGTCCGACGTGATCGCGAGCGCGCGCGGCACGCGGATGAGCACGCTGCCCTTCGCGTGGGCCGCCGTCGCGACGATCGCGCGCTCCGTGCCGCCGCAGGGCGCGATGCGGCAGTCCGTGAAGGACGCGCCGCCGCGCTCCATCTCTTGTTGTAATATGCCGTAATCGTCCGTGGTTTCGGTCGCAGCGAGCGCTGCAGCGGTGCGTTTTCTGGCAGCGGTGCGCAGAGGGGTGCGCTGCTGCAGCGCGCGCGCGATGCCGATGACGTAAAGCGCTCTCCAGCTCATTGCGAGGCCGAGCTTATTGCGCGCAGCAGCAGGTCCCCATCCCGCCGGGTCAGTGCTCTCCTTCAGCGTCGACCTCTCTCTTGAGGAGCTTCCCTGTGGCAAGAAGCCGTCTCGTTGACGCTGTTGAACTTGCCCCGACCAGGTCGACCGATGTTGGCAGCCCCGGCACCCTAGGAAGCAGCAGCATGGGAGAATCGCCGGCCGTGGAGCTACGGCGGGCGCCGTCGGGCGCGAAGCGTTCCTCCTTAGAATCGCCGGCCGTGGAGCTACGGCGGGCGCCGTCGGGCGCGAAGCGTTCCTCCTTCTCTCCCGAGGAGCACGAGACCCGCGGCGTGGCCATCTTCTACAGCCCGAGCCGGCTGCGGCTCTGGAACGCCTTCCTCACGCTCAAGAGCGGCACGCTGCTCATCCAGATCAAGAACGTCGTCTTGATCTACGCCGTCCTGAGCCTCGGCGTCTTCATGGTCTTCTACAGCAGCGCCAAGGGCTGCGGCTTCCTCGTCTACGAGAGGGCGGCCATGGACGCGAGGGCGGAGGTCGACGGCGACGTCGCGGACTACGACAGCGACGGCGACGAGGCGCGGTGCCTGCGGTGGATCGCAGCGTCGAGCGACGGGAGTGCATTTTCGCGCAATTCTCGCCCGAGACGAAAAAAATCCCGACCCTGTCGCCAATTCTCGCCCGAGACGAAAAAATCCCGACCCTGTCGTCCTTCGTAGGTGGATCGAGTGGCTCATGCGCATGCTCGCGCCCTGCAACGAGGTCTATCAGACGATCACGCTCCTCGCGTCGTTCCTGTTGTCCATGTACGTGTCGCAGGCGCTGACGCGCTACTTCAAGTACCTCGACGAGGGCCGGGCGCTCCAGCGCGCCATCTACGACTTCTGCTTCTCGGTGCGGCCCCACGTCGACGTGAGCCACGCGGGCGCGCACGAGTTTCTGACGACGACGCAGCGCTACCTCGGCCTCGCGCACATCTACGTCTGGGCGCGCATCGCGCCGTTCCAGGTCGTCGAGGAGGGCTTCGCGGCGTCGGACCTGCTCGCCCACCTGACGGAGACGGACTTCATGGGGCTCCGGGTGGTCACGGACAAGGAGGCGGCGGTGCTCGCGCGGTTCAGCGAGGACCAGGTCCACATCGTGCTGCTCGCGTGGGTGTCGGAGCTCGTCAAGGAGGCCCACGACGCCGACCTGTTGGAGCTCGAGGCGCCGAACTACGCGCAGGTCCAGGACAACCTCAACAAGATCACGTCCGCGGCGATGCGAATCCTGGCGACGGCGGACACGCTCGTGCCCCACGTCTACGCGCAGATGATGCAGGTGAGCGTCGACGCGGTCTGCGTGTTGGCGGCCTTCTCCGCGACCTACATCACGGTGAAGGCGCTCCTCGACGACTACCCCGTCGTCCGGAGCCTCGAGTCCGTGTGGCTGCCCGTCTTCGCCGTCGGCAGTTCGACGGTGCAGACGATCTTCTACCAGGGCTTCGTCATCATGGCCAACGACATGATGCACCCTTTCGATCGGCGCCGCAAGCTCACGTCCCTCAAGCGCAAGTGGATCCGCGGCGTCCAGCGCGTCTTCTGCTGCGCGGCGGCCGAGGCCGTCGGCCGGGAGAACATGGCGAAGATGGACGTCATGAAGCTGCTGAGCGAGACCCACGTCTGGGTCGAGTCGCTCCTCTACCCGCCCCTACGGCCCGCCAAGGCCGAGGCCCTCAAGCGCGTCTCCGCGGACGGCGCGCTCGGCGACCGGCTCTTCGCGATCTCGCGGAAGCAGAAGCGGAAGCAGCGCCGCGTGTCGTCCGTCGAGTGGCGCGCGACGAACACCTTCGAGGCCACGGCCGCCGCGCCGCCGGAGGAGGAGGAGGACGAGGAGGACGAGGAGGAGGAAGAGGCGGAGGCCAAGGAGGAGGTCCCCCCCGCGCGCGGCGGGCGGACGCCCCTGCCCCCGAGTTCCAAGTCCTTCTTCTCCGTCGTGACCAACCCCCTCGGGCGGCACGGTCTACGATGATGGCGTGAAGACTCGGGTAAGTTTCGAGGGTGCGTTAGGGCCAGTAGGGGGAACCAAAGGCCTCGGGCCGCGTGAGCGGGAAGAGGAGCGCGCCGAAGAGGGCCATGCCGGCGCCGTGGAGCGCGAAGAGCAACGTCCGGTGCTTGTGGAGCACGACCTGGACGAGCTTTTCGCGCTTCGAGAGCCAGGGCAGGTCGCTGGGCACGCAGCTAAAGTCGAGGTCCGGCAGGCCCATGTAGTTGCAGAAGCCGTGGCACGCGAACGCCGCGGCGAGGTTGCCCGTCCGCGCGAACACAAAGGCCGTGTAGACGCCGAAGAGCGTCGTGTAGGCGAACTGGAAGAGCGTCTGGCCCAGGGCCTCGAGCACGGGCGCGCGGTCGTCGCGCACGCGCCGCCGGAGGTGGTGGAGGTGCGCGACGCCGAAGAACAGCGGGCTGCAGCACACCGCGCGCGCGGTGCCCAGGCCCGCGTCGAGGAGCAGCGGCACCATGCAGGCCCGGAACACGAACTCCTCGCTCAGCGGGCCGACGACCAGATTCCGCAGCGACATCTCCAGCGCGCCGGGGATCGCGTAGTGCGCGCGGCGCTCCTCCCGGAGCTCGTCTAAGACCTTGACCGCGCCGTCGAGCCAGTCGAGCCGCGTCCGCACCTGCCCGTCGCAGTTCGCGTCGACGGCGACGTAGAAGCCCAGGCCCGCGACGCTCAGCGGGCCCAGGTAGAGGCTCGCCGTGAGCGCGAGCGCGCGCCGCGCCGCGAGCGCCGCCGTGTCGCCGCGCAGGCCGAGCGCGGCGGCGAGCGGCAGGCGACGGCACCGGCCGCCGCCGGCCGCGGCGAAGAGCGCCAGCGACAGCAGCGACGCCACGCTCACGGCGACGAAGCGCGCGCGGATGTGGTGCGGGTGGTCCCGGTGGAGCGCACGCAGCCGCTCCGGCACGGCGTAGAGGCTGCCGACGTAGAGGCTCCCCAGGAGCACGCACCACACGCAGGCGCCGCCGAGCGACAGCTCGCACGGCATGGCGCGTGTCGCAGCGCGGTAACGCGACGAGTTGTGTTACTGCGCGAGCGCCACCACTCAGTGATGACGGCGTCGGGCGGCACGGACGACTTGGCAAGTGGCAAACGTCGCTGATCTTGCGGCAATTCCAGCCTGAGTCCATCGGAGCTCGACGATGGAGACACGGCCAGGTCCCTGATCGAGCTGAAACCCCGCAAACACCATGTCCACGAAGCGGACGAAGAAGACGGACGACGACGGCGACGTGTCGAAGACGTTCCGGTCCGCCATCCGCCACGACATCGTGGGCCTCCTCGAGGCCTGGGCGAGCGGCGCGGACCCGTCCTGGCCGAGCTTCAAGGCCGAGTGGAAGGCGCGGGAGATGTCGCTGCTGCACCACGCGCCGTTCCGCGTGAACAACCCGCCGAGCCGCGCCGCCTGCTGCCAGGCGCTCTTCCGCACGTGCCTCGAGCTCCTGCGCGAGGAGTGGGACCGGCCGCTTTCCGCGGGCGCGGCGGCGGCCGCGGTGCCGCGGGACCTGCGCTGGCGCTGCGGCTGCGTCTTCGCGCTGCACACGTTCCACGGCACGCAGTGCCCGCCGACCGTCGCCGTCGAGGCCATGGCGCGCGCGCACATGCGGAAGAAGCCGGCCGTCGACCCGCGGCGCTGGATGGTCGGCGCGCGCGTCGACGACGCGGCCCTCGAGGCGCTGCTCCGGGCCCGCGACGAGTTCGCCGCGAACCCGGGAACCCTCGCGCGCGACGCGGGCAACGTCCTCCGGGGCCTCGCGGAGAGCTACGCGCTCGAGCTCGCGTGCGGCGCGCGGCCGGACTGGGTCGAGCGGTCGCCCGCGCCGGTGCCGGGCGACGACGCGGCGCCGGACGGCGCCTTCGACTGGGCCGCGCTCCGCGGCGCCGCGGCGGCCTACGACGGCCTGCGGCGGACGTGCGCCGCGCTGCCGCCGCGGCCGCCGTCGTCCGTCGCCGCGGACCTCGAAAGGCTCCGGGACGCGTACGCCGCGCCGCCGGCGCCCGTCCCCGACGAGGGCGGCGACGGCGCCGCGGACGACGGCGCCGACGCGCCGGCGCCGGCGCCGGCGCCCGCGGGGTCGCCGCGCGCGGGCCGCATCGACCCGCGGCTCCTCGAGGACCTCGACGACCTCTCGGACGACGACGACTAGGTAAGTCGACTTGGTGTTCGGTTACGAGCGGGGGGATTTCGTGGGGCCTACTTCTAGACTAGGCGCGTAAGTCGACTTGGTGTTCGGTTACGAGCGAGGGGGTTCGCGGGGCCTACTTCTTGCCTTTGCCCTTCTTGTCCCAGCCGGGCTTCTTGCACATGCGGATGGACTCCGGCGTGACCTCGACGAGCTCGTCGTTGGTGATGTACTCGACGGCGGAGTCGAGCGTGAGCTCGAGGGGCGGCGAGAGGCCCTCGACGATGCCCTTGGTCGCGGAGCGCATGTTCGTGAGCTGCTTCTGCTTGCAGATGTTGACGCGGAGGTCGCCCGGCCGCTGGTGGACGCCGACGATCATGTCCTTGTAGACGGACGTCTTGGGCGTCGCGAAGAGCTGGCCGCGGTCCTGCGCGCCCGTGAGGCCGAAGGACGTCGCCTCGCCGTCCTCGAACGCGAGGAGCGACCCCTTCTCGCGCGCCTCGAGGTCGCCCGCGAAGGGCCGGTAGGAGTCGAAGTTGCTGTCGATGACGGCCGTGCCGCGCGTCGCCGAGAGCATGTTCGTGCGCAGGCCGATGGACGACCGCGTGGGCAGGAGGTACTTGACGTACGTGAAGTCGCCCGTCTCCGTCTTGCCCATGTCCGTCATCTCGCCCTTGCGGCGGTTCAGCAGGTCCACGACGTTCGACGCGTACTCGTCGGGCACCTGGATCTCCAGCGCGTCGAAGGGCTCGGACTTGACGCCGTCGACGTCCTTGATGATGACCTCCGGCGGGCCGATCTCGAGCTCGAAGCCCTCGCGGCGCATCGTCTCGATGAGCACCGTGAGGTGGAGGGGCCCGCGGCCGCTGACCTTGAAGGCGTCGCCCGAGTCCTGGGGCTCGACCTGGAGCGCGACGTTGCGGTCGAGCTCCTTCATGAGGCGGTCGCGGATGACGCGGCTCGTGAGCTTGTCGCCCTCCTTGCCCGCGAGCGGCGACTTGTTCACGGCGAAGGACATGGACACCGTGGGCTCCTCGACCTCCAGCGGCTCCATGGGCAGCGGCGCGTCCTTGGCGACGACGGTCTCGCCGATCATGATGTCGGACACGCCGGAGAACATGACGATCTCGCCCGCGGCCGCCTCCGTGACGGCCTTGCGGCCCAGGTTGTCGTAGACGAAGAGGTCGTTGACGGCGATGGGCCGCATGGTGTCGTCGGGCCCCATCATTGCCCCGAAGGAGCCCTTGTCGTTGGCCTTGAGCACGCCGGAGCGCACGCGGCCGATGCCGAGCTTGCCCTTGAAGTCGTCGAAGTCGATGTTCGCGACGAGGAGCTGCACGGGCGCCTCCCTGTCGACCATGGGCGGCGGGATGGACTCGATGATGGCGTCCAGGATGGGCGCCATGTTGTCCTGGAGGTCGTCGGGCTCGACGCCGCTCTTGCCCTGGAGCGCGGACGCGTAGACGATGCTAAAGTCCGTCTGCTCGTCGTTCGCGTCGAGCTCCACGAAGAGGTCGAAGGCCTTGTCGACGACGTAGTCGGGCCGCGCCGAGGGGCGGTCGATCTTGTTCACGACGAGCACGGCCTGGAGGCCGAGCTCCAGCGCCTTCTTGAGCACGAACCGCGTCTGCGGCTTCGGCCCCTCGACGGAGTCGACGACGAGCAGGACGCCGTCGACCATGTTCAGGATGCGCTCGACCTCGCCCCCAAAGTCCGCGTGGCCCGGCGTGTCCACGACGTTGATCTTCACGCCCTTGTACTCCACGGCCGCGTTCTTCGCGAGGATCGTGATGCCGCGCTCGCGCTCCTGGTCGTTGCTGTCCATGACGCGCTCCTCGACGGCCTCGTTGGCGCGGAAGACCTCGGCCTCCTTGAGCATCGCGTCGACGAGCGTCGTCTTGCCGTGGTCGACGTGCGCGACGATGGCCACGTTCCGCAGGCCCTCGAGCTTCTCGAGGCCCATGCGCAGGGGCGCGCCCCGGTGGAAGCTCCGCGCGGTACCGCGCGGCAGCGGCGACCGCACGAGGGCCCGGACGGAGCTGAGCATAGCGAGGAGCGTGAGCTTAAGCATGAATCGAGTCGCTCGAGCCGCTCGTCGAAGCGGGCTGACTGCGATGCGCGATCACGAGCTGGTCTCTGCGTCAACCACAACATGACAATGTTGTGGTGCATCGCCAAGTTTTTGTTGAATGTTTTGTTGCATTTCTTGAAATCCACTAAATTTTTGTCGCGCAGGCGACAACTGCGGGACCCCCGGAGCAGCGGTGCCGACGACATGGTCGACAAGGAGCGCTGCGAGAAGAAAGCGCTGACTCGGAACACAAATCCATATCTCATCTTACACGGGCAGCCGCATCGCCACGTGGTCGACGTTGTCCCGGCGCTTCAGGGGCGGCCCCGACTCCCGGCGCGGGTCGACCTCGAGCGCCGCGCGGGGCGCGCGCCAAAGCTCCTGGAAGCCGACCCGCTCGTAGAGCGCGACCGCGGGCCGGTTGTCGCACTCGACTTCGAGGAGCACGTCGTCGTAGCCCCAGCCGTCGCGCGCGAGGTCCGCGCAGGCGGCGACGAGCCGTCGACCCAGGCCCTTCCGCCGCGCGCCGGGCACGACGGCGACGTTGGCCAGCAGCGGCGCGACGCGCGCGTACTCTCCGAAGAGGTCGACGCAGAGCTCCGGCAGCGGCTTCCGCCGCGCGGCCGCGGGCACGTCCTGGATCTTCTCGACGATCTTCTCCGCCGCCTCGTCGCGGGGCAGCAGCGACAGCGCGGCGCCGTCGAAGAGGCCGAGCTCGAGCGACGCCATGCCGACGACGCGGCCGCCGTCCGCCGCCGCGACGAGCGAGCCCTTGAGCACGCGGCCGGATCCGTCGCCGCCGAAGCGCTGCTCCAGGTCGGCGTACTGCGTCGCGGCCAGCCTCTCGCGCTGCGCCGCGTCGAGGCGCTTCGACGCCCAGAACCCGTCTACCATACAGGAAGTGCATGCCTCCAGCTCCTGAGGCGTGGGCGCTTCGAGGACTGAAACTTGGAGCGGCGGCGTGAGCTGGAGCGGCCGCGCGAACGGTAGGAGCGCTAGGAGCAGCGCCATTAGCGGCGGGAGGCGCGCTGGCGGCGCGCGCTTAGGTTGCAGTGGCGTGAGATGGCAGTGCTCTTTCTGTGATCGCGATAAAGCAGATCGGAGTTAATTTTGACCCCTCGAGCTATGGGAGCTATTGGCACTTTTTTTTTGACTTTTTTTTTTTCGATGCACCTACGCGCCCCGGCGGACCCCCGGGGCACCAGGGGGTGGGGAAGGGCGCTGCGACGCGGCGGGTTGTCGAGGAACTCGCTTTAGCGCGCGTGCGACGGCCGCGTGTCGCGCCCGCGCGGGACCGCGCGGCGCATTACGACGGTCGGCGCGCGTTCGCCCCCCCCCCGCGCTCGCGCACGCCCCGGGCGGGTCCCCGGGGACCCCCTGGACCCTCCGCGGCTCGCGGCGCAAAAAAAAAAAAGTGAAAAAAAAAAGTGACCATAGCTCGGGGGGTCAAAATTAACCCCGGGTTGCTTTATCGATCAGAGGTTTTGCCACAAGGAGGGCCTCACTCGATTCGTCGCGCCGCGCCCGCATCGCACCTTCAAACGCTACCCAAACGCTGCCACGCCCACCACCAAAATGTCCTTCTCGTCGCGGCGGCGCAACTACATGCTCGTGAGCCACCGGCGCGACCAGTTCATCGAGTTCATCAAGGGCCTGCTGCAGCCGAGCTTCGTGCTCGACGCCCTCGCGGAGAGCGCGTCCAACTCCTGGGCCCACGTCGAGGAGCTCGTCGAGGAGTACCGCCACGAGACGCCGGGCGAGCCGAGCCGCCTGCGCACGGCCGTGCCGTCGCTGGGCATCTTCCACACGGCGCTGCCGCTCGAGGCCGCGTGGCGGAGCTTCGACGCGCGGTTCAAGGTCAGCGCGCGGCGCTTCGTCGCGCCGAGCTTCAACGAGATCCGGGAAATCTTGAACCTGGCCCAGGTCATGGCCTTCGAGCGGTCGCCGCTCAAGTTCGTGTCCTTCGACGGCGACTGCACGCTCTACTCCGACGGCAAGAACTTCGACGACGCCGCGCTCGCGGGCCAGATCGAGCGGCTCCTGGCTGCGGGCGTCACGGTGGCGCTCGTCACGGCCGCGGGCTACGGCTACGAGGCGGACAAGTACGAGAAGCGTCTGGAGGGTTTGCTGCGCGTCTTCGACGACTTGGCGGTGCCGGCCGACGCGCTCCGCCGGTTCTACGTGTGCGGCGGCGAGTGCAACTACCTGCTCCAGCTCGACCGCGATGCGGGCGGCGCCGCGACGCTGCGGAGCCGCGAGGCGACCTGGGACGTGACCTTCGAGGAGGCCGCGGCGGCGACGCTGCTCGACGCGGCGGAGGCGAGCCTCCGGGGGTCCGCGGACGACATGGGCCTCGCGGGCGCGCGCGTGATCCGCAAGACGCGCGCCGTCGGCTTGATCCCGCGCGTGCCGCGGCGCGAGCAGCTCGACGAGGCCGTGCTCCGCGTGCAGGACGCGCTCCGGGCGTGCCGGTCCTCCGTGCCGTTCTGCGCGTTCAACGGCGGCTCCGACGTCTGGGTCGACGTCGGCACGAAGCGCGAGGGCGTCCAGGGCTTCCAGCGCCTCCTGGGCATCCGGCCGGAGAACTGCCTCCACGTGGGCGACCAGTTCCTCATCACGGGCAACGACTACGCGTCGCGGTCGTCGTGCCCCTGCCTCTGGATCACGAACCCGACGGAGACGAAGCGCGTCCTCGCGGACATCCTGGCCGTCGTCGACGGCTCGGGCGTCGACGGCCGCCGCACGCCGCCCGTGTCGCCCCGCGCCGCCGGCGACGCGCCGCCGGCGCCGCCGTCCGCGGCGCGGAGCCGCGCGGCGACGGCCTGCCCGCCGGCCGGGCCCTGAGGACGGACGTAACGGCGCGGAAGCTGGCTTTTGCGCGCTCGCTCGGCTTCTGGCTCTTTGGACACGTCTTGAAGGACGCGTCGCGCGTCACGTGGTCGTTGAAGACATGTTGAGCTTGCGAACTCGATTTTCTGCGAGCCGAGCCGCACTGCCACAATCTCTTATGATAGTAATGGAGCCTGCGCGAACGGGCCCGCCCCCGGAGCCCTCCCCTGGCTGCGCGGTCGGCGCCCCGCCCCAGGAGGGTTCCAAGGGCTGCGCGGTCGGCGCCCCGGCCGCCCCGGAGCGCTCCCCGGGCTGCGCGGTCGGCGCCCCGCCCCATGACGGCTCCAAGGGCTGCGCGGTCGCCGCCCCGGCCGCCCCGGCCGCCCCGGACGCGGCGGCGAAGGACCCGGACGCGTCGGACAAGGAGGACCACGCCGTGGACCGGCTGCTCCAGGGCTTCACGGTCCCCCTCGCCGTCGGGCTCGTCGTCGTCGCGCGCGCCGTCACCTACAGCAACGCCTACTATCTCGGGTTCTTCTCGCTCATGACGCTCTTCATCGCCATCCCCACGGGCGTGCCCGACGACGCGCGGAGCCTCAACGTCGTGCTCACGGCGAGCTGCTGCGTCTACGCGATCATGGCGGCCTTCGTTTCCGTGGCGACGCTGAGCCACCGCGTGCGCACGCTCTGGGACGGCACCTGCGCCGCGGGCGGCACGCCCTGGTCCTACTGCGCCTGGAACGTCGCGCACTGGAGTCTGTTCATCACGTACGGCGCCGCGGCCGCGGACCAGTGCATCCGCATGACGCGGCTCCCCTACGGCGTGGCGCGCGACCGCTACTGGCACTGCGGCGACCGCACGGCGTCCGTGACGGCGGGCATCATCATCGCGGACATCGTGGCGACGAAGCTCGCGACGGACCCGAGCAGCCCGGCCTGGCTCTACTGGAAGCTCTCCATCGCGACGGAGGCGCTCGTCATCGCGCGGCTCTGCCGGGGCCGGCGCGCGGCGGCGGCGGCGGAGGCGACGGGCGCGAAGGCGCCCCAGGCGGCGGCCGTCGCGCGGCTCGAGAGCTTGGAGAGTCTGAGCCTCGTCGTCTTTGGGGTGCGCGACGACGGGTCCGTCGCGCTCTGGTCCCACGGCGCCCAGGACCTCACGGGCGTGGCCAGCGTCGGGTCGCTCGACGCGCTGCCCTTCTTCACGGACCGGGACCGCCGGAGCGCGTCGGCGGAGATCGCGCGCCTCGCGGACGAGGAGCCCGCGCGGCCCTTCCGCTGCGACCTGCGGACGTCGAACGGCGCGCCGGCGCCGTTCGTGTTCCAGACCGTCCGCGGCATCTCGCCGGACCAGCGCGCGACCTTCATCGGCTCCCCCGTGGACCCGCGGCTCCTCTCGCTCGCCGCGCGCGCCGGCGGCGCGGACGCGGCCTCCGGCGAGGGCTCGCGGCGGCCCGACGAGCGATCCCGGCGCAACTACCGCGACCTCGAGGAGTTCGACCACTACAGCGCGTCCATCGTCAGCGGCGACGACTCGCTCTGCTCCGCGCTGATCACGCCGAGCCTCGTGGAGTCGGTCCGCCGCGGGCCCTCGCCGAGCCCCCGGCGGTCGTCGAGCCCCGTCATGCCCCTCGCGACGCTGCGACGGGTAAGGGACGAGTGAGCCTTAGCGCCGGGGGTCGACGACGAGGACGTTGGCCGTCGCCTCGTAGGACTGGTCGTCGTCGACGAGGAGCCCGCTGCCCGTGAAGGCCACGGCCTCCGCGCGCCAGGCCGCGCCGGGCGACGCGAGCGTCTCGAGGAACGCGTCGCCGTGGCCCGCGTAGCGCTGCGAGTCCGTCGCGACGACGACGGGCCTCCGGCCGCCCCGGAGCGCGGCGCCCGCGACCTCGCCGCACCGCGCCGCGAGGCCCAGGTCGTAGAGCACGTCGGCGACGACCAAGACGTCGCAGGGCGGCAGGTCCGCGTCGCCGTAGAGGTCGTAGTGCACCGCCTCGACGTTCTCGCAGCCCGCGGCCGCCGCGGACCGGCGGCAGAGCTCGAGCGCCTCGGGCGCGTAGTCGAGGGCGGTAACGGTTGCTGCTCCTAACGCCGACGCGGCGAGGGCCTCCAGGCCCGTGCCCGCGCCGACGCAGAGCACGTCGGCGCCCGCCGCGACGCCGAGCCGCTTGAGCGCGCGCGCGGCCGCGACGGCGCCCGGCCAGCACACGGCGCCGAACGGGTCGACGGCGAGCGCGTCCTCCTCGGCCATCCACCGCTCGACGCGCGATTTTACCGTGGCGATCTCGACGACGTCGATGGACCAGTCGGGGTCGATGTGGATCGTCCGCGGCCGCAGCTCGACGCCCTCGAGCGCGTTCCTCCGGGGCAGGAAGCGGTGGCGGAAGATCTGGCCCAGCCAGGCGGCGGTCGGTGTTGTGATGGCGAGCAGCGCGAGCAGGCGCGCCGGCATCGCCGTGAGTCGGTGATGTGAAACGTCCTCGACGAGGCTCGAGGAGATGGAGACCGACGACGACGACGCGCTCCCGACCGAGCCGGGGGGCGAGGGGCTGCGCTCCGCGGGCGCGACGCCGTCCGGCGCGCTTCCCGGCGCCGCGGCCTCGAGCGCGTCCTCGACGAGGCTCGACGAGATCGAGGCCGACGACGACGACGCCGCCGCCGCGACGCGCTTCGACGCCGCCGCCGCGACGCGCATCGCGTCGAAGCGCCACTGCCAGACGACGAAGTCCTTCGCGGCGTCGAGCTCGTCGGCCCGCTTCTCGAGGCGCGCGTCCTCGACGGCCCGCGCGCGGAGCCAGAGCGGCCTCAGCAGCGCGTGGATGACGACGTTCGACGCCGCGACCGCCGCGACGTAGAGCGACAGGGGCGGGACGAACTGGACCGGGTCCGCGCGCGCCGCCACGATGACGAGGCCGGAGAGGGAGACGTTCGTCGCGATCATGAGGGCCTGGAAGCGGAACCGGCCGCTAGCGATGAGCGGCATGCCAAAGGCCAGGAGGCACAGGTACGCGAGGTAGGCGGGGCTGTTGAAGGTCCCTGCGAGGCGCCCGACCTCGAGCGCGAGGTCGCCGGGCTCGAGCGCGAAGATGTGCCGGAGCCGGATCGCGTTCTTCGCCACGAGATTCGCCAGCACCGCGGCGGGCGCGTGCTCGACGAAGCGGTCGCGCGTCTCCGGCGGCGCCGCGAGGGCCGCCGTCGACGCGCCGACGCAGAACGCGGTCCAGATCGCGCCCGCGTCGTGGCCCGTGCCCGTCTGGAGGTACCGGCCGCTCGTCTCCGCGACGCGGCCGGCGACGTGGAGCGCCCAGTAGGGGGCCGCGCAGCGGCGCCGGAGGAAGACCTCGAAGCGGCGCCCGTCGTCCGCGGCCGCGGGGCGCGCCGCGCCGGGCGCGTCGCGCGCATCGAGGCGCGCCGCGACGGCGACGCGCGAGAAGCCCTCGAAGAGGCTCGGCTGCTCCTCGTCGACGGCGTCGGGCACGCCGGGCGAGGTCTCGTAGCGCCGCCTGTCCGCGCGGCGCGCCGGCGACCGCGGAGGGGCGGCGGCGAACATGGAGAGAGGGTCAACACGTTGAGAGGAATGTTCTACCAAACGCGCGCTCCCGCCATCGTCGGGGGCAGCATCGGGCGCATCGGGGACCTCGAGTTTGCTTGTTGGGAAAGGGTCAACATCGTATTCAACAACATGCCGCACTCGAAGATGCACTCGAGCTAGAGCCCGGCCCGCGCGCTCGCCGGCTCAAACTCCGACGCGATGGCAGCGCTCGAGGTCTGCAGTCTCGAGGACGAGGTCGACTACGGCATCGAGTCGGACCACGACGACGCGCCGGCGGCGGCGCCCGCGTCGTCGGCGCCGCCGGCGGACGACGCGGAAGCCGCCGCGCCGGCCGCCGCCGCCGCCGACGCCGCCGACGACGGCGCCGCCGGCGGCGACGCCGCCGCCGCCGCCGACGCGCCGTCGGAGCGCAAGAACGGCAAAGCGAAGGAGAAGCCGTCGTCGCCGCGCGACGGCAAGGACAAGGACAAGAAGCGCGACAAGGACAAGAAGGCCGACGCGCCGGCGCTGAAGACGCGCGAGGTCCGGCGCTGCTTCCGCGACGCCGTGCTCGACGTCGTCAACGGCCCCAACGCGCCGCGGTTCCCCTTCAACGCGTCGCTCGTCGCCGACCGCATGCGCCGCCGCTGGCCCCAGTTCTCGGCCGCGAAGACCGAGTACGGCAAGTTCACGGGCCTCGTCGAGGCCATGGCCGCCGACGGCGTCGTCACCGCCAAGGCCTCGACGGGCAGCGGCGCCAACAACGGCGGCGGGCTCCAGATCACGGCCGTCAAGGGCGCGCGCGACCGGAGCCCCCGCGCGCGCCGGTCGCGGTCCCGGTCGCGCGACCGCAAGCGCTCCGCGTCGCCGAAGCGCAAGCGCTCCGCGTCGCCGAAGCGCAAGCGCTCCGCGTCCCCAAAGCGCAAGCGCTCCGCGTCGCCGAAGCGCAAGCGCTCCGCGTCCCCGAAGCGCAAGCGCTCCGCGTCGCCGAAGCGCAAGCGCTCCGCGTCGCCGAAGCGCAAGGACCGCAAGCGGTCGCCGTCGCCGAAGCGCACGCGGTCCGCGTCGCCGGCGAAGAACGGCCGGAGCGACGGCGCGCGGCGGAGCCCGTCGCCCGCGCCGCGCGGCGGCCGCGACGGCGGCGGCTCCAAGAAGCCGCGGATCCACTTCGCGTTCTTCACGTCCGCGCCGCCGGCGGACGCGGGCCTCGCCAAGGACATCCTCGCACACCTCGAGGGCCTCCGCGACGTCGCCCTCGACGCGCGCGACGCCAAGCCGCCGCGCGACGACAAGGAGTACCGCGACCGCGAGCTCGCGCGCATACGCGACGCGGCCGCGCTCGTCGCCGAGGTCTCCAACGCGTCCATCGGCGTCGGCTACAAGATCGCCGCCGCCGAGGCCCTCGGCAAGAAGATCCTCTGCCTCCACGCCGCGGCCAAGCACCCGTCGAGGCTCCTCCGGTCGAACCCCGACCTCACGCTCGCGCCCTACGCGACCATCGGCGACGCGCGCAAGGCCGTCGCCGCCTTCCTCAGGAGACTGTAAGGCGAGGCAGCGACGGCGTGGTGGTGAGGTCGCGGCGGCGCGACGGCCGCCCGTCGCGTGCACCGCGAGCCCTGATCCCCGGCGCGGCGATCTCGCGAGCTCGAGAGCTTCTCGCCGACGCCCGATGCGCTGAGCCGTGTGAAACGCCCTGTTAATAGTCAGCTTAGGTCGTCTGTCGTCGAGTCGAGAGTGTCCGCAGCGAGAGCACCTAAGCCAAAAAGAGTCAAGTTCGCCGAAGTTCTCGAGTGAAGACCGCCGCCCGCCTCACTTCTCTTCCACAGGGCGCCCGCACCATGGCCGACGGCGACGGCGCGGACGAGGCGCCCCCCGGCGTCGCCCCGGCGGCGCCCGAGCCCGCGCCCGAGCCCGCGCCGCCGCCGCCGCCCGCGCCCGAGGTCGACGACGCGCCTCCCGAGGTCGACGACGCGCCGCCCGAGATCGACGACGCGCCCGACGAGTGGGGGAGCGCGGCGCCCGCGGCGCCCGCGTCCGCGGAGCCCGAGGCGCCGGCGGCGCCCGTCGACGAGAGCGCCGCGGCCCGGGGCCCCGCGCCCTGGCCCGGCGACGACAGCGACCCGACGAAGCTCTTCGTCGGAGCGCTCGCGTGGCAGACGGACGCGACCGCGCTCCGCAACCACTTCTCCCAGTTCTCGGAGGTCCTCGACGCCATCGTCATGAAGGACCGGGACACGCGCCAGTCGCGGGGCTTCGGCTTCGTCACGCTCGCGAGCCAGGCCGCCGCGAACCGCGTGCTCAACGACAAGCACGTCCTCGACGGCCGCATCCTCAACGTGTCGCCGTCGCAGGCCGAGAAGACGGCGTCGGCGACGACGGAGCAGGCGGCGTCCGCGGGCATCAAGAAGCTCTACGTCGCGAACCTGACGACGCGGTCCACGGAGCAGGAGATGACCGACGCCTTCGGCGCCTTCGGGCCGATCCACGAGTGCGTCGTCATGCGCCACTCCGACACGGGCGAGTCGCGCGGCTTCGGCTTCGTCACCTACGAGACCCACGAGGCCGCCGCCAAGGCCGTCGCGGCCCAGCCCGTCCAGGTCGGCTCCACGCGCGCGCGCTGCTCCTTCGCCATGCCCCGGAACATGACGCCCGCGGGCCAGAAGCCCTACCCGCCGAATCAGCGCGGCGGCGGCCACTACCAGGGCGGCTACGGCGGCGGCGGCCGCGGCTACGGCGGCGGCGGCTACGGCGGCCCGCCGGGCGGCGGCTACGGCGGCGGCGGCTACGGCGGCGGCGGCGGCTACGGCGGCGGCGGCGGCTACGGCGGCGGCGGCAACTACGGCGGCGGCGGCGGCTACGGCGGCGGCGGCTACGGCGGCGGCGGCTACGGCGGCGGCGGCGGCTACGGCGGCGGCGGCGGCAACTACGGCGGCGGCGGCTACGGCGGCCAGGGCGGCGGCTACGGCGGCCAGGGCGGCGGCTACGGCGGCCAGGGCGGCGGCGGCTACGGCGGCCAGGGCGGCGGCGGCTACGGCGCGCCGCCGCCGCAGCAGGCCTACCAGGGCGGCGGCCAGGGCGGCTACGGCCAGCAGCCGGCGTACGCGGCGCCGCCGCCGCCGCAGCAGCAGCCGCAGGGCGCGCCCTACGGCGCGGCGCCGGGCCAGCAGTACGGCGCGCCGCCGCCGTCGCAGCAGCCGGCGCCGGCGGGCTACGCGCCGGGCCCCCAGGGCGACGGCGCCTACGCGCCCGTCCGCGGCCTCGCGCGGTCCCAGAACCCGCCCTACGCGGGCCACCAGCCCTACTGAGGACCGCGCGACGGAAGAGCCCCGAAGCCGCTTAAGACCCGGGCGCCCTAGTCGGCCTTCTTGGCCTTCTTGGCCTTCTTGTCCTTGGTCCGCTTCGGCGGCGTGCGGCTCTTCTCGAAGGCCTTGAAGGCGACGTAGCCGAGGAGCGCGAAGGGCAGCGCGCCGCACGAGGCCACGGCCCAGAGCGCGACGTCGATGGCCGCGTCGGCCCTGTCGTCGCCGGCGAAGCGGCTGAAGAAGCGCCGCGCGGCGAGGGCCAGCGTCTTGGACGGCGCGCCGCGGAAGATGGGGAAGAGGAGCGCGGGGAGGATGACGCGGCGCGCGAGCGGCCGCGGCGCGTCGTAGACGCGGAGCCGGAGCGCCCAGGACTCCGCGCCCGCGCGGCGGAGCGGCGCGTCGCCGTGGGCCGCGGACCGGTCGAGCTTGCCGTCCTCGAGGGCGCTGTAGAAGACGGCGGCGACGCCCGCCGTCGGCTGGACCTTGATGGGCTGGGGCCGCGCCTTCGGGAAGACGAGCGCGCCGCCGTCGGCCTCGTCGACGCCGTCGAGGAACGCGTAGACCGTCATGACCGTCTGGGCCCGCGCGTCGTCGTTGCCGTTGGGGAAGGACGGCCCGAGCTTGCGCTCGTCCTTGAGGCGGAAGGGCGCCCCGGGCCGTCGCCGCTCGAGCGTCAGCTCGCCGAGGTGCTCCGCGGGGTAGCCGACGATCGACGACACGCGGTCGTAGAACGACGCCAGCGCCCCCCCCCGGAGCGCGCCCAGGGCCCGCGCGGCCCGCGCCACGGCCGCACCTTCCACGTCGTCGACGTCCGCCTCGGGCGCGGCGACGAGGTAGGGCGCGAGCGCGCGCTTCGCCGCGGCCGCCTCGTCCGGCGAAATCGCGTTGTGCACGAGGTAGAGCAGCGGCTGCGCGTCCGTGACCGACTCGATGAAGGGCCGCTCGCCGCCGGCGAAGAGGCGCATGCGCCGCGGGCCGTGCTCCCGGAGCTGCTGGCCCGCCGCGTACGACACCATGAGCGACGGGATCCGGATCGTCAGGTCCCGCTCTTCCGGCTCGTCGCGCTCCCGGTCGCCGTGGAGGCTCATGGCGAAGGCCCGGTCCGGCGACCGCCGATCGTTGTTCACCACGATCAGCGCCGCCGCGCCCGCCGCCGCCGCCGTCTCGGCCTTGGTCTTGAAGTCGCAGCCGCCGCGGTACATGACGACGATCTGCGTCCGCGCGAGCGCCGCGTTGCCCAGCGGCTCGCAGCCCTGGCGCGGCGTCGCCGTGACGAGGTCCGCCTCGATGCCGAGCTCGAACTCGGGGTGCGTCGCCCCGGGGCCGAACTTGGCCACGACGCCGTCGGCGTTGTGGATGATGGCGCTGTTGCCCCACTCGAGGAGGGCGCTGTCGTCGGGGGACCGCTTCGGGTAACTGTGCTTCGCCTCGATGTTCGGGATCTCGATCGCCGACGCCATCGCGACGGCCGCGAGGAGCGCGGCGGCGCGGAGGAGCGGAGCAGCGCGGAGGAGCATCGGCGCAGCCATTGCAGCACGGCGAGGCAGCGAGCTTCAGCTCGACGGCACTCGGCCGCATCGACAGTCTCGTCAAGCTGACTCACACGCCCCTGTAACCGCACCATAGCAATGCTCGCAGCCGTTTCGAGACGCAACATGACGCGCATGCCACGCCTGCTGCTGCTCATCTCGATTTGCGCCACCACGAGCGCTCTCAAACGCACGGCGACGCGCCGAGCGCTCGCCGGCCGCGCCGCCGCCGCCGCGTCGTCGCTGGCGCTCACCCGGCCAGGCAACGCCGCGCGCGGCGCCGCCGAGCTCGACGCCGAGTACTACGCGAAGTCGGCGCTGAACAAGCTGCGCGGCACGTCTCCCGACGTGTTCGCCGCGCGGCAAGCCAGGGTCGCGCCCGTCGCCGCCGCGCCGCGCGCCGTGTCCCCCGCTTTCGCCGACGCCATCTCGTCCGCGGCGACGAAGGCCATCGCCGCCGCCGCGAACGACGCGAACGTCGCCGCCGTGCGCGCGTCCGCCGCCGCGCGCGCGCCCGCGGAGCGCAAGGCGCTCGCCGCGAGAGCCGCCCGGGACCTCGACCTCGGAGCGACGACGGACGCGCTCGGCGCGGACATGCTCGCCCTCTTCGCCGAGGCATCGGAGCGCCTCTCCGACCGCGGGAGCCGCGCGGCCTACTGCGCGGCCGTCGGCGACGCGCTCCTCGCGCTGGCGAACGTCCCCGCCGCGCCGGAGCCGTCGCTCGCGAAGATCGTCGGCGGCGCCGAGGACGTGCTGCGATTTTTCAAGGAATCCGGCTACGTTTCGAGCGCGAAGCTCGCGTTCGAGCAGGGGGGCCTCGGCGAGGCCGCGGAGGACTACCGCGACGGCTACGAGGTCAAGGTGAGCGCGTCGCTCGACGGCGCGGCGTCGATCCTACCGGACAGCGTCCTCGAGGAGCGCGGCGTCTCCTGGCACCCGGACTTCTGCGCCCTCGCGCTCGCGCGCTACTTCGCGCTCCGCGGCGCGACGTGCGCCGCGCCGACGCCCCACGGCTTCGACGAGTTCCTCCTCGACGACGTCTACCGCGACGACCCGCGCGCGTTCTCCGCGACGACGCTCCTCGCGCTCTTCACCCTCGCGCCGCCGCCGAGGAGGTAAGGACGCCACCCGCTCTCAGTCGTAGGCCCGCCGGTCGCCCCCGGTCGGCGGCGCGCAGATGTAGCCCGGCCGCTCGTCGACGTTCTCGTCCGTCGGCGCGCAGGCGCAGAAGTAGCCCAGGGGCCCGAGGACCGACGGCGGCGTGCCCGCGCCGCTCCTCCGCTTCGCCTCAAGACGGTCGCCGCGCTCCCCGCTGTCGAAGCGGCGCCGGTTGTAGGTCGCGGTGCCGTCGAAGAACGTGTCCGTGGACCGCGCGCCGTTCTCGAGCGACTCCTCCCAGAAGGAGTGCTCCGGGTGGTCCTCGAGGGGCCCGTCGAGCGCCGCGGGCTTGAGCCGCGGCGCGGGCTTGCGCGGCGCCGCGGCGGCCGCGGCGGGCTGGGCCGGCTCGAGCTCCTCGGGCGCGTAGGTCGCGCCGGCCTTGCGCGTCGGGCCCGCGAGCTCGCCCGCGGGCACGTCGCGCCGCTTCGACATCTTGCCGCTCGACGACCGCCGGAAGCTCGGAATCTTCGTCACGCGGGGCACGCCCATGACGGACCGCCGGCCGTTCTTCGGCGACGCCGTCGCCGGCGCGCCCGCCGCCACGTCCGACGACAGCGCCGCGAGCGAACTCGCCCGCTCCCGCGACGCGGAGCTGCTCATGGCGCCCGCTCTTCCGACGAGGTGCCGCGCGGGTTGGCGGGCAGCCCCGGTGCCGATCCGAAGGAAACCGCAAAACATGTTTTTATGATGACTTCAATTGAACTCGCTGCAGCCAACGGACCGCAAAAAACCTAAGACCGAGGTCGTTCGATTACTAGGGCGACCGCGCCCAGGGCAGGGGCGGCGGCTCGGCCCAGACCGCGAGGGCCGCGCGCAGGCGGCCGCGGTCGCCGATGGCGGCGGCCGCGCGGTCGACGCGGCGCCGGTTCGCGCGCGCGAGGAGCGCCTTGCAGCCGCGCGCGAGGCCCGCGGCGCGGAAGTGGTCGTCGGCGATCTGGGCGCTGGCCCAGTCGTCGTGGTCGCCCCCGTCGGCGCTCGGAGGCCGCGCGCGCGTCGACGACGCGTCGTCGCCGCCGCCGCCGCGCCGCGGGCTCGGGAAGGGCGCCGCGAGGGGCGAGAGGTCGCGCGGCGGCGCGCGGCCGGGCGTCGGCGCGCCCCGCGAGGGCTCCGGCGACGACGCGGGCCCGTAGTCCGGGCCGTCGGACTCGTCGTCGCGCGGCGACGCGGAGAACAGGCCCCGCGGCGGGCCGCGGCGGGCCGGCCGCGCGGCGCTCCCCGGCACGGGCGTGTCGAGGAGCCCGTGGGGCGCGCCGCGCCGCGACCGCTCGAGGTCGTGGACCGCGCGGTAGGCCGCGTCGGACGCCGCGGCCTCGAGCGCGGCCCGGTCGCCGTCGAGCCGCCGCTTCGTCGACTTGAGCGCCTCGGCCGCCTCCTCGCCGCGGACGACGAGCTCGGCCTGCGAGACGACGAAGGTGGCCTTCTCCTCCTCGAGGGCCTCGCGCTGGCGGTTCAGGTCCTTGCGCACGGCGTCGAAGCCCAGGAGGATCTTGTGCCGCTCGCGCTCGAGCGCGAGCCGCGCGTCCGACGCGGACCGGTCCGCGTTGCGCGCGGCCTCGTCGGCGTCGCGGAGCGCCGCCTCGACGCGGGCTTTGGCCTCGCCCAGCGCCGCGTCGTGGTCGCGCTTCGCCGCGGCCGCGGCCGCGGCCGCGGCGGCGGCGGCCGCGGCGACGGCGTCGCGGCACTCGCGCTCGAGCGCCGCGGCCGCGTCGTCGGCGAGCTTGCGCCGCTTCCGCTCCGCGGCGGCGCCGTCGGCGGCCGTGCGCGCGAGGAACGCGGCCTCGCGGCACTCGTAGGCCCGCCGCGCGTCCGCCGCTCTATAGCTCACCTCCGCGGTCTCGGCGCGGTCGCGCGCGGCGGCCGCCGCGGCCTCGGCGCCCTTGACCTGGGCGTCGCGGGCCCGGCACTGGCGCACGAGCGCGCCGTTCTTCGCCTTGGTCGCCTCGGCCTGGGCCCGCCAGGCGTCGCGGTCCGCCTCGGCGTCCCTCCGCGCCTTCTCGGCCTTGTCGCGCTTGCCGCGGTCGCGCGCGGCGTCGGCCCAGGCGGCGTCGGCCTTCTCCGCGGCCCGGGCGACCTCCGCCTCGGCCTTCTTGCCCTTGGCCGCGGCGCGCTTCACGGCCTCGGAGACCTCGCGCGCGCCCTTGAGCTTCCGCTCCGCGGCCGCGGCCGCGTCGCCCTCGGCGTCGCGCCTCATCTTCGCCGCGGCGTCGCGCGCGGCGGCGGCGTCGGCCTGCACCTTGTCGGCCCGGGCCTCGGCCTTGGCCGCGGCGGCCTCGGCCTCGCGGACGCGGAACGTCGCGGCCTCGAGCGCGTCCTTGGCGGCTTCGAAGCGCGCCTCCTCCGCGTCCGCGCGGCGCTTGCTCTCGGCGATGGACCGCGCGGCGGCCGTCGACGCCTGCTCCATCCTCGCGCGGTCCTCGTCGAGGCGCCGCCGCATGTTCGCCTCCGTATTCGCGAGCGTCCGCGCGAGCTCGTCGAGCGCCCGCTCGCGCGACGCGTCGTCGTCCTCGCGCCGCCGCGCGGCGTCGGCCGTCTCCGCCGCGGCCTTGGCCTCGACGCTGCGCCGCGTCGTCGCCGCGTACTGCCACGCGCGCTCCGCCTCGAGGACGAGCGCGTTCTTCGCCGCGCGAGCGGCCGTCGCCGCGTCGGCGACGCCCGCGTAGGCCTCGCGCGCGAGCGCGGCCTCGGACGCGATGTCGAGGAGCTCGCGCTCGGCCTCGGCCCGCAGCCTCTCCTCCTCGTCGCGCCGCTGCTCCCAGGCCTCGAGGTCCTCGCGCATGCGCTCCTCGGCCGCGGACGCGCGCGCGGCGCGCTCCTCGAACTCCGCGCGGTCCCGGTCCAGGCAGCGCCGCGCCGACTCCTCGGCGGCGCGCCGCGCGGACGCCGCGGCGTCGGCCGCGGCGATCCTGTCCGCGGAGGCCGCCGCGGCCGCGTCGCGCTTCTTCCGCGCCGCCGCGCCGTCGCGCCGCGCGTCGTCGAGCTGGCGCCGCAGGTCCTGCTCGAGGGCGTCGCAGCGGTCCCGCCCCGCTTTCGCCTCCGACTCGCGGTCGACGGCGGCCTGCGTGAGCGCCGCGGCGTCGCGCGACGCGGCCGCGGCCTCCTCGATTGCCGCGTCCGCGCGCGCGCGGCGATCCGCGGCCGCGGCCTCCTTCGTCTCGCTCACGGCGCCCGCGCGCTGCGCCGCGTCCACGGCCGCCTCGGCGGCGCCCTGGAGCTCGGCCTCGAGCGCGTCGGCGGCGGCCCGGCGCCTCGCGAGGTCCGCCTCCGCCCTCGCCGCCGCGTCGCCGGACGCCGCGAGGGCCTCCGCGACGGCGCCGCAGGCGCGCTCCCGCGACTCGAGGGCCTTCATGAGGTCGTGGGACGTGCGGTCGGCAGCGGCCGCCTCGGCGACGACGCGGTCCGCGACGGCCTTGCGCGCCGCGAGGCCCCCGACCTCGCCCGCGTACGCGCGGCTCAGGCGCGCCTCGCGCGCGTCCAGGGCCTCCGTGCGCGTGTCCGCGCTCTCGGCGCTCGCGAGCAGGGCCTCGCGCACGGCGGCGCAGACCTCGAGGTGGTCCGCGGCGCGGGCGGTCGCGTCGGCCAGCGCCGCGCGCGCGGCCGCGCCCGCGGCGCCCGCGTCCGCGGCGCGCCGCCGCTGGGCGTCGAGCGCCGCGGACGCCGCGCGCGCGCCGTCGATCTCCTGGCGGAGCTCGCGCGCCCGGAGTTCCGACGCCTGGCCCTCGTCGCGGAGCCGGGCCGCGGTGTCGTCGTTGAGCCGCGACATCTCCACCAACGCCGCGGCGTCGCGCTCGTGCTCCGCGGCCTCGGCGTCGAGCGCGGCGCGCCGCTCGCGCTCCCAGCTCTCGAGCTGCGCCTTGCGCTCCTCGTGGGCGCGCCGCTCGTCGCGGAGCTTGAGCGCCGCGGCCTCCTGGCGCGCCTCGACGTCCTTGACCTTGGCGACCCGCGCGTCCGCGGCGCGCGCCGCCTCGACGTGCTTGCGCTCGAGGTCGAGGGACGCGGCGTCGCGCGCGGCGATGGCCCGCTCCTTGTCGTCGACGAGCCGGTCGAGGCGCTCCTTCGCGCCGCGCGCGCGCCGGTAGTCCTCGCGCGCCGCGGCGGCCGCGGCCGTCGACGCGTCCGCGGACTGCAACCGCAGGAGCCGCAGGGCCTCGGCGCCGTCGACGTAGCTCTGGCGCTCGGCCTGCGTCGCCCGGAGCTCGGCCAGGTCGTCCTCGGCCTCGGCCGCGCGCGCGCGCGCGTCCGCCTCGGCCGCGCGCGCGGCCTCGGCCTGCGCCGCGCGCGACGCCCGGAGCGCCTCCATCGCCGCGGCCTCGCGCGTCGCGTGGTCCGCGCGGCTCGACGACGCCGCGAGCGCCGACTCCGCGGCGACGCGCGCCTTCTTCGCGGCCTCGGCGCCGTCGTGCTCCGCGAGCGCGGCCTTGCGCCGGTCCTCGGCGCGCGCCGCCGCGGCGCGCGCGGCCTCGTTGGCGCTCGCGATGTTCTCCGTCGTCTCCTTGAGCGCCTTGTCCTGGCGCCGCCGCAGGTCCTCGACGCGGCTCCGCTCCGCCTCGAGCGACCCGACCTGCTCCGCGAGCACGTTGCGCCGCGCCTCGTCGGCCGCGCAGGACCGCCGCGCGTCGGCGCAGCGGCCGCGCCACGTCGCGATCTCGACCTTGGCCGCGGCGACGACGAGGCCCACGGCGTCCTTGGCCGCCGCGGGCGCGCCGACGAGGTCGAGGTGCTCCTGGTCCCGGCGCCGCGCGGCGGCCTCGCGGTCCTCGAGGTCCGCGAGGTCCCGGCTGAGGTTCGCCGCGACGCGGCCGAGGGCGTCGCGCGCGCCCCCGACCTGGCGCCGGAGCTCGTCGTGGGCCGCGCCGTCGCCCGCGGCGTCGCCGCCGCGCGCGGCCGCGGACCCGCGCTCGAGGCACTGGAGCGCCTCCGCGGCCGCGAGGCGCAGCTGGCCCAGGCGCCCCCGCGCCTTCTCGTCGTCGGCGCCGTGGACGTCGAGCTGCGCCTGGCGCGCCTTGATCGCCGCGCGGCCCTCCTGGACCTCGAGGAGCGCCGCGTCCCGCCGATTTCGCCACGCGTCGAGGGCCGCCTTGGCCCGCGCGCCCAGGGCCTTGTAGCGCGCGGCGCCGCGGCGCTGGGGCGACGGCTTCTGGGGCGTGTGCCAGGCGCCGCCGCGGCGGCCCGACGGCGGCGACGCCAGATCGTCCGCGGAGCCGTCGCTCGAGCCGCCGCCGTCGTCGTCGTCGTAGCGGCGGCCGCGGCGGCGCCGCGCCTCGTCGTCGTCGCCGCGGAAGTCGTCCTCCCAGGCGCTGCGCCGCAGGGCCGACGTGAGCTCCTCGACGAGCCGCCGCGCCGCGCGGCCGTCGCGGCGCTCGTCCTCGAGGTCGCGCGTCGCGGCCCGCAGGCCCTCGTCGAGGCGGTCGCGCTCGCCCGCGGCGTCGGCCTCGCGCTGCCGCGTCGCCTCGAGGTCGCCCGTCAGCGCCGCGATGCTGCTCTCCATGCTCGCCGCCCGCGACGCGTAGGCGCTGAAGAGGTCCTGGGTGACGCTCGCCACGCGGCCGTCGCCCTTGGCGTCGCCCTTGGCGAGGAGCGGCGCCGGCGCCGCCGCGGGCACGGCGAAGTCCGCGTCCCAGGCCCGCGGCGCCTGGCGCATGGCTCGCATGGGCGCCATCAGCTAGCAGGTGTACTCGCTCTCGTCGTAGTGCCACGCGTGCTCCCACGCTGGTTCGAAGACGTTGATCGACGCGGCGCCGAGCGCGTCGTCGAGGCGAAAGACCCTGGCGCCGGTCACGGCGCCGACGAGGTCCAAAAAGACATCGTCCCGAAGCCCAATGCCATACACAACCGTGAGGAGCGGAGGTTCACCCACGATGTTGATGTCGATGTGGTGCTGGGTTGACCAAGTTATTGAAGGGGATGCGCGCTCGACTGAGCGCCCTTTGGCCGGGGGAGGGAGGTAGGGAGGCCGCGGAGAGACCAGAGCGAGTAGGCGCGGGGCGGCAGCTCCTGAGTGGGCTCGAGGGCCACACCCACCGTACTCGCCGTGGACCGGGGGAAGTTGAGAACGGGGGCACCCGCACCCGGCAGGCAGGAACTCCGGGTGGACCAGCCCGATTCACCTCAGGACCACGAATGGCTAGCCGAGGGCGCACGCCGAAGAGGACGCTCGCCGGCCAGCGGGCGGGAGCAGAGGCGGCAGCAGGAGCAGAAGCAGAGGCAGAGACGACATCGGCGGCGGCGGCAGAGACAGAGGCGGGCAGCAGAGGCAGCAGAGGCGGCGGCAATAGAGGCGACAGCGGCTGCGGCAGAAAGGGCAGAGGCGACAGCGGCAGCGGCGGCAGAGGCAGAGGCGAGCGACGGCTGCAATAGAGGAAGAGCCAACGCAGAAGAGGAGGATACCGCGGCGCGGACGACGAAGAACTCGCCGCACGTCGACGCAAAAGCGCGAGCAAGATCATCGCGCGGCGGCGGCGCAGCCCAAGGCGGCACGCAAGCGGAACCTAAGGAGGTGCACGTGGGAGCACACCCTGAACAGACGCAAGAAGGTAGAGAAACGAATGGACGCTGGCACATCCAAGCCCGCAAGCCGAGGCCACCGGGGGCGCCAACCCGCCCAGCTCCCCTCGAGGCTCGCGCCGAAGGCCTCCAAGCGAGGCGAGCGCGCGCGGCAGTCGCCCAACCCGCAGATGATGTCCGCGCCGATGGCCAAGAACTGGAAGTCCCCGCGCGCGGCGCCCCGCAGCCCAACCGGTGCGCGCAGCGGGCTGCCCCTCCATGAGCGCCCGCCCGACCCGACGCGCCGAGCGCCATCATCGGGTGTCGCGCAGGAGCACCCCCGCGCGCCCCCCAAAGGCCGCCCCATAAGGTGGCAGCGTTAGTTTGTTGTTGTGTTTGGGTTGCCAGCACGAATCCGCAGCTCAGTTTTGCGCGCCGCGCTAGCTGCCGGCGTTTGGGGCTGCCGGCGTCGTCGAGCCGACGCGCGCGCGGCACCGGCGGCCATGTCGGTGGCGAACTCGGCGTCGGTCGTCGGGGAGCGCGAGAGCCTCCTGTCCCTGGGGCTGCCCTGGCGGTCCTACGTCGCGCGCCTCGAGTGCCAGGGGCAGGGCGCGGACACGGCCCTCGAGGCGGCGCTGCGCGAGCTCGGCCCCGAGGAGGGCCGGGACCCGGCGGCGACGAGGGTCGTCATCCTCACGCGCGCGCACCTCCAGTCGGTCGTCAACGCGCACAAGCTGCGGGGCAAGGTGCCGCTCGTCGAGGGCCTGCTCAAGCAGATCGAGCTCGACAAGCAGCTGGGCCTCGGCGCGCGGGCGGACGCCGCCGAGGCGGCGGCGGCGGCCCAGCTCGAGCGGGAGCAGGCCGCGGAGAAGCGGCGCAAGAAGCGGCACCGCCACGGCGACGGCCACGACGACGACGACGACGACGCGCGGCCCGACGACGACGCGGCGCCCGCGGCGCCGCGGACGGCGCCCGACGCCGTCTACATCCTGCGGGACTACCCGGCGACCCTCGAGGAGGCGTCGGACCTCGTCAAGCACTGCACGAAGGAGGGCGCGCCGCGGCCGCTGCTCGACGCCGTCGTCACGGTCGTCGCGAACGACGACGGCGGGCCCGGCGGCGGCGTGACCTGGCCCGTGCCCGCGCGGCCCTGCATGGCCTTCGACTTCCTGCCGCTCGCCGGCGACCTCGCCTTCGGCGACGCCGCCGCGGAGGACGAGGCGTCCGCGGCGTCCGCGTCCGCGAAGAAGAAGAAGAAGGCCAAAAAGGCGAAGAAGAAGCCGCCGCCGGAGAAGCCCGCGGACCCGCCGCCCGACGACCACGGCGCGCCGCCCGCCGAGGTCGCCGAGACCCTCGAGCAGACCTCCGTCGTCACGGCCGAGCCGTCCGTCGAGGACTCGGCCTCCGCGGCGTCGCCGGCGCGCGACGCGGCCGCCGCCGCGCCGCCGCCGGCGAACCGCGCGCAGGCCGTCAAGCTCGACGTCGCCCGCGCCCTGCGCGCCTCGACGGAGCAGAGCCACCGCCGCGCCCTCGGCGCGGCCGCGGGCAAGCCCAAGGCGACGCCGCCGGATTTGGTCGGCGCGCTCTTCGACGCGTCCCGCAAGCAGGGCGGCGTCTGGGGCGACGTGACCTTCAACGAGGTCGCGCTGGACACCGTCGGCGGCGACGGCGGCGGCAAGAAGCCGCCGCTCGGCGGGCCCGACGACGCGCCGCCCGCGCCCGGCGCGTGGCTCGCGGCGCTCACGGACCACCTCTTCGCCGAGGGCGGCGCCAAGTGCGCGTTCAAGGACTGGGTCGACCAGGTCGAGGTCGTGCCCGTGCCCGTCGACGCCGACGCCGCCGCGGGCTGCCGCGCGGCCTGCGCCGCGGCGCTCGCGGGCGCGACGGGCCGCGACAGCCTCTACCGGGCCCCGGCCAACAACGGCCGCCGCGGCGACCCGGGCCCCTGGGCGAGCCACGGCCGGCGCCAGCGCTACGCGGAGCTCGCGGCGGAGATCCCCGAGGCCGCCTGCTCGCCGGGCGTCCTCGTCTACTGCCTCGTCGAGGCCGTCTGCGCCGCGGGCGACGCGCCGCGGCCCGACGACGCCGGGCCGCCGCCGTCGGCGCTCGCCGCGCTCCTCCCGCACGCCGCGCGCGCGCTCCCGGGCTGGGCCGGCGACTACGCGGCGGCGGAGGCGGCCCTGGCCGGCGACTTCGGCGCCGCCCAGGTGACCCTGGACCACCACGACGCGGCCGGCGCGCGCGTCGCGCGCGCGGAGCTCGGCCGCGTCGCCGGCGACGGAAATGACGGCGCGCGGCTCGGGTCGCGGCTGCTCCTCGCGCTCGAGCGCGCGGCCCACGCCCACATGCAGCAGCCGCGCCTCCTAGGCCGCGCGGCGCTGCCGCCGCCGGACGCCGACGGCCCGCGGCGCCGGGGCGTCGCGCGGTCCGAATTGCAGGCGTTCACGGCGTTCTCGCCGCGCGACGTCGACACGTTCCGCCAGCGCGCGGAGCTCGAGGCGCTCCTCGACGGCGCCTTCGTGCGCGAGAGCGTCGACGCGACGGCGCCCTGGGACCTCGCGGGCCGCGAGGCCACGGAGAAACTGCCGCCGCACGCGGTGCCCCAGGTGTTCGCCGCGGAGATGGCGAACGAGCCCGCGGTGCTCGCGGGCTACTACGCGCCGACGGACGAGCTCCTCCTCGTGCTCCACCAGCCCACGGCGCGGGGGCGCTGCGGCCAGCAGCTCTGGGACGCGGCCGCGTGCGTCGGCGCGCGGCCGACGTACGCGCGGTGGTCCGCGGACGCGCCGCGCGACGGCGCGGGCCGCGTCCGCGTGGGCGACGAGGCGTCCTTCTTCTCGCCGCGGACCCTCGACGCCCAGACCGCGCGCGTCGATTTGTACGGCGACGAGCTCGGCGACCTCGCGACGGCGACGACGCTCCTCTTCCCCGCGGACCACTCCATCGTCCGGCTCCGGACCATGGGCGACAAGCACGCGTGGCTCTCCGTGCGCAAGGGCGGCGCCGTCTTCGGGCTGCGGGCCAAGGACGGCGGCCGCGCGGCCGCGCGGCGCGCGCGGGGTTTAGCGGCCGACGGCGCCGACGACGACGCGTCCGCGCGGACCGCGGACAGCGCGGCGTCGCGCGCGCCGAAGAAGCCGAAGAAGGGCGCCGCCGCCGCGGCGCCGGCGGCGGCGCCCCCGGCGGAGCGGCAGCCCTTCGCCGCGGACTTTTGCTGCGACCTGCCCGACGGGTCGCGGTGCACGGCCGCGCGCGGCGGCGGCGCCGCGGGCGCGCCCATCGTCGTCCTCACGTGCACCGAGCCCGGCGGGCTGACGACGGACGTGGGCACGGACGGCGTCGTGCGGTTGCGCCACGTCGGCGTCGCCCACGCGGGCGCGCCGCGCGCCTCCGACGACGAGCTCGACCGCTGCGTCGTCGGCCGCGGCACCGTCGTCCGCCGCATGCGCGACGGGTCCCAGCGGCTCCTCTTCGCCGACGGCTCCGCGGCGACGCGGCCGCCGCCGCCGCCGCCGCCGCCGCCCGAGGACCCGAAGAAGGCGAAGCGCAGGAGCAAGGGCGACGGCGTGCCGCGCGACGAGCCGCCGCCGGACCCCTCTCAAACGCTGGCCTGGGCCCGCCACGGCGGCGCGCCCGCGCGGGACCCGGAGACGGGGGCCCTCGTCTGGGTCCGGGGCACATCCCTCCTCGTCAAGTTCGCCGACGGCGCGACGCTCGCGCGCCACGACGACGGCACGACGATCCGCGTCGCGCCCGACGGCGCCGTCGTGCTCGTCGAGGCGCCGGGCTTCGCCGCGGTCGAGGTCGACGTCGCCATCGACGCCACGGCCCACGCCCACGCCTCGGGCGTGCCCGTGCCCATCGCCAAGGGCGGCGAGCGCGTCCGCGTCCGCGTCGCGCTGCCCGACGGCGGCCGCGTCGCGACGACGTACGACACGTCCGTGACGGCGACGGTGCGCGGGCGGCTCGCGCTGCTGCGGCCGGACTGCACGGAGGTCGTCGCCGACGACGCGGGCTGCTGCGTCTTCCGGCCGCCGGAGCTCTGGAGCGGCGGGTCCATCAAGGTCCGCGGCGAAAAGTTTGTCTACGGGTCGCGCGCGCCGCGCGCCGAGGGCGCGGAGGAGGTCGACGAGGAGGACGAGACGCGCAGCGAGCCCGACGCGACCTGCGGCGCCTTCGTCTTCGACTGCGTCGGCGGCGCCCTCCGCGTCGAGGACCCGGAGTTCAACTGCTTCGCGGCGCACCTCTGCGGGCCGCGCGCGGCCGTGTGGAAATCAACCGCCGGTGTGGGCGGTCCCGACCAAACTTGAGAATTCTCGAACTCGGTCACATCGACGTCGATTCGGCTGATTTTTGGACGAATCGATGGCTCTCGTCGAGTTCTCGAAGCACAGCTAAAGAACGCGCGTCGAAACCTTCAATTACGCGCACATTTAAGTCGGGTGGAAGATATGAATTCCACGCAGGCGCGCGGGCGAGGTCGAGCTCGAGCTCGCGGGCGTCTCCGAGGGCATCCGGGCCGAGGCCGTCGTCAACTCGCCCCTGAGCCCGCGCTGCTTCGTCGTCGCGCGCGACGGGTCCGCCGAGGAGTTGTTGCGGGCGGGCGACGTCGCGGCCGCGGACCGCGACGCGAGCTTCTGTGTGCAAATCAACCAGTGAGCTGGGACGTCGGGGCCAAACTTGAGAATTCTCGAGCTCGGTCAAATCGAAGTCGATTCGGCTGATTTTTGGACGGATCGATTGCTCTCAGCGAGTTCTCGAAGCACGGCGGAAGTGCTCGTGTCAACGCACTCGAATACGCGCACATTGAAGTCGGGTTGAAGATTTGATTTGCACACAGGCGAACTTTTTGCGGAGCTGCGACGCGGCCTTCGGCCGCGCGGAGGCGGGCCCGCCGCTGCCGGGCCGGCGCGTCGACGAGGAGGACTTGGAGGGCGCGCTCCGCGTCGACGCGCGGACCTACGAGCTCCGCGGCGGCGCGCCGGGCGACGGCCGGTCGCTCTTCGAGGCGTGCTTCGGCGCGGGCCGGGCCTGGGCGACGCGGCCGCCGCCGGCCGCGGCGCGCCGGGGCCCCGGCGACGCGCCGGCGGCGCCGCGGGCCGCGCGCGCGCCGCGCGTCGCGTTGATCCGCACGATGCGGACCGCGCCGCCGCTGAGCGCGGAGGGCCGCGCGCAGATCGCGGGGGCCATCGCCGCGTGCGACGCGTGGCGCGCGCGCCGCGACGTCGAGATCCACCGCTTCGCCGTCGACGACCCGCGGAGCGCGGCCCACGTCGAGGGCGAGCGCGCCGTGCGCCGCCGGCTGAAGTTGGCCTATAAAGCCGCGCGCGCCGCGAAGAAGCGGAGCGGCGCGAAGAAGGAGAAGCGCGCCGCGGAGCGCGCGGAGGCGTCCGCGGCCGAGGCGGACCACTCGCTGGCGTCGCCGTCCGTGACGGCGACGGCGACGACGGAGTCCGGGCCCGAGCCCGCCGCGACGGCGTCGCTCGACGACGACGAGGGCTTCGACTTCAGCGACGACGACGACGACGACGTCGCGGCCGACGACCCCGCGACGGCCGAGGCGCGCGCGGCCTTCGCCGACGCCGTCGCCGAGGCCAAGGCCGACGCGCGGCGCGCGGCGGCCGAGTACCTCGACGCGCCGTCCGCGGCGTCGAGCCCCGGCGCGCCGCCGCGGCGCGCGGCGGCCGCGCCCGCGCCCGCGCCGGCCGCCGCGCCCGCGCCCGCGCCCGGCGGCGCGCCGCCGGCGACGCCGGGGTCGTCGCCCGCGTCGTCGCGCGGGCCCGGCCCGCGCTTCGAGGCGCCCGCGCCGGGCGAGGAGACGCTCACGGTGGCGCAGATCCGCGGCGCGCTCGTCCAGTGCCTCTGCCGCGCCGTGTCCTCGGACGCCGTCGCGGCCGAGCTCCGGTCCCTCCTCGGCGACCCGGCGCGGCCCGAGGAGCTCCTCCGCGCGACCTTCGCGGACTTCCGCGTGCTCCTCGACCGCGCGCGCGACCGCCTCGCGGCCGAGGACCGCGGCGAGGCCGAGGACCGCGCGCGGCGCGACGACGCCGCGCGCGCGCGGCGCGCGCGCGGCGGCGGCCTCGCCGCGGCGCCCGACGCGCCGCCGCCCGCGCCCGCGCTCGCCGAGGCCGCCGCCGAGCGCCCGCCCGCGCACGGCGGCTTCTGGCGCACGGCCGCGGGCCGCCGCGTCGAGGACGCGCTGCCGCCGCGCCGCGACCCGCCGAAGCGCGCCGAGGACTCGCGCCGCGCGTCGCGCGACCCCATCCCCGCGTCGCTCCTCGCCGAGGACCGCGCGCGCCGCGCGGCCGCCGCCGCCGCCGCCGCCGCGCCCGCGGCGGCCGCGGCGCCGCCCGCGCCCGCGCCCGCCGCCGCCGGCGGGGCCCTCGACGCCGTGCGCAAGGCCAAGACGGCGCGGCCCCCCGGCGACGCGCCGCCCATCGACGTCGCGCCGACGCGCGTCGAGCTCCCGGACGCCGCGCTCGGCGAGACCTACGACGTCGTCCTCGACGTCGCGACGCGCGGCGGCGGCCGCCTCCGCGTCAAGCCCTCGTCGGACCGCTTCCGCGTCGTCGAGCGGCCCAAGCACGCCCTCGCGCCGGGCGCGGCCTGCCGCGTCGTCCTCCGCTACTCCCCCGCGGACCCGAACGGCAACGTCGCCGCGGGGCACGCGGCGAAGATCTTCGAGCACGTCGAGATCATCTCCCAGCACTCCGCCGTGCGCGTCCCCGTCACGGGCACCGTCGTCGCCGGCGCCGAGTGAGGGGCGTCGGTCGCCGCGCCCCCCTAAGCCGCCCGGCCGCGTCCGTCTCCGGATCCTTCCGAAGACCGCCGTGGGAGTCACCCACAAACGCCGATTACCCGCGCAGCTTGAGGAGGACGTCGGCCTTCGCGGCGGCCCGCGCCGAGGCCGCGGCGTCGCCGACGAGCTCGTGGAGCTTGGCGAGCATCTTCCAGGTCGTCGGATCCGTGGGCGCGAGGTCGACGGCGGCGAGGAAGTGGGGCAGCGCGCTCTCGGGCGCCGCGACGGCCGCGGCGCGGCCGCGGAGCTGGAGCACGGCCGCGAGGCGCGCGCGCGCGTCCGCGGCGGCGGCGGCGTCGCCGGCGGCGAGGCCGGCGACCCTGCGCCAGGCGTCGTCGGCGCGCGCGAGCGCGGCCTCGGCGGCCGCCGCGGCGGCCGCGGCCGCGTCGCGCGACGTCGCCGTCGCGAGGCCCCGGAGCGCGTCGGCGCCGCGCGTGTGGTGCAGGATCGCGAGGTTCTGCCAGGGCGTCGGGCTCGCCGGGTCGTGGGTCGCGGCGGCGACGAAGTGGCGCTCGGCCGCGTCGAGGTCGCCGAGCTCCGCGCGCGCGGCGCCGAGGTTGCACCGCGCGCGCGCGAACGTCGGGTCCGCGGCGAGCGCGCGCTCGTACATGGCCGCCTCGTCGCCGCGGCGGCCCGCCTCGCCGAGCTTGACCGCGAGGTTGTAGAGGAGCTCGACGTCGTCCGCGTTCACGTCGGCCGACGCCTCGTAGGCCGCGAGCGCGCCGGCGTCGTCGCCGCGCTTCGAGAGGACGACGCCGAGGCTGAAGAGCGCGTCGCTGTCGCTCGGGAGCAGGTCCAGGGCCCGGCGCAGCGCCGCCTCGGCGTCCGCGAGGTGCCGCGGCGCGTCGGACGACTCGGCCCAGGCCGCGTGCGCCTCGGAGAGGTCCTTGAGGCACGTCGCGCACTTGGGGTTCACGCGGAGCGCCCACTCGAAGTGGCGCGCGGCGCCCGCGAGGTCGCCGGCGCCCCGGAGGTCCGCGCCCCGGTTCTTGAGGCGCCGCACGTGCTCGACGCGGTCGCTGAGGAGCAGGAACGCGCCGATGATGTAGCGGTCGCCCGCGGTGACGCGGTGGCCGCCGTGGCGCACGGACCCCGGCCGCCACGTCGCGTGGCCCGCGTCCATCTCGACGAGCGCGTCCTCGCCGAGGTGCTCGAAGAACGTGCCGCCGCCCGTGTAGTTGGCCCGGGGCGACAGCGCGAGCGTCAACGCGAGCACGCCGTTGTCGATGTGGACGTCCGTGCGCGGGTGCGTCGCGTTGTACTTGAGCATGGCGACGCTGTGCGCGCGCAGCGTCGACACGTCCGTGACGATCTCGGGGAACGACGCCGCGATCGCGGGGAAGACGGACCGCTCGAGGTGGCCGTTGAACCACGCGCGCGTCGCGTCCATCTTCGCGAGCCAGTCGCCGCCGAGCTTGTACTTGCCGCTCGCGTACTCGTTCTCGTCGACGCGCTCGCGCCGCGCGAGCTCCACGGCGCGCGCGGCCTCGGCCGCGCTCACGACGGGCTCCGTGGTCACGCGGATGAGGTCGAGCGGGAACGCGAACTCCGTCGCGAAGTCCTCGGGCGGCACGCTCCCCATGGAGATGCTCCGCGTCGCGACGCCCGCCGGCGGCGCGGCGCCGGGCGCGGGCTTGGGCGCGCAGTAGAACTTGTCGCACGACTTGGCGCAGTCCGCCGCGTGCTCGCGCTCGTTCGCCGCGAGCGCCGCCGCAAAGTCCGGCCCGAGCTCGCGCGCGAGGGCCGCGTAGTCGACGCCCGGCGCCTCGCAGCCGGCCTCGCCGCAGGTCGACCCGCCGCGGTGCCGCAGCACGGGCAGCGCGACGCGCGCGTAGCGCGCGTAGGCCGCGCGCCTCGGGCCGTCGGCGGGCGCCTCGTGGACGCCGCGCTGCCAGAGCGCCATCGCGTCGCGGAAGGCGTCGCTCGCCGGCACGTCGCGGAAGGCGTCGTCCGCCGAGCTCGCCGACGCCCAGAGCACGACCAAGGCCCAGCGTGGCATAAGGAAGCAAGCCATGTCGTGGCTCTCTGGCTCAACCTTGGAGATCGCGAAGTGCATGCAAGTCGATCAAGGTCCTTGACGGACTTTGAAGGCGGGTTGCTCCTTGACCTTCATTGAGGCCGGCGCAGCCCCAATCGTTCGGGTTTGGAGACCAGTCATCATGGGCCAGAGCACGTCGCGGCAGCCCGTGGCGACGGTGTCCAAGGAGGCCGGGGTCAGCGTCCGCCGACAGGCATGGTTTTTTGCGCGACGCCTGGAACATTCGAGGACATCCATCTTGGTAGGCCGGGCCCTTCACGTTGACCTACTTCGACATCAAGGGCGTCGCCGAGAAGGTGCGCCTCGCCTTCGTCCTCGCGGGCGTGCCCTTCGACGACCAGCGCATCTCTTTCTCCGACTGGGCGGAGCTCAAGGCGACGACGCGCTACGGCCAGCTGCCCTGCCTCAGGGCCGGCGGCGACGAGCTCTACCAGAGCGGCGCCATGCTCAAGTACGTCGCGCTCGCCGAGGAGGAGCGCCTCTACCCGATCGCCGACCTCGCCAAGTGCGTGCACATCGAGGAGGTCCTGGGCGTCCTCGACGACCTCGCGCGCGCGTGGCGGCCCTGCGTCGCCGTCGTCTCGCGGCCCCAGGACTACGGGCACCCGGCGGACCTCGACGCCGCGGCCAAGGACGCGCTGGCGAAGACGCTCCGCGAGAACTTCCTCGCGAACGAGCTGCCCAAGTACATGGCCTTCCTCTCCGCGCACATCGACGCGACGGGCTACTTCCTCTGCGGCGAGACGCCGACGATCGCGGACTGCGCCGCGCTGCCCCAGCTCCAGTACTTCTCCGCGGGCATCGCGGACCACGTCCCGAGCGACTGCCTCTACCCCTACGGCACGATCACGAGCTACGTCGACCGCATGCTCGCCATCGACGCCGTCAAGCACTACTACGAGAAGTGCAAGGCGAAGAAGGCCTACCGGGACTCGAAGGCCTGACGCGCGGCGCGCATAAGGGCCGATGCGAGCACCGAGTCACGACGCTTGGTCGGGTTCGACGAGAGCGCGCGGCGCACGCCTCCTAGAGCCTACGCCTCGGCGCGCGCAACTTCAACACCGGCTTCGAGACTCGATCAGTGCGCTGATGGCCGCGTGAGCTCAGGCTTCTCACCACGTGCGACGCTATGATTGCGACCAGGCTCGCGCGCGCGGCGCCGATGCGCGCCGCGATCCGCCTTCTGTCGGGCGAGCGCCCGGTCAACTCCTTTCCCAAGACGGCGGCGAACTACCGCGAGCTGACGCCGCTGAGCTACGTCGAGCGCGCCGCCGTCGTCTTCGACGACTCGCCGGCGGTCGTCGACGGCGACGCGACGCGGACCTGGGCCGAGACGTTCGCGCGGTGCTGCGGCCTCGGCGACGCGCTGCGGCGCGAGGGCTGCGGCCGCGGCGACGTCGTCCAGGTCATGCTCGACAACACGGCGGAGATGGTCGAGGCGCAGCACGGCGTGCCGATGAGCGGCGCGACGCTCGGCTGCGTCAACACGCGGCTCGACGCGGCGACCGTCGCCTACGTGCTCGAGCACAGCGAGGCGCGCGTCCTCGTCGCCGACGCGCGCTACGCTGGGACCTACGGCCCCGCGCTCGCGGCGCTCGCGAACCCGCCGCGCCTCGTCGTCGTCGGCGGGCCCGGCGCGACCTACGAGGCCTTCGTCGCGTCCGGCGACGCGGGCTCGGGCTTCGTGCGCCCCAGGGACGAGTGGGACGCGCTCGCGGTCAACTACACGTCGGGCACGACGGGGCGCCCCAAGGGCGTCGTGCTCCACCACCGCGGCGCCTACATCCTCGCGCTCAGCAACGCCGTCGACTTCGGGGGCCTCGGCGGCGACGGGACCTGCCGCTACCTCTGGACGCTGCCCATGCGCCGCCCGGCGCCCCGCGACGGCCGGCTTCCTTCTTTTGAAAAACGCCGCGCCCCGGCAGGTTCCACTGCAACGGCTGGGGCTTCCCCTGGACGCTGCCCGCCGTCGGCGGCGCGAACGTCTGCCTCCGCGACGTCTCCGCGGACGCGATCGCGGACGCGTTCGTCGCCGCGCGCGTCACGCACCTCTGCGGCGCGCCCGTCGTCGTCCGCACGGCCATCGAGGCCGCGGCGGCGACGCGCGCCGCGCGCGGCGGCGAGCGCGCGGCGCCCCTGCGCATGATGACCGGCGGCGCGCCGCCGCCGGCCGCGACGCTCCGCCGCGCCGAGGCCGCGGGCCTCGACGTCACGCACGTCTACGGCCTCACGGAGACCTACGGCCCGGCGACGCTCTGCCAGCCGCGCGCCAAGTGGGCGGCCCTGACCGACGCCGCGGCCGCGGAGAAGCGGTCGCGCCAGGGCGTCGCGCACGCGGCGACGGGCGGCGTCGACGTCCTGGACCGGGACACGGGCGCGCCCGTGCCCGCGGACGGGGCGACCATGGGCGAGATCTGCTTCCGGGGGAACATCGTCATGAAGGGCTACCTCAAGGACGCCGCGGCGACGGCCGCCGCGTTCCGGCTCGGCGCGTTCGCGTCGGGCGACCTCGCGGTGAAGCACGCCGACGGCTACGTGCAGATCAAGGACCGGTCCAAGGACATCATCATCTCCGGGGGCGAGAACATCTCCACCGTCGAGATCGAGGCCGCGCTCATGGAGCACGACGACGTCGAGGAGTGCGCCGTCGTCGCGCGGCCCGACGCGCACTGGGGCGAGACGCCGTGCGCCTTCGTCGAGACGCGCGCCGGCGCGACGCTCGACGAGGCCTCGCTCCTGGCCTTCGCCAAGGGGCGCCTCGCGGGCTTCAAGGCGCCGAAGTCCGTCGTCTTCGGCGCGCTGCCGAAGACGTCCACGGGCAAGATCCAGAAGTTCGCCCTGCGGGACCGCGCGCGGGCGCTCTAGTTTTTAAAACCGCGCGCGGCTCAGCCCTCGACGACGCTCCGCGGCGAGGACGCGGGCGCGGGCGCCTCGGCGACGGCCTTCGCGTCCCCCGGCGGCGCGGCGGCGCCCTCGAGGAGCGCGACGGCCCGGGCGACGGCGTCGAGGACGCGCGCGAAGCCCGGCTCCTCCGTGCGGCCGCGCGCGGCGACGAGCGCCGCCGTCGCGGCCGCGGCCGCGGCCGCGAGCGCCGCCACGGCGCCCGCGCGGCCCTCCTCGTCCGCGCGGATCTGCTTCACGCGCGACCGCGCGGCGGCGCCGCGCCGCGCGTACTGGAGCGTCGTCGCGGCGCTGTCCTGGGCGCGGCGCGTCTTCTCCTCCATGGCGCGCGCGACGGCGGGCGTCCCCGGCCGGAGCCCCGCCTCCGCGGCCTCGCGGAGCGCCGCGTCGAGCGCGGCGCCGTCGCCGCCGGCGACGGCCGCGTCGAGGTCCGCGAGGACGGCGGCCTTGCGCTCGAGCTTCTCGAGGGCGAAGACCGCCGTGACGAGCGCCGGCGCGGCCTCGGCGACGCCGTCCGCGCGCGCCGCGCGCACGGCCGCGGCGAGCGCGGCCGCGTCGTCGCCGTCGGCGAGCGCGGCGAGGGCCTCCGCGTGCGCCGCGTGGCGCGCGAGCAGGTCCCGCGCCGCGACGACGAGGGCGTCGTCCGCCGCGACGCCCGCGGCGAGGGCCGCGTCGACCGCGGCCGGCAGCGCCGCGGCGTCGCGCGCGGC